TCGGCACATCGGCAATTCGGACATTTGGAAGTATTTTCATAGAGAGATTGAAGTGCCTTGATGATGGGGTCTGGGAAGCGGAATTTTCATAAGGTCTCAAAAAGAAAAGACCAGAGTAGTCTGTCAAGCGCCTTTTTGGCTTCCATGGAGAGGAAAAGAGTTGGGATATGTCTATGTTTGACTGCCCAGATCAGGTCCAGTGTGCGTCTAGTGTTGTCGCTTGCTTGGTGTGTAGGGATAAAGCCTTCCTGGTCGGGGTGGATAAGTTTTGGTAGGAAGTGCTGGATATGGTTGGCTAATAGTTTCATGAAGATTTTAGTGTCTACATTTAGGAGCGATATGGGTCGGAAGTGACCTGGGTCTAGATGTGATTTGTTCGGTTTGGGGATGAGGCAGATATGTGTTCTGCGCATGTCTTGTGGTATAGGGTCGCCTTGTAGGAGGGAATTACATAATGCTGTCAGGTGGGGTACTAGGATGTAGGAGAAGGTTTTGTAGTAAAGTCCAGAGAAGCCGTCTGGCCAGGGCATTGGGTTTCATTGTTTTCAGTGTAGTCGCAATGTCTTCCTCTGTAATTGGATAGGCAAGTCTCTCTATGGCACGGTCTCTCTGTATTCATTTTCCTCTAATTACTTCCTTGTGTGCAGCCCATAGAGTGGTGGTTGAGGAGACAGAGTTTGTGTTGAGGGCGAAGTAGTCAGTCAGTTCTTGTCGGATGGTCCTACTACTTTGTGTGTTATGTAGCAAGGTGGGGTTTAAGCGCCAGGTCCAGGACTTGGCCGCCTGGGGTATCTGGAGTGTAAGGGAGATGTCTGCATGGTCCGACCAGCTGATAGATCCAATTGCAGATGCCATGGTGTGGGGTATTTGTGATGGCTATATTAGGAACATGTCGATCCTGGAATAAGATGAGTGTGGGTGTGAGTAGAAGGTCGTGAGTCGTGGGGTGTTGAAGTCTCCATGTGTCTTAGCTACAAGATCTGAGAGTAATTTGTCTGCTCTGGCTGTGGGAGGGTCCGTGTTTTGCGTGTGGCACCTCTTCTCCTGTCTGTGGATGAGGACATGACCACGTTGTGATCTCCTCCCACTGATCAAATGGTGTGAAGAGAACAGTTTCAGGTGTGCTCACAGAGTTATCCAAAATATTTGATCTGGTGTGTTTGGGGCATATACAGAAGTGGCAAGGTAGATGGGTATTAACGATAATATAAATGGTATAGTATAATAATATCCAAGCACAATATACTTCAGTAGCAGCTAAGCATTCATATGTGACTTTCCCACATGACACAAACAGGTAAGCATAAATAGAAAGAATGCAGCACTTATTACAGAGGGAGAATCACACGTAAAGATAATTTAATAATCACCTTAATAATAGTATTGAAGGAGACCCTGATCTCGTAAGGGTAATATTCCAGATAGATAGAATATACCTATAAGTACTAATAGCAAAACATAGTGCACATCATACAGATTAAAGGTATATATAGAAATGTGATATTTATAAACTCACAAATGGAGAGCTAAGAAGTGCGCTAAGCTAAGCTCTGGTGTAGGTAGCGTCCGGATCCGTACAGGCGACTCACCCCTACAGGAAATGTATATTCTGTCCTGGGGAGAATATATATAACGCAAACATAGGGTAGTACAGTATGAGCAAGTGAATAAAAGATCAGGCTGCCAAGAGCCCCTATGGCTCAGTAATAGTGTATTGTGCAGTCAGGGACTGCACTCCCCTGATGGTGGTAGGTAGTAGTAACCAGCTGGGAACCAGGATAAAAAGAAGTAATTTATTGAACACTAGTAAAAACAAATATAGGGACAATGTCCATATAAAATGCCGGAACGCGTTTCACTATTTCATGTAGCTTCCTCAGCCGGGTATAATGTCTCATAATCCTTGGTTCCACGTTGTTTGCTTATACCCCCTAAATGAGGTGATCAGTTACTGATGATTTTTCACCGCCACGTAATTACCACTGGCAGGTAAAACGTATGCGACTCAAGCCTCCATATGGTGCCTTATGTTTCTGACAGGCGGATACTCTCACCCGGAGCTCCATCTCGTTCTTAACATGGATGTATTCTTAACCTTCCATGCCTCTTTCTCATGCAATATCAAGCCTCTTCTTGAGATGAAAGCTGTCTTCCATAAATTCTTTAATTACTCTCATTCGATGGGAGTTGATACTTCTATTTTAGTTTATGTGTCCATACCATTCGTGTATATCGTTCTCATATATACTCACAGATAACAGATGTGTATTTCCAAGTGGTTATAAAATACATAAAACCAAAATTAAGAAGAGAGACATAAATTCAAATTGAAGTCTACTATTACTTGCTTACTTACATATTTTAATCATAAAATTTTTTGTTTTGTAGCCCACCTCTGCACTTTTTCTAGTGCCATAATATCCTTCTTTAGAACAGGTGCCCAAAATTGCACAGCATATTCAATATGTGGTTTTACCAGTGATTTATAAAGAGGCAAAATTATATTCTAATCCCGAGAATGAATGCACTTTTTCATGCATGACAATACCTTACTGGCCTTAGCTACTGCTGATTGACATTGCACATTGTTGCATAGTTTGTTGTCTATAACAATCCCCTAATCCTTTTCGTGTGTTTTTATCCATAATTCGCTTCCCTTAAGGGTATACGTTACTTGTGCATTCTTTACGCAGAAGTGCATAACTTTGCATTTTTCAACATATAATTTAATCTGCCATTTGAGTGCCCAGTCCTCCAGTCTATCTAAATCCCACTGCAGCAAAGTAATATCTTGCTCACATTGTATTACTTAACAGAGTTTAGTGTCATCTGCAAACACTGAAACATACCTTTCAATGCCTTTTTCAAGATAATTTATAAAGATGTTAAATAGAAGGGGTCCCAGAACAGAACCCTGAGGGACACCACTTGCCACCTCTGTCCAGCTTGAAAATTTACCATTAATGACAACTCTTTGTACTCTATTTTTAAGTCAATGTTCTACCCAAGAACAAGCATTTTCATCTAGACCGATTTCGTGGAGTTTGAACACTAATCTATTGTGTGGAACTGTATCAAATTCCTTCGCAAAATCCAAATAGATCACATCCACTGCAACACCCTGATCTATACTTCTACTTACTTCTTCGTAGAACGCAATCAAGTTCGTTTGACATGACATGTGCTCAGTGGTGTATCCTGGTTTTGTGCCGCCCAAGGCTAAAACGCCCCTGCATGTGCTTCATAAAACCATGCTGATTTTTGCTGATAACCATGTTCTTCTCAAGTAATTCTTGAATATTATCCCTTAATAACCTTTCAAATATTTTCCCAGCCACAGAAGTATTAAACAATAGATTGTGCATCTTTTTAGTAAGCATTTTGATTGTTAAGCCTAATGGTATAATCAGCTGTGGTATAGTCCATCTGTTCCCCCTGGGGTGCGATGTGGGTAGGATCCCGCCCTGGGATGAGGTCGTGGAGGTTCGTTCCGGTCACCGTTTGGGTCTGGTCCAGAGGGAAAGTAAGGTATGGGGTCTGAGGTCCCTCCGGGACAGAGGGGGGTAGGAGGGGGGATATTGGTTATCGTGGTCCGTCTTATAGGGGTTAATCTATGTGACACCTGGATCCTATTCCGAAACCCCCTCCCCCCACCTCATTCCCTTGTCTATACCTTTACATCAGTAATGTTAAACCAGAAAACATGTATCATATAAGCAAGCATTTTGATATTGAGGCATGTGGGCTTATTGAGCTGCGGTAGAGTCCACCTGTACCTTAGGATGCGACGTGGGTGGGAGCCCACCTGGCGATGGGACTATGGGGGTTCGTACTGTTCCTCGTTAGGATCCGGGCATGGGGGGAGGTGTAGCATGGGGTTTTAAAACACATCCAGGTCGGGGGGTAGTGGCTTGAGAATTGGGCTTGTGAACCCTTCATGTTGCATCAGGGATTTGGATGTGTACCGGTTTGAGTGGCCTGTGAGTAGCGTGTGAGACCTCCGTGTCTTATAGTTTTCTCGGGTCCCCTGGGTGAGTATGGGGAAGGTTGCAGGCCCTCTCCCCGGTAGGGGAAGGCTATTTTGAGCGGTCATGGAGGGCAGTGGGCCCCTTCTCATCTGGTAATGACAGGGAGGGTAGAGGTGGGGGTGTAGGGTTGGGACCCTGTGGGTCGTCTATAGTCCATGTGATTTCCCTCAGACCCGAGGGTCTTGTTACCAGTCCTGGAGTCTTCTGGAGTGCTCAGGTGTGATGCTGCTGCTTCTCAGGAAGAGCGCCTTTAGGTGCGGTGAGGCTCAGCGGCCGATCCCTCTTGGTTAGGTGGCAGTCTCTTTTTCTTCAGAAGGTGAGGAGAATGTGTCCTGTCTCTGGGGTGCATGTCTGTTCCTTATCTGGGTGGTGGTGTGATATACTGCAAATGGATGGCAAGGGAGTCCGCGAAGGGCTCCATTTCTGCTGCGTTAGTTTTGATATGGGTCTGTCCATCTTTCTTGACAATAAGTTTGAAAGGGTAACCCCACATATATTTGAGCCTGTGTTAAGAGAGGGCTAGCGTGAGGGATTTAAGGTCTCTCCTCTTCTTAAGCATTGTGGGAGCTAGATCCTGGAAGAAAATCAGGCGTGTATCTTGATATTGTAGGGGATGATCCCTGGCCAGTGTCATCAGCTTTTCCTTCACGGAGAAGAAATGGAGGCGGAGGATCACTCGGTGAGACCTGTCCATGTCAAGGTCTTTGAACATAAGCAACTCTGGTGGTACCGATTCTGGGAGGCCTCTGACGCAGATATTATTGCGCCTGGATCTGTTTTTGAGGTCCTCCAATTTATCTTCCATTGTGGACATTTGCCCATGGAAGTAAGCTATGTCTTGAGCCTGGGCTGAGGTAGTATTGGAGATTTTGGATAACTTTGCTTCCATCTGAGACGTGTGGGAAGTTAAGGCCTCCATGTTTTCCTTGAGGCCTGCGATCTGTCTGCCCAGTTCCTCGGCCATGTGGGCCTTTATTTCAGTTGTGCCGTCTTTAAGCATATATCGATAGTAGTGGGGCCATCAGGTCGAGTTGGGATTCGATGCCCTCCGACTCGGAACCTGAGTCTTCTGTCCAATGGGAGTTGGTAGGCCTCTGCGTGCCTCCTGGAGTACGGCATAGTGGGACGATCGATGGCGTGTGGTCTTTTCTCTTTTTTTCCGCCGCCCATCTTGTTAGGGTAGCTAGTGGGTTCCAGTGGGCTTGTCTGGGTTCTTGGGGTCGGGGTTTGTGGTTTTGAAATGTGGGGATCGCTACTGTTAGCTAGATCAGTGCCTTGGAGAGTGGGAGCTGTGGATTCAGGCGTCCATCTTCCTCAGAGGCTAGGCTCCACCCCCTGTCTGCTTTTTCTGACCCATTTTTTCATGCTTTAAGTTTATTTTCCTAGTATAGTTATCTGCAAATATATATTAATAAATACTCCATTACCTTGGGAAATTTCAGGTGTTAGTATATATTGAGAAAGTGTATGAGTGCGAGTGTATGAGTGTGAAATTTATAGGTATATTTATTTGATACCTCAGTTTATGTAATATTGGTCTTAGTTAGAAAAGCCAATTGGCATGGCCCCAGACTTAGCCAACTTGCACCAGTTTATGTATGTATTAATGGAACTTCGTCACTTTTTGTATTTTGCAAAGATCGTTCAAGGTGACATGTCCACTTGTGCATGATGGCTCAAAGAAGAAATTATATATTCACCTGATGTTCTCCATCATAGTACTGCCACTTGCATTACGGGGTAATTTTTACCTCCTGTGACTTTGTCTGCCAGGATTACTGCTGTACTCTTGCACACCTTGGGATCATCCAGAAATCTACTCTTAGGATATGCAGACATGTTTTTCCCATAGCCATCACTAGCGATTGTTGGTGAGAATTTACAAACTTGGACTGCAGAAGTTGTTAATTTTATCATGTTTAAGTAGAAGTAGTAATAGTAGTAGCCTATAATTAATTTTACATTCATTAAAATGGTGATGGGGCTGATTGCACTGAATGCAGGTTGCATCTAATGATAAGTTAATGATAATGTCTAATGATGCACTGGGCTTTCTGGAGACAATTCACTGTTGTCCCCAGACATGGGTCACTAGGTAACAAACCTGGATCTGGGACTTTCCAACTGAACCAGAGACTTTTGGGAAGTCCAATATGTTGTGGAGTATAACTTCAATGATTCTTGGTGGGGGCTCCCACCTGCGGCATGGTTGTTCCTTGGTGGAGGGGTTTTCATCCCGATACTCAGGGCTCTAGAAGATGGTGGGCCTACAAAGCTGGATACATTACTGGAGGGAAAAGCACAAACTCCCTTAATTTCTCTTCCATGTATGCATGACACTACTACAACATGTTACCACATAAATATAAGCTGCACAGGTATCTTACCTGGTTGGAAGGCTTGTGTAGGGGGGACACCAAACTGGAAAAATGGTCTCAGGGTTCTACCAACAACTTCTAGTTAGCAGAATACTTTTCAGAGGCAGTGAGAGGGACAGTTAGGCAAGACATTTTCAGCCACACAATGGGAGAAGGTTTTACTATGACGCTCAGTCAGCTTTCAATACCATTTTTTTTAGAATATGGGATCCTGTTCCACAGAATTTTCCTTACAGTCTCACCCACTTGTTGGACATGGGTGAGGAGGGACAGGATGTTGGGAGTGTCCAAAATTATTCCCTTCTGGGACAAGGTGAAAGAGGCAGTGCCCACTATACTTAGAGATTCCCTTATTTTAAATGTAGAACAGGCTTTGCTTCACATGACCTCTAAGTCAATATCAACATATAAGAAATCTGTCCTAAAGCATCTGCTTAATGTTGCAAAGGCCTTGATAGCTGCCCTCTGGAGAAGGGCTGAGCACTGGCTCCGAAGAGTTGAAGAGATAAAGGCAGCCGAGGCATTACATGCCTCCATTATTGGAATAAGTACCACATATGCAGAATGCTGGCAGCCCTGATTTAAATTCATTCATTCATGAATGAAAGGGATCAGGCAGTGGGGAAATGTTAGAGAGGGATAGGCGGCAGGACTGATGAGGGGCCTGGCTTCTTGAAACTTATCTTTCCTTTTTTCTTTTATCTTTTTCCCTTTTCTCTATCTCAGTTCTTCTCTCAGTTCTTTTATAGAGTTGAGGCTTTGTTGAGAGGCATCTGGATGTTACAAGTGGGGTGATGCCCTCTCCCAATCTTACTTAAGCTTGACTACATGTTATACACAAACACACACAAGTCGGAGAGGGTAAATGGACAGCAAATTGAACTTAATTGCTATTGTCCCCTTTACATTTCCACTTTGAGGGCTAACAGGGAGGTGGTTTTAAAGCTGGTTCACATTGACTATTGAATTGGTTATTGCATGAGATATTTTTGCTCATAGTTGTCTTGAGATTGTATTTTACATATGAAAACATGTCATTTGATGCCAGTGCTTTTTGCTATGGAGACTTGCATGTCTCTTCTTGTTCTTTTCTCTGTCAAATAATCTTAAATAAACAAAGTCTATGAATACCAATCCTTTTACAGAGGAATGTGTATAACAGAGTGTTTTTAACAGTGATTTCCAAGCTGCTCAATACACTTGTGTGGAAGTATCCTCTATTCCACGAAACAAAATTAGAGTTATTAGTGCGGTGTAAGTGACAAAAGACTTATACCAATAAGTGGAGCGCTTTAATACATATAGCTTACCAAATGGTTTCTCATTCAATAATAGAGTATAAAGTCTCTCTATTATTAAGTCTATACTCTATTACTGAATGAGAAACCATTTGGTAAGCTATATGTATTAAAGTGCTCCACTTATTGGTATAAGTCTTTTGTCACTTACACCGCACTAATAACTTAAATAAACAAAGATTTTCACAAAAAAATAATAAACTTCCGTGATTCTCATACAGGCAAAGTCAACATCTTCCAGTCTGAAATTTTAACCTTAAATCAACTTCACTTTAAGCTCTCCAAACATTAATTTTAAATTTCTCTTTAGAATTTAAGTAGTTGGTGTATGCTGAAATTGTTTTCCTGTTAGAAAAGTATTTTCACCACTGCATGTTTGTGCAAGTATAGATATATTTAGATTCATATTTAAGATAATTTTGTCACAGCCTCTCTCACGTGGCTAAAATTACTGTATTTCCATGTTTTAATATAGTACAAATATGATTGCAAGGTATTTTGTTATGTCTGCATTCCATATTACCTACATATATTTCAGTTTGTCTCTACTTTTTTTATGCCCACGGCATGTCACATTGCCTACATTTATTTCTGTTTGTCTCCATTATATTATGCCCACATTCCACATTGCCAATGCCACATTGCATACATTTTATAATGCCCACATCCTTGCCCCATTGCCAATATGCCACTTTGCCAATATTATGTTATGCCCACATCCATGCAACACTACCCACATACCACATTTCCTAATTTGTATGCCACATTCCCCACATGCCAGATTGACTAACTTTTATCATGCCCACATCAATGCCACATGCCACATTATTATGCCCACTGTTATATCCCAAAGTGTGGGCTGGCATTTAATTGGTGAATGCAATGCTGCGAGTGTCTGCTCAATAAATTATACACACAGGCATGAGGTCTAAAATCCATAGGCAGTGTATTACTTGCTGTATACAGTTTGAGTCAACAAGAGGCTTTCTTACTATACACACTATACACAGTGGTGTATCCTGGTTTTGTGCCACCCCCACCCAACCCTTACCCCCGAACCTGCCTTCTAAATACACACACACATTCACTGACAGATATGCATACACTAGCTAACAGACACACACAGACACACACTAACAGACACACACTCACTAGCAGACATACACACACTCACAGGCAAACACACTCACACTAACAGACACAGACACACAGTCAGACACACACACACACTAACAGACACACACTCACTAACAGACACACACACACACACACTAACAGACACACCCACTAACAGACACACAGTCACTCACTAACAGACACACACTAACACACACACACACACTAACAGACACACACACACTGACAGGCAAACACACTAACAGACACACACACACTAATAGACACACACACTAATAGACACACACACACACTCACATTAACACATTTTTTTTATTTAGACCCCCCCCAGCCTCCTTACCTTTGGGAATGCTGAGGGGGGGTTCTCTTTCTCCCTGGGGGTCCAGTGGCTGCTGGGCGAGCGGGCGGGCTGGCTGCTGGGCGGGCGGCGCTGGCGGGCGGCTGGCGAGGGAGCACTTCCTCTGAGCTGTCTGCTCAGCCGCCTCGTGCGTCGCCCGTAGAGTGAGGCTGGGCGCGCGAGGGAGCTGAGCAGACAGCTCAGAGGAAGTGCTCTCTCGCCAGCCGCCTGCCAGCGCCGCCCGCCCAGCAGCCCGGCCGGCTTGTCAGTTAGCCGCAAGGCTAACAAGACATTTGCCCTGGGCATTTGGGGGCGGCTTTTTTTTGCCGCCCCCTGGAAAATGCCGCCCAAGGCAAATGCCTTGTTTGCCTCGCGGCTAAAACGTCCCTGACTATGCAGCTTCCTAACCTGATAACCAGTGTCTCAGTGTATTCCCAAGTTGGCTGTATTCAGTTAGCCAACAGGATAGCTGCTGTTTCCTAATGATCGGTACATCCTTCTTCTCCTAGCATGCACTGCAGCAGGAAAAAAATGGAGGGACATAATGCCACTCCCAACCTGGGCAAACACTGAGACAGACAGTGATTCTGTCTAAACATCACGCCGCCCTCCATGCCAAAGTTCCTAACTTGTATTATGCCCACATCCATTCCACATTACCCACATTTTATCCACATCCATGCCACAGTGCCCACATGCCTCATTTTTTGTTCTCACATCCATGGCCCACCACTAGCACACCTTAGAGGGAACTGTGCCCTGAGCCCTCCAAACCTGTACACTAACTGTCTGTACATTGCTATACCTTAGGTCACTACATCATCTTATACAGCAACATACCTGGCAATGTGTTTATGCACAATATTGAAAACATAGAATACTGCCACACTTTGAGTCACATTAAAGTCTTTTAAAAGTCAATATTGTTTAAAGCAAATCTACCCTCACAAACTGTGACCAATAACAGACATATGCCATATAAACTACTAATATATGAAACCAAATGTCACTTTCTACTTAATATTTCATGCAGTTTGGACACACATACAATAATCTTAGATAGCTATGAAATTCTTATTGCCATTTATTTATTTAATATAAAACATGAACTTTGTGTTTTGTATTAATCATTCTGGTTTCTGCAGGGAAATTCCACAATTTCTTTCAAGGTTATTCACTAGTGAGAATCCAAAGTGAATTTCAAATTTAAGGTCAAAATAAGTGAACAAGAAAAAGTCTCTTAGTTATGCTTTCAGTTTGGCTGTTCTGACCCTAAATTTGCAATTTTTTTATAATTCACTTCTCAGTTTAGTAAATAACCCTGTTGCATTAGAGAAACAAAGGAGGCTTTTCCAAGACATTATTTGTTTAAACCACACCACCTTCAGCTTAAAAAATAAACAAACTTGTTGCAATCTATTTCAATAAACTGTGTTGTACAATTAATCTGTTGCTTTTAAGTGGGAAGTCGAATGTTTAAATGCATTAATTACTATGGCAAATGATTGCAACATAGAAAATCCTTCTGTGAAAATGACACCATCCGAACTGGTTTGTTATGTGGCAATTCTTCTGATGGTGTTTTCTCAGTGGGAAGGGCCTCCTATACTTCCTTGTTTGTGTTTGTCTGTTACAGGTCTGACTGGCTGAGTTTCTCTCTCCCTGCCGTGTCTGTCTCAGGTGGTGTCTACTGCTATTACAGGAATTTGTAGAACAGACTGCTGGTAAGAAGGAGCTCTCATGGGAGAGAACAAGTCATGACATTCCGTGCAAACAGGGTAAGCTGGAGTACAGACGTGTTCCATCAAAATGAAGATGGAGAAGAGGAGGACCAGACTACAGACAATGAATTGGAGTTATTGGAGTAAGTATTTGATCCCAGTCCTTATGTATACTGCACTGTAAAACACAGGTGACATCGGTGTCTGGCAATGCTGTATAACTTATCATGGAACATTGATTATTATGTTTGCAAGAGTTTTATGTAACAATACTGCACCCAGTTAATGTATACTTTGAATGATATATAACTGTGGTATTATGTGTATTGCACGTTGTACAGTATTTTTTTACAGTATGAATGGGTGGTGCTCAAATGGTCAATCTTACAACGTCCACCAAAGGGGTAGTGATAAAATAAACCGGATCTCATTGACTGTTTAGGGAGTTTGTGTATGTCTTAGTAGCATGTAATGGAGAAGTGGGTTTGTTTAAGAGGTCAGTTGAAACTGAAAGTGACCAAATCCATGTGTAGCAGGTTTATAGCAGCTAAACTCTCTTAGTTTGATTGGGTCGGAAAGAGATGCCTGTAATAAGAGACTTAATTTAGAGAGTTCTGTCAGGTTCCTCTTGCAATAACTATAACAGATCATCCATTGGGGGTTGAAAAGATAAAGCCATCATAGACTCCAAAGTATCCTAATTGCAGAGTTCTAAGAGACCCACCATAAAATAGTAGTAATAGACAGTTTAGTGTTATAATGAAGCAGATTTTATGTTGAGCATCAAGATTTTAAGATGATAGGTTTGATCGTATATTAAAGTGTATTTGAAAATATTGTGTGCAACGTTAACTAAGACATTTTGTTTACGACAAAAATTCACCAGAATAATGTCTCAGACTTTGTAATATGTAGCGTCATTGAATATGATTAAGTAGCATGATTTATGGTGTTAATTCTTTTGCAGCACACTGAGAGCATTGAGAATGACGTGAGTAAATGGAGGGGCTGCACCCCATGTATGGTTTTATGGTGTTTTGTAAAGTTACAAGGTTAACCCCTTAAGGAAGGAGACAAATGTACACGTTGTGAACGAAACAAAATGTAAACAAAACCTGGCATTTGCGCTACATGTCTGTCCAACCGTAATTCACCTCTTTCATATTAAATGCACCCACCCTTATTATATATCATTTTATTCAGGGGAAACAGGGCTTTCATTTAATATCAAATATTTAGCTATGAAACATAATTTAATATGAAAAAATGGGAGAAAATACGATTTTTTTTAGTTCTACATGACATTTTAACTGTCAATGTCATAATACTGTTTGCTTTTACTGCAATAAAATACACATATTTGTATTCAGCAAAGTCTCACGTGTAAAACAGTACCCCCTATGTACAGGTTTTATGGCGTTTTGGGAAGTTACAGGGTCAAATATAGCACGTTACATTTGAAATTGAAATTCGCCAGATTGGTTACGTTGCCTTTGAGACTGTATAGTAGCCCAGGAATGAAATTTACACCCACAATGGCATACCATTTGCAATAGTAGACAACCCAAGGTATTGCAAATGGGGTATGTCCAGTCTTTTTTAGTAGCCATTTGGTCACAAACACTGGCCAAAGTTAGCGTTAGTATTTGTTTGTGTGTGAAAATGCAAAAAATGCCAATTTTGGCCAGTGTTTGTGACTAAGTGGCTACTAAAAAAGACTGGACATACCCTGTTTGCAATACCTTGGGTTGTCTACTATTGCAAATGGTATGCCATCATAGGGGTAATTTTCATTCTTGGGCTACCATAGGGTCTCAAAGGCAACGTAACCAATCTGGCGAATTTTAATGTGAAAAAAAATGAAACATAAGCCTTATATTTGACGCTGTAACTTTTGAAAACACCATAAAACCTGTACATGAGGGGTACTGTTGTACTCGGGAGACTTCGCTGAACACAAATATTTGTGTTTCAAAACAGTAAAAAGTATCGCAGCAATAATATCGTCCGTGTAAGTGCTGTTTGTGCGTGAAAAATGCAAAAAACTTCACTTTTACTGGCGATATCATTGTTGTAATACATTTTACTGTTTTGAAACACTAATATTTGTGTTCAGCGAAGTCTCCCGAGTAGAACAGTACCCCACATGTACAGGTTTTATGGTGTCTTGGAAAGTTATAGGGTTAACTATAGTGCTAGCAAATTAAATTCCCTTTACTCTCGGCATGGGTTGTCAGGCAGGTCCCGCTAATTGTAATTAATTAAGATACCTAATTATGTAAAAATATTACATAAATATATATGTAGAATTAATATATGTATATATATATACGTATGTGAATCTATATGTGTATATATATATATATACATTTTTTTAAAATATTTTTATTTATATATAGGTATATATATAGTGATATATACGTATATATTTATGTATGTAGATATATATATTATTTCGTTCTACGTGTATTTTGATATAAATATATATATTAATATCACAATACAGTTAGAATGAAATAACACACATCTATATATTTTTTTATTATTTTTTTTATTATTTTTTAAAAATTTTTAACGTATTTACATATTAAATTTTTTTATATTATATATAAATATATATATATATATATAACAATAATTATATATATATTTAATCAGTATCAGACCCCACTCTCACATGGCAAGGGGGCTTCCAGGGAGTCGGACATGCCGCGGGGGGCTCCCTGGGAGTGGGATCGCCGGCGACCGGGTAAGTATCGAAAGACCGGAGGGCGTACTATTACGCCCGGCGGCGTTTAGAGCCGCCTATAATAGGGCGTAATAGTACGCCCTCCAGTCTTAAGGGGTTAAATAAGAAATTTTGCAGATTGTTTTTTTGGGCACATTTTGCCTTTGAGACCGTATGGAAGCCCAAGAACGAAAATTTCCCCTATAATGGCCTAACATAAATGCTAGTAAAAGTATATAAGCCAGGGTATTCAAAATAGGGTATGTCCAGTCTTTTTTAGTAGTTACGTAGTCACAAATCCTGGCCAAAGTCAGTGTTCATATTGTTTCTTTCCATTTTTACACAAAAACTGCACTTTAACTGATGATAACATCTTCATTATACTTCTTACTGCTATAAAACACTCATATTTGTGTTCAGCGATGTCTCACAAGTACAACCCCCCATGTACAAGTTTTATGGGGTTTTGGAAAGTTACAGGGTAAAATGCAGGGCTTGCAAATTAAATTATCTGGACTTTCTGACTGGGTTATCAGATAGGTCCCCGAATATATGACTAATAAAATAATATAATTATATATAAATACACTTAGAATGAAATGATCTATCTATAAAGCAATAAAACTTAAATGTAAGTGTCTAATATGTTATTTATATACAATTATATTATTTTATTAATTATATATTGAGGGACCTGCCTGACAACCACGGCCGTCCCCCTGCAACCAAACCTGTGAATCAGGCTTATCCGAGTTATGTTATTGCGGTGCCACCGTAATCATATTACTCGGATCAGCTGTATTTGACTGCATGGGGACTGCATGGGTTTTCAGGCAGGTCCTCGATCGCAATCAGTGCAGCAGGTAAATATTTGAGCTAGAGGGAGGGTCAAGTCGTTAGGGAGTACTATGCCACCTGAACGGAGTTCAAGTCCTCCTTTTGTAGGACGGCATAGCACACCCTAATGTACGGAAAGAATGCTCTTCATAGCATTGGGAAAGTTAAATTTTGAAACAAATGGCACTTAACATGTTGGGGATTTATTAAGGCAACATTATGGGTATTACTTTTTGATGCATACATTTTTAAATATCGACATAGGATACCTTAAGACTGGGGCCGGCACCCTACTACCCGCGGGCCACACCCATCTTGTCCCATGCAGTACGCCAGTTCATCAGCTAATTACTGCAAATTATGGCCTGACAAATCTCAACACTGACTGCCCCTGCTGCACTAAATAGGAAAATGTCCCCTAGAGTACACATCACTCCCAGCAGCTTGGGCTGTAGTGATGGGTGACATCACTGCAAAGTAAACTACGAGGGAGCTGTGTGAAGAACTAATGCAAGCAGCTCCTCGTGGCTCCCTTGTGCCACTAACCAACAGGAATGAGGCACTTCCAGGAAGTAAGAAGTCGCTCCTACCTCATGATGGTCATAGGGAGTCCCCTTACTTAACTTCAATGTTTGAATGATTTTTTTTATATGAGTGTGTGTCTGTGTGCCTATTTGTCTGTATGAGTGTCTGTATGTCTCTGTGGGAGTGTGTGTATGTTTGCGCATATGCGTGAGTGTATCTGTGTGTTATTTTACTATATGTCTTTATGAGTGTGTGTCTGTGTTACTACCTGTCTGTATGCATGTTTGTTTGGATTACTATGGTCTGTGTGTGTGTCTGTATGTCTGTGTATGTGTATTTCTATGAATGTGTGTATATGTATCTGCATGACTGTGTGTATCTATGACTCATAAATTATAATTAGCATGCAAAAGAGTGAGGAAAAAAAATCAAACTTTTTTTAATTACAAACACACATCCCCCACACACTATCACACTCAGCGAAACAGAACCAGCCAACCCCCACTCATCGCTTTTAGCAACCACTGCACAATATGCAGTTTGTGTGTGAAAAATTCAAAAAACTTCACTTTCACTGACAGTATCATCGCTGTGATATGTTTCACTGATTTGAAACACTAATATTTGTGTTTAGCGAAGTCTCCCGAGTATAACAGTACACCCCATGTAAAGGTTTTATAGTGTTTTTGAAAGTTACAAGTTCAAATATAAGGCTTGATTTTCCATTTTTTCACATTGACATTTGCCAGATTGGTTATGTATATGTATATTTCGTATTATTTGTAGTTATTTATATATACATAGATATATCATTTCATTCTAAGTGTATCTCGATATATATATATATATATATATATATATAAAAAAACAAAAATAGTAATGCACTCCACCTTCCTTGATGTACTTGCCCGGTGCTTATCAGCAAACAGATACAGCCAAAAGTACAAGATAGCACTCCAGGGACTTCCAAGTTGAATGAATAAAACTTAGCTTTTATTAGCTCAAAATAAAAATCAACGTTTCAGTCTGTATCACAGACTTTCATCAGGATGAGCTCGCAAATCAAATCCATAAGAATATATACCCTCAATATTCCCTTAACTTACCCAGGTTGAGGATAGGAGTGATCCCAGGGGCACCTGACCAGCAGCCTGCTCAGGTCAAACAATTGACACTGATGATGTCATAGACGTGCGCCTCCCGGGGACGTTCACATAGCAACCCAGTATAACCAACAAAATAATACATAAACATATAACTAAAAACATAGCCTGCATACAGGAGTAAAATATAAATGTTAAAGAAAGACCTATACACCCCATCAGGGGCCATTTAGATACAGAGAAAATCCATAGAGAACACGTTAGAGATAGACAGCAGGCAGAACTAATCGAAAAGCGATCAAACTGCAATTAGCCTGTAGCAACCTATTAACAAGATATAAATATACAAACTGTACTACCTAAGGAATAGATAATGCATAAAGAAGACATGTAACTTATACTACAAATACAAAAATAAAATGCAGGCATGAGCAATCAAACCTGCAGAGATTCCAATCTAACTACAGGGAGCAAAGTACCAACAAACAGCAATTGAAAGCATAATTGTACCAAGAGTAATGTATCACTCCGAATCCTTAGATATCATTATACAGGTAAAAAGAGTAGTAAAGGATAAATGTCAGAACTTCTTAGTCAAAAATGGGAGAAAACATGAAAAGACGATACCAGATAAATGTGATTAAATATCCACCAACTAAACCTATGGGGAAAAGAACGTATTGTGCATATATATATATATAGTTATTATATATATTATATATGTGTGTGTGTGTAATTTTACTCTAATTGTATTTTTATATTAATATATGTATATATTAATAAAAAATACACTTAGTATGACATTGTATGTATATATTTTAATTTAGTAACATTTTTTATTTTATTTCAGTACAGGCAGTCCCCCTGCAGGCAGCACTATGGACGCCTATTGCAGCCATGTGACCGCTCTTTCAGAGCAGTCAAATGGCCCGCTGGTTCCTAATTTGCCTAGGGGGGACTGTCTGGGCTGTCAGACAGTCCCCCAGACGGAGAGGAACATCGATCGCCGGCAGGGGAAAGACAGTGATCGGGTAAGTAAATAGGAATGAATTCCGCGGACATACTAGGTACATCCGAGGTCCTTAAGGACCGTTTTTTGTCGGACGTGCCTAGTATGTCCGAGGTCGGGAAGGGGTTAATTTCATTTACTTTGCAAAATTAATCTTTTGTCCATAAACCCCCAGGCACTTTCATATGTATAAGCAAAAAAAGGGGGATGATCTGCTGAACCAATCATAAATAAAACAACATAGCGTATAACTGTGTATGATGACAAATTGTAGCAGTTATATTCACAAATGGCCACTCACACTTTTGCTGAAGTTTGCAAGCCTTGAATATTTTCCTTTTCAAAATAGGAATTCCAAATCCTCTGTCTGGGTTAAAATCTCCATAGATATATTGGCATGTATGTGCTCAGGAAAGAAATGTATATAAAAGAATATAAGATGCACATTCAGAGTGAAGTACAAAAAAGTATTTAATAACTTACATCAAGATATAAAATCATCAGTGTAGTCCCTCTATGTCACCACCAGGAAAGTTCCTTTCTGTTGATATAAATTAAGCACTTATTACACTGTGGTGGGTGTTCACACACATTGTTTCTTTCTGTACTTTCATATGTATACCTGGAACGATTACCAGCCTGTAGAGGAAGACATTTCTCTTCCGGGAGCCACTGGGTGCACTGTAGTGCTTAGATTATCCATTGTAGCAAATTATGCTATAATCCAGCTCAGACAAGGCAAAACCAAGGCAAACATTGCAAATGAAGACAAGAAATTGAAACGTAATTTTGCCTTCTCTCTCTGTGCTTTCTCTATTCTGACTGCCAGGTGCAAAGAACAGTTTACAAATATAAATTTTTAGATATAGGAATAAATAAATAGAATAATAAAATCCTTGGACGTGACAGTTTCCCTTTATAGGAATACTCCATTGGCAAAATTTAGATTAATAAAGAAAATGCACAGATTTATTTACAAAAGTGATTCAAAGTGGATTTTAAAATTTAGGCTAAAATTGCAAAATTCTCCTAGTCAGTTGTCAGTTTGTATTTTTGAGCCTTACATTTTAGGTTAATTTTGAATTCCTGGTACATTCTCAAATTAGTGAATTGTTACATAGTTATTATATAGGCTGAAAAAAAGACTTGAATCATAGAAACACAGAATGTGACGGCAGATAAGAACCATTCGGCCCATCTAGTTTGCCCAATTTTCTAAATACTTTCATTAGTCCCTGGCCTTATCTTATAGCTAGGATAGCCTTAAGCCTATCCCACGCATGCTTAAACTCCTTTACTGTGTTGGATCAAAGGCAAAAAAAAAATGTGAGGATGGCTGAACTTGATGGGCGCAAGTCTCTTTTCAGCTATGTAACTAAGTAACTTTGGAACTATGTAACCTCTACCACTTCAGCTGGAAGGCTATTCCATGCATCCACTACCCTCTCAGTAAAGTAATACTTCCTGATATTATTTTTAAACCTTTGTCCCTCTAATTTAAGACTATGTCCTCTTGTAGTTGTTCTTCTTTTAAATATAGTCTCCTCCTTTACTGTGTTGATTCCATTTATGTATTTAAATGTTTCTATCAAATCCCCCCTTTCTCGTCTTTACTCCAAGCTATACATGTTAACACCCTTTAACTTTTCCTTGTAAATTTTATTTTGTAATCCATGAACCAGTTTAGTAGCCCTTCTTCGAACTCTCCCCAAAGTATCAATATCCTTCTGGAAATATGGTCTCCAGTACTGCGTACAATACTCCTTGTACAATACTGTGTAAATCGTATTGAATCTTGACTCAGAATATGTTTACTCTTTGAAGATTACTAGTATTTACTGAGGATAAATATTAGCAAGCAAAAGAAAAAAATACAGTAGGCTGAAAATGGAAATATAATTTAACAAGTTCATAGCAAAACATACAAATAACGTGATATGGAAATAATGTTTGGTCCCTAGGGTTCCTTTAGGGGCCCACCTGGACTTTTTGAAGTTTTGCTTTTATGCAACTCTTGTCAACTGAAAGAAACAAAAAAAACACACTTCCTCAAATTAAAACCAAAGTCTCTCTCACCTTCTCTAAGCAGAGGTAAAGCATGCTCTACTAAACTAACTGACAATGTTCTTTCACCTTTTTTAGGTTCCTTTAAAAAAAAACTGTTATGATATTCATACTTGGCAATATGTTGGTACTGCCTCTTTTTTAGTGGACAGATTATTTTTCAGGGATGATCAATGCTCTGTCACCAGTGGCGTCTTGCAACCTCGCAGTCCACAGGAGGAGGGATCCTTTCCATTTACTCCTTGCTCAATTTGCAAGATTGTGTCAACATTAGTAGTGAGGAAAGGAGCACCAGACTAGAAGTGCTATGCCATACCTCTCAACATTGGTTTCGGAGCAGTTCAGAGAAGGGAAATACAGGATGGCCGTAACTTGTAACGTATATTTCAGGATAAACCACTGAATTCCAAACATGGCAGCATTTACCTTTAGGTACGCACCAACCATCACAGTAGGAAGCACAGGAGAAGGAACTTTGAAGTCTGTTTTAGCAGGCCAAGATTTTATGCTCACTAGACCAATATTTGTGTGGAACCAGCCTGGTTTTAACCGCTTAACCCAAACAGCACATTTGCAAAAGTTGCATCCCTGGATGTATTCTTTTAGTCATCAGGAGTTTGACCTAGCTCTCTTCCTGAGGAGATGACAAAGGTCCACTGGATTCATGAGGCCAAGCCAGGACTAAGCCTCTTTCTCTGAAAACCCAGTAAACAGTGATTACCTGGGTGTGCCTCTTTTATGTATACCAATATGTCTAATATCTTCTTTACCCCAGTGGTAATGACAAATGGCATATGGAGTGTGTAAGGTAGCTTATATTTTAAGCAGTGTAGGCTGTCAAAAGTTCAGATCCCCACTTGCTGTTGAAATACAGACCTGCAGCAGTTCATAAGTCTTCATGGCTGTTTAATTAATTTTTTTTCTATCTCAGATAAGTACACCAGTAGTTCAGATTACTGACTAGTGTACTTCTCCAAGTTACTTACATTTGGGCTTCCTTCTAACAAATAGGTTACATCTAGGAGGTTTTTGGTGAGCATTTAAGAAAGTTGATACACCCAATATTTGCATTAAATGAAAGAGTGCTACTAATGAATATGCTACCTGTATCAAGTTTGCCTGAACACCACAGCCTTGTAGACAGAGAAGAGGCAAAAAGTACACACTTGATTAGCATGTGTGCAAATGCCTTAGTCTAGGTCCACACAGACACTTGTTCCTATCAAGGCATGTTGCATTGATTACTACTACCAGTGTCTTCTTGCACATAGACTTCTCTAACCCAACCCTAACCCTACTCCTAACCTAACCCTAACCCTACCCGTAACCCTATCCTAACCCTATTCCTAACCCAACCCTACCCCTACTCCTTACCCAACTCAAACCCAAACCTTACCCCTAACCCTACTCCTAATCCTACCCCTACTCTTAGCCCAACGCTAACCCTAACCCTAACCCTACTCCTAATCAAACACTACTCCTAACCCTACTCCTAACCTAACCCTACCTTTAACACTACTCCTAACCCTACCCCTAACCCTACGCCAACCCCCATTCCTAACCCTACCTGTTTTGCCACTTTTCAGAAGTCCAAAGCACTACGGCACTCCCGAAATTTGGCACTTCGGCAATTCAGTTCGGTTCGGCACTTCGACACTTTGGAAATTCGGCAATTTGGCACTTCGGTTCAGTTCGGCATTCTGAAATTCAGTACTTCGCCCATTCGGATATTTCGGAAGCATCCAAATGTCCGAAATTCTGCAAAATTTAAATTCGGACCGAACCAAATTGCACATGTCTATTATATTTGCAGATAAAGAAGATTGTAAAGGGATCTTTAAATTGCCATATGTTTTGCCGTAAGTCCTTCATCAATATCTCAAGATAAAGTCAATTTAAGTATAAGAAAGTTTTGTTCTTAAAAATGCAATTTAATATCTTCAGCAGTTATGCTGATCTGTGTACCTGTTGCCACATATGTACTCTGTACAATTGGTGCCCTGCCTATTGCACTTTAGCTACTTATATTGATCAACAGCATATAATCATTTTGATTCTATAGTTGTGTCATTTACAGTATTATCATCTTTTGATTATGTCCTGATGTCTTACTGTTGTTGGTTTACATTTCCTACTTTCTTTCACTACTATCTGAATGATGTACAGGTCCTACTTGCATTTGCCTCCATTTATGATAAATGGAATTTATAGCATTTTCATTGTTTACGTGTTTGATGCAAATGCCGACTTTCCTTGAGCAGGTTTATTTAGCGGACACCATATTGCTTTGAATAGTAAATTCTAGGCTGTGAAATTAACATTAGCATTTGTTTGCATATCTTCTTATGTGTTAGTTGGAAAATACATTTGCACCCTTAAAACATTCTAACAGTTCTATGCTGATAACGCACCTAAAGAAACTGTGCTATTCTGTAGAACAAATATAGACAAGATTAAGGTTTAACTTATTTGCCACCGATTGCCAGCCAGTACTATGTGAGAACATAAAATATGTGTTTCTTGGAACTGGTATTAGTAATATCAACTTATGCTTCCCTCATTGCATGACTAGATCTGCCAAGCTCCGGCTCCCTGCTGTGAAGGACATAATAAACCCAATCACACCTTCTCTGACCATGCTTTCTATTGGCTCCCAGCCCTTTAACAGTAACTGATCACAGTTTCCTCACTCATAACCATTCTGAATCTGTTCTGCTTGCATTTAATGGTTCTAACCTTCAGGTATTACACAACCTGGGTAACTGTCACAATAAAAGGTACCACCAGCAACAAACGTCAAAGGTACTTGGATAGTCATTCCAATCCTCCAGATCATTAAATTTTTTTTGCCATAAAAACCCACACAATTGAGTTTGTTTGTAAGTACACTAATCATGAGCCAAACAGCTGCCTATACAAAAATAAAATGAATGCTAATATATATATATATATATATATATATATATATATATATATATATATTTCAAGATGATATTTCAATTGATGCTATCATAAAGGGGCAGTCCAGCCCAGATTATGTTGTAAGTGCAGTGTATAGTTAATTCATTTTGATATAATTTTGATATTTGATATATGCAAAACCAATCAATCAATAATATATATGTATATACAGGGAGTGCAGAATTATTAGGCAAGTTGTATTTTTGAGGATTAATTTTATTATTGAACAACAACCATGTTCTCAATGAACCCAAAAAACTCATTAATATCAAAGCTGAATATTTTTGGAAGTAGTTTTTAGTTTGTTTTTAGTTATAGCTATGTTAGGGGGATATCTGTGTGTGCAGGTGACTATTACTGTGCATAATTATTAGGCAACTTAACAAAAAACAAATATATACCCATTTCAATTATTTATTATTACCAGTGAAACCAATATAACATCTCAACATTCACAAATATACATTTCTGACATTCAAAAACAAAACAAAAACAAATCAGTGACCAATATAGCCACCTTTCTTTGCAAGGACACTCAAAATCCTGCCATCCATGGATTCTGTCAGTGTTTTGATCTGTTCACCATCAACATTGCGTGCAGCAGCAACCACAGCCTCCCAGACACTGTTCAGAGAGGTGTACTGTTTTCCCTCCTTGTAAATCTCACATTTGATGATGGACCAAAGGTTCTCAATGGGGTTCAGATCAGGTGAACAAGGAGGCCATGTCATTAGATTTTCTTCTTTTATACCCTTTCTTGCCAGCCACGCTGTGGAGTACTTGGACGCGTGTGATGGAGCATTGTCCTGCATGAAAATCATGTTTTTCTTGAAGGATGCAGACTTCTTCCTGTACCACTGCTTGAAGAAGGTGTCTTCCAGGAACTGGCAGTAGGACTGGGAGTTGAGCTTGACTCCATCCTCAACCCGAAAAGGCCCCACAAGCTCATCTTTGATGATACCAGCCCAAACCAGTACTCCACCTCCACCTTGCTGGCGTCTGAGTCGGACTGGAGCTCTCTGCCCTTTACCAATCCAGCCACGGGCCCATCCATCTGGCCCATCAAGACTCACTCTCATTTCATCAGTCCATAAAACCTTAGAAAAATCAGTCTTGAGATATTTCTTGGCCCAGTCTTGACGTTTCAGCTTGTGTGTCTTGTTCAGTGGTGGTCGTCTTTCAGCCTTTCTTACCTTGGCCATGTCTCTGAGTATTGCACACCTTGTGCTTTTGGGCACTCCAGTGATGTTGCAGCTCTGAAATATGGCCAAACTGGTGGCAAGTGGCATCGTGGCAGCTGCACGCTTGACTTTTCTCAGTTCATGGGCAGTTATTTTGCGCCTTGGTTTTTCCACACGCTTCTTGCGACCCTGTTGACTATTTTGAATGAAACGCTTGATTGTTCGATGATCACGCTTCAGAAGCTTTGCAATTTTAAGAGTGCTGCATCCCTCTGCAAGATATCTCACTATTTTTGACTTTTCTGAGCCTGTCAAGTCCTTCTTTTGACCCATTTTGCCAAAGGAAAGGAAGTTGCCTAATAATTATGCACACCTGATATAGGGTGTTGATGTCATTAGACCACACCCCTTCTCATTACAGAGATGCACATCACCTAATATGCTTAATTGGTAGTAGGCTTTCGAGCCTATACAGCTTAGAGTAAGACAACATGCATAAAGAGGATGATGTGGTCAAAATACTCATTTGCCTAATAATTCTGCACTCCCTGTAAACATACTAACTTTAAAAGTTACTACATTTGGAACAAATCTCCCTACATTACAACTTTAGTCTTGATCTCACCCACTCTGTAAATTAGCCTAGTCAGGCAGGACCCTCTTATTCAACTTATGGAGCCTGACTTGTTGGAGTGTTCACCCAAGCACAGCGAAGATTAATGTGAAGTAATGTGGGTGATTGGCAGCAAGATTTATGTGCACAGCCTCAGTTTTGGTCAGAACAGGGATTTCTGCATCCTAAGAGTAGGGTTTGAGGAATCAATAACTTTTTTTTAAAATTAATAAATAAATTTCAATGATATTACATACAATGAATGCCTAATGTATAGAGATTTATTTGACAAGGTATGCGACATTTGGCAACTCACAAAGCTGGGCTCTTTCAATTACATTGTTCTGAACATTATTTGATGATTGAACCTCTAGTTTTTAAATTTCTACACATATATTCTTCTTGAGCTTCTCAAGTTTATGTGTTTTTTTCACGTACACCTGTTCCTTCAGTTATCCCCACAGAAAGTAATCAGGAGCAGAATGGTCGGGTAAATGTGACCGCTAAATAATCTGGGAATTTCTTAAAATTATTCGCTCACCGAACAGCTGTCTCAGGAGGTCCAATATGGCCCTGGTTGTATAGGCAGTAGCCCATTCTGTTGAAACCACATTTCTTACATTGAAGTGGCGGCGATAAGCTCTTTGTCAAATTAATGGACCTGCAATTTTGAGAGTAAAATTCCACAATTTGTACACATTGTTCCTTCGTGAAATTACTCATGATGAATCTCAGTTATTTCAAGTTATCTCAAGTTATTTACTTTATTTATAAAATATTTTACCAGGAAAGATACATTGAGATTTCTCTCGTTTTCAAGTATGTCCTTGGTCCACAAATCAATTTACTTGTCAAATCCTATTCTGAATTTTGGCCCACCATGTTGTTCATTTACCAGTTTTCTATCTATAAAAGATTTTAGCTGAACTACAAATCCCAGAAACCTTTGTTGTAATCCCTGATCACCTATTCAGCTTCGCACTGGAGACTGAAGACAGGAAAAGACATGGTTTTGTACACATATTCAGAAACCAACAAAAGCATATTTTCATATACCACCGCTATAGTGAGTTAAGCTTGAAGAACTGGTCATTTTAGATTTCTTTCAGAATCGTAACACTTCAGGAGAGCTACTTATGAAAAAAAAAATGTTCCTTTAAATCAGCATCTATCATTTGTCAAGTACCACCCATTTTTCACTATGCAGGAAAGAAGAGAAAGAAGAAAAGTCTAGTTGCATTTTTTTATACTGATGTGTTCCCACCATGCCTAAAGATGGCAATAAATTTAATTTATTTTTGTGAAATACTTCCGATGGCTGTTTCAGTTTAACAAATAACACTTTAAATGAGTTGTCATGTGACATGTTATTGAGTTTGATGGTAACTCTGGACATTTTACTAATTGTCTTGGTTAAAAAGCAATGTACTGTACACTAACAATTAAAAGTTTATCCTATAAATATTTACTTGGGAAGTAAAGTCTGCCTCAGCAGTATATTCACGAGGACAGTGTTGGCTGGAGATAGCACATACTGGGAAACAAGCTTCTGAAAGCTTTATTTAGCTTGCTAAAATTGGTCACTGCTAATGCGATACAAGTAATGCTAGCACTTTTCCTAACACTGTACATTTGACACTTGAGCTAAACCCCCTGCAGTATTAAAGGCAAACTGACACTCAGGGTTGCCATTGGATGGGGTAAGCCCAATACTTGTATTCTGTAATACTATGCAGTTTGATTTTACCCTCAACTAACTAGACTGTATTGCAGATCTGTCATGGGCCAGCCCCCCAAGAGCTGCAGTGGTTATTGTGCCTGGATTATTTCGTTAAATAATCTACTAGTTCCCCTCTTGAGATTAGGTTCTGGATCCGCCCCTGATTCGGCCAGTGCTCAAACAAAAGCTGCGCAAAAGTGTAAGGGAAAGTGCAGCCTTGATAATGCAGCCACTAAACCTCACATCTCTCAAGTAGGATAGGTAGCCTTTGAAGACAGACCCCCCTACTGATGTATGATGTCAAAATGTAGGAGTGGAATGGGGTTCTTCCACTTTAAGATGGCACATGGTCCCTACAGCTAAGAAGGTGAAGTTCTAAATTTAAAGTAAATGTCTGGTGTAGATAGTGTATGGGGAAGATGTTGATGGTAAAGAGGAGAAGGAAGAGATTGGTTTCCAGGTAGGGATAAGCACAATGGGCATGATGAGAAGGTATAAGTACAATGGTCATGATAAGAAGCAGATGTAGTTAACATTGGCATTGAAAAATATGTCATTGGGGATATAGCTGGTGGAGCTACATTGGGGGATCTGGCTCGGAGGAATATGGTTAGGAAAGTTACATTGGAGGATATGGCGGGTGGGCAGACTAGATGGGCCGAATGGTTCTTATCTGCCGTCACATTCTATGTTTCTATGTCTATGTTTCTATGTGGAGGGGTATGACTATGGGAGATATATTTGTAGATTTTGTTAAGGGAGATATATTCAGGAGAATGTGGTTGGCGTATATTTGGAGGGATATGGTTGGGGATGTTGTATTGAGGGGATAGGACTGATATATTGGGGTTTATGGCTGGAAGAAGGAATTTTCAGTGGAGTATCTGGAGGGAGAACATTGGGGGAATATGCACACGTCGAGTTTGTGTGAATAGGGGCATTACTTTGTTCTGCAAGGGAAGCAGCCCTCCAGTGGCAAAAACAAAAGGGAAACAGGAATGTGGCTACAAGCCAATATAGAAGCATATAATATATAGTGTATATATAAATATTTGTGTGAGTGCATATCTCTCATTGTATCTGTTTTTGTGGTTTGCAATGTTAGCACGTGTCTCTCACTGTGTATGTCTGTCTGTAGGTGTCTGTAAGTGTATGTCTGTCTGGCAGTGAGTATTCTTTCATGTGTGTGTGTATCTGTGTATGTGTGGTAATCTCTATCTGTGTGTATATATCTGGGTGTCTGGGAATGTGTGTCAAGGGGTGTCTAGTCAGTTAATCTGTAATGAGATCCCAAGACTTCTGATGGCAAACCTGCTGGTGCTTGAATCATGCACCTCACCGTAATAAATTCTATTGAAGCATAAAGGCAAATTACACTTACTTGCCCTGATTTTTCAAGTACAAATGCCTGTATAGTCCCATGATGTTCATACTAATTTTGGCACCTACTTTCAAAGTGCTGTACAACAAACAATTAGGCTTTCCTTACATCTGCTTTAATGCACCTTAATGGCATCCACTTACCTAGCTTCACAGCGGGCAAGAAAATATACTTGGTATGCCAGTTTGTGCCATGACAGCTATGGAACATAATATAAATAGTGATGTCGCGAACCGAAAATTTCTGTTCGCGAACGGTGAACGCGAACTTCCGCAGATGTTCGTGAACCGGGCGAACCGCCATAGACTTCAATGGGCAGGCGAATTTTAACACACACAGGGACTCTTTCTGGCCACAATAGTGATGGAAAAGTTGTTTCAAGGGGACTAACACCTGGACTGTGGCATGCCGGAGGGGGATCCATGGCAAAACTCCCATGGAAAATTACACAGTTGATGCAGAGTTTGGTCTTAATCCATAAAGGGCATAAATCACCTAACATTCCTAAATCACAATGGATATGGATTGACACCTGACATATGACATATTGACACCTTGACATATGGATTGACACCTGTCCTCAGAGACCCTGATGCACACTGACACAGAGCAGAATAGAGACTGTCCCCCTACATAGGGTCACTTGGCAGATATGGATTGACACCTGTCCTAAGGATCCCTGATACACACTGACACAGAGCAGAATAGGGACTGTTCCCCCTACATAGGGTCACTTGGCAGGTATGGATTGACACCTATCCTCAGGATCCCTGATACACACCGACACAGAGCAGAATAGGGACTGTTCCCCCTACATAGGGTCACTTGGCAGGTATGGATTGACACCTATCCTAAGGATTGATACACACCGACACAGAGCAGAATAGGGACTGTTCCCCCTACATAGGGTCACTTGGCAGATATGGATTGACACCTGTCCTCAGAGCCCTGATACACACTGACACAGAGCAGAATAGAGACTGTTCCTCCTACATTGGGTCACTTGGCAGATATGGATTGACACCTGTCCTCAGAGCCCCTGATACACACTGACACAGAGCAGAATAGAGACTGTTCCTCCTACATAGGGTCACTTGGAAGATATGGATTGACACCTATCCTCAGAGATCATGATACACACTGACACAGAGCAGAATAGAGACTGTTCCTCCTACATAGGGTCACTTGGCAGATATGGATTGACACCTGTCCTCAGAGCCTCTGATACACACTGACACAGAGCAGAATAGAGACTGTTCCTCCTACATAGGGTCACTTGGCAGATATGGATTGACACCTGTCCTCAGAGCCCCTGATACACTGACACAGAGCAGAATAGAGACTGTTCCTCCTACATAGGGTCACTTGGCAGATATGGATTGACACCTGTCCTCAGAGACCATGATACACACTGACACAGAGCAGAATAGGGACTGTTCCTCCTACATAGGGTCACTTGGCAGATATGGATTGACACCTGTCCTCAGAGCCCCTGATACACACTGACACAGAGCAGAATAGGGACTGTTCCTCCTACATAGGGTCACATGGCAGATATGGATTGACACCTGTCCTCAGAGCCCTGATACACACTGACACAGATCAGAATAGGGAATGTTACCCCAACATAGGGTCACTTGGCAGATATGGATTGACACCTGTCCTCAGAGCCCCTGATACACACTGACACAGAGCAGAATAGGGAATGTTACCCCAACATAGGGTCACTTGGCAGATATGGATTGACACCTGTCCTCATAGCCCCTGATACACACTGACACAGAGCAGAATAGAGACTGTTCCTCCTACATAGGGTCACTTGGCACATATGGATTGACACCTTACATAGTTACATAGTTACATAGTTACATAGCTGAAAAGAGACTTGTGTCCATCAAGTTCAGCCTACCTCACATTTGTTTTTTGCTGTTGATCCAAAAGAAGGCAAAAAAACCCAGTTTGAAGCACAATTTTGCAACAAGCTAGGAAAAAAATTTCTTCTTGACCCCAGAATGGCAGTCAGATTTATCCTTGGATCAAGCAGTTATTACCCTACATTGAAAGATTATATCCTTGAATATTCTGTTCTTGCAAGTATGCATCTAGTAGCCGTTTGAACATCTGTATGGACTCTGATAAAACCACTTCTTCAGGCAGAGAATTCCACATCCTGATTGTTCTTACAGTAAAAAACCTTTCCTTTGCCTTAGATGAAATCTTCTTTCTTCCAGTCTAAACGCATGGCCTCGTGTCCTATGTAAAGTCCGGTTTGTGAATAGATTTCCACACAATGGTTTGTATTGGCCCCGAATATATTTGTATAATGTTATCATATCCCCTCTCAGGCGACGTTTTTCTAAACTAAATAGGTTTAAATTTGTTAACCTGTCCTCAGAGAGATCAAGTGATACACACCGACACAGAGCAGAATAGAGACTGTTCCCCCACATAGGGTCACTTGGCAGATATGGATTGACACCTGTCCTCAGAGATCATGATACACACCGACACAGAGCAGAATAGAGACTGTTCCCCCTACATAGGGTCACTTGGCAGGTATGGATTGACACCTGTCCTCAGAGCCCCTGGTACACACTGACACAGAGCAGAATAGAGACTGTTCCCCCTACATAGGGTCACTTGGCAGATATGGATTGACTGTTCCCCCTACATACACACTATTGGATCTCGCAAAACCAAGGATCTAAATCATGTTCCTGTATCGTACATGAAAAACCTACTCATACAAAATCTCTTCCCAAATGTCATTTCGTTCAAAGTGGAGAGAATGTTAAAAAAATATATTTTTGTTCTGAGTGTGAGAAATGCTTTTCAGCCGCTTCCAATCTTAAGCATCATTTGAGGAGCCATACAGGAGAGAAGCCTTATTTTTGTTCTCTCAAAGAGGCCACTTTTATATTCAATATATAACAGTGAAAAAAGTTTTTGGGTTTTAAATGCAAGCTATTGTGACACCAGTGAGTGAGTGGTGGCACTGGGCACAGTATCCACTGTGAGCCTGACACACCTGCTTTGAGACAACTAACTGCATTCAATCTATAACAGTGAAAAAGTTTTTTGGTTTTAAATGCACGCTATAGACACACCAGATATGAGTGGGCAAAGTACACGGGCAGAGGTCTGCAGAGCACACGCTGAAGGAGGCCTGACACCCGCTTTAAGGACACTGACTGCTATTAGCTTACACTGAAAAACTTTTTTTCTTTGTAAAAGCACGCTATAGAGACACCAGATATGAGTGGCAAAGTACACGGGCAGAGGTCTGCAGAGCACACGCTGAAGGAGGCCTGACACCCGCTTTAAGGACACTGACTGCTATTAGCTTACACTGAAAAACTTTTTTTCTTTGTAAAAGCACGCTATAGAGACACCAGATATGAGTGGCAAAGTACACGGGCAGAGGTCTGCAGAGCACACGCTGAAGGAGGCCTGACACCCGCTTTAAGGACACTGACTGCTATTAGCTTACACTGAAAAACTTTTTTTCTTTGTAAGAGCACGCTATAGAGACACCAGATATGAGTGGCAAAGTACACGGGCAGAGGTCTGCAGAGCACACGCTGAAGGAGGCCTGACACCCGCTTTAAGGACACTGACTGCTATTAGCTTACACTGAAAAACTTTTTTTCTTTGTAAGAGCACGCTATAGAGACACCAGATATGAGTGGCAAAGTACACGGGCAGAGGTCTTTCTTTTTAAATGTCAAGCTTAAGCTATTGTGACACCAGATATGAGTGGTGGCACTGGGCAAATGGGCACAGTATCCACTATGAGCCTGACACAGAAGCTGGCAGGCAACTAACTGCTATTCCAGGGCTCGAGTCCTGTTCCCGCTAGTGATCCTGCCGGACATGTGCCTGCTCACACTAGTCTCCCCCGCGGTAGTTTACTGAGGAGTGAAGACTGCAGTGGGTGGGGCGTTTTACATCACTTCCTGTCAGGCCCTGCTAGAGGATTACCGAGCAGGGAGAGGTAAGAACATCTCTTTTCAGATAATTACACACCACCAACGGTAAGCGGCCATGTTTTATTTATTTTTTCATGAAATAATAATGTACCTAGCACAGAGCTCCACAGAGCTAAATCTTATAGTTCATGTGGCGCTCTGTGATTTATTGGTCCAACAGTGCCACCTCACTTCTATTCCTCTTATGCTTCCTCTCCCCTAAACACTAGCAGCCATCCCTCACTCACCCTTATCACTAGCAGCCATCCCTCACTCACCCCTATCACTAGCAGCCATCCATCCCTCACCCCTATCACTAGCAGCCATCCCCTTCTTCTCCCATCACTAGCAGCCACCCCTCTCTCACCCCTATCACTAGCAGCCATCTTCTTCTCTACATCACTAGCAGCCATCCCCTTCTCCTCCCATCACTAGCAGCCACCCCTCTCTCATCCCTATCACTAGCAGCCATATTCTTCTCTACATCACTAGCAGCCATCTCCCTTCTAGCAGCTCTTCCTACATCACTAGCAGCCATCCCCTTCTCCTCCCATCACTAGCAGCCACCCCTCTCTCACCCCTATCACTAGCAGCCATCTTCTTCTCTACATCACTAGCAGCCATCCCCTTTCCCCCATCACTAGCAGCCATCCTCCTCTCCCCTATCATTAGCAGCCACCCTTTCTCCCCACCAGCAGCCATCCTCCTCTTCCCATCACTAGCAGCCATCCCTCACTCATCCTTATCACTAGCAGCCATCACCTTTCCCCCCATCACTAGCAGCAGCCATCCCCTTTCCCCCATCACTAGCAGCCATCCTCCTCTCCCCTATCATTAGCAGCCATCCACCTGTCCCTCATCACTAGCAGCAATCCCTCACTCACCCCTATCACTAGCAGCCATCCCTTCTCCCCCATCACTAGCAGCCACACATTCTCCCCATCACTACCCGCCATTACTCTCACCCCTATCACTAACAGCAATCCTCCTCTCTCTGTTACTAGTAGCTATCATCCTCTCTCCCTCCCATCACTTGCAGCCGTCCCCCTCTCTCCCGCCCATAACTAGCAGCTATCCCTCTCCTCCTCTCATCACTAGCAGTATATGTCTGTTTATGTATGTCTCTGTATGCCTTTCGTCTGTTTGTCTCTTTATGACTGTGTGTAAATCTCTGTATGACTGCGTCTGTATGTCCTCTGTATAACTGTGTCTGAATGCCTTGTTCTGTATGTCACTGTATGACTGTATCTTTATGTCACTGTATGACTGTGTCTTCATGTCTCTGTATGACTGTGTCTTCATGTCTCTGTATGACTGTCTGCGTGTCTCTGTATGACCGGTTGCCTGTATGTCTGTGTATGACTGTCTGTGTGTCTGTGCATGACTGGTTGCTTGTATGACTGTGTTTGTTTGTGTTCCTTTTATGACTACGTGCCTGTATGGTTGTGCCTTTGTGCATGTATGTATTTGTACCTGTATATCTATGTCTGTATGGTTTGGGAGGAAAAAGCCAGGCAAAGGGGCTCATGGTGGGAGAAACAGACACAGAAAGGGGCTAAGGGCAGATAGAGACACAGAAAGTGGCTGGGGGGAAGAAAGAGACACAAAAGGGCTGTGAAGAGAAAAGAGACACACAAAAGGAGCTGATGAGGAAGTAAGAGAAACACAAAGGTTGTGGTAGGAAGAAAGAGATATACAAAGGGCCTGGAGAGGGAACACAGAGTGTGCTGGGCCTCCGTGTGCAGCGGCTGTCTCTCTCCACCATACCACCAGGCAATCTCCCCCCTCCCTGGCAAAGTTAGAATATAAACACATACATTTAAAAAAAAAAATGCTCCCCCCTTTCATCCAGCACACACACACACACACATCATCCAACACACACAAAACATCCAGCACACACACATCATCCAGCACATACACACAAACATCATCCAGCACACACACACACACACACATACACATCATTCAGCACACACACACACACACACACACACACACACACACACACATCTTCCAGCACACACACACTGCATTCATTACACACAATCTGCACTTACTACAAACACACTAAATTCATTATACACACTCTGCACTCATTACAAACACACTACATTCAATATACACACTCTGCACTCACTACACACACTGCATTCCTTATACACACTCTGCATTCACTACATTCACTATACACACTCTGCACTCACTACAAACACACTACATTCACTACACACACTGCACTCACTACACATTACATTTAGTATACACACTACATCCTTTGTACACACTCTGCACTCACTACAAACACACTACAGTCATTATACACACTCTGCATTCACTACAAACACACTACATTCATTATACACACAATTCATTCATTATACACACTCTGCACTCACTACAAACACACTACAGTCATTATACACACTCTGCATTCACTACAAACACACTACATTCATTATACACACACTGCATTCACTACAAACACACTTCATTCATTATACACACTCTGCACTCACTATAAACACACTACATTCATTATACACACTCTGCATTCACTACAAAAACACTACATTCATTATACACACTGCACTCACTACAAACACAGTACATTTATTATACACACTATACTCACTACAAACACACTACATTCATTATATACACCCTGCACTGCACTATATGCATAGGAGTATAATTTTTTTTAGTTTTTTGGGAGATGGGGGCAGGAATCTTGGGTGAGTTCCCACACTTTTTCACCCAGGACTTGACCCCTGTGCTATTCAATCTATTACAGTGAAAAAATGTTTTTCTTTTTAAATGTCAAGCATAAGCTAGTGTGACACCAGAAATGAGTGGTGGCACTGACTGGGCAAATGGGCACAGTATCCACTGTGAGCCTGACACAGAAGCTGGCAGGCAGGCAACTGCAATTACATTACAAAAAAAAAAAAAGCAGACTGATGTTCTAGCCCTAAAAGGGCTTTTTGGGGTGCTGTCCTTCAGGACTGTAGTGGACACTGAATACCCTAGCCTAGCTATCAATTTCCCTATCTAATGAGCAGCAGCTACACTTTCCCTCCTCTCACTAAGCATGCAGCTTCAGAATTAATCTAAAATGGATGCTGGGAGGGAGGTGGGAGGGTCTGGAAGGGAGGGTCTGCTGCTAATTTGCTGGAATGTGTCTGCTGACCGTGAGGCACAGGGTCAAAGTTTGCTCAATGATGACGAATAGGGGGCGGATCGAACCGCGCATGTGTTCGCCCGCGGCAGAGAATGCGAACACGCTATGTTCGCCACGAACTATTCGCCGGCGAACAGTTCGGTACATCACTAAATATAAAAGATGGATAAATTGTCAATATTATATTTAGGTGACAGTTACCCTTGAAAGGGACACTAACCTGCAGATGAAGTGTTTTTTACAGTAGAGTCCCACCAGAGGCAGCTCTAGACTCTGAGTGGCTTTGGTCGAAACTTAAAAATGAGGCCCATGAAATCATAGTTACATAGTTACATAGTTACCTAGCTGAAAAGAGACTTGCGTCCATCAAGTTCAGCCTTCCTCACAAATGTTTTTGCTGTTGATCCAAAAGAAGGCAAAAAACCTGGTCTGAAGCGCTTCCAATTTTGCCACAAACTAGGAAAAAATTCCTTCTTGACCCCAAAATAGCAGTCAGATGTCTCCTTGGATCAAGCAGCTATTACCCCACTAATTAGAAATTATATCCCTGTATGTTATGTTTTTGTAAGTATTTATCCAATTTCAGTTTAAACATCTGTATGGACTCTGACAAAACCACCTCTCCAGGCAAAGAATTCCATATCCTTATTGTTCTTACTGTAAAAAAAAACCTTTTCTTTGCTTTAGATGAAATCTCCTTTCTTCCGGCCTAAATGTGTAACCTCGTGTCCTATGTATAGCCCTGTTTATGAAAAGATAAGGTTTGTACTGGCCCCGAATATATTTGTATAAAGTTATCATATCCTCTCTCAGGTGCCGTTTTTACAAACTAAACAGATTTAATTTTTTTAACCTTTCTTCATAACTAAAATGCTCCATTCCTTTTATCAATTTTGTAGCTCATCTCTGGACCCTCTCCAGTGCCATGATATCCTTCTTTAGAACAGGCGCCCAGAATTGCACAGCATATTCAAGGTGTGGTCTTACCAGCAATTTATAAAGAGGCAAAATTATATTTTCATCACAAGAATTTATGCCCCTATTTATACATGACAAACTCTTACTGGCCTTAGCAACTGCAGATTGACATTGCATATTGCTGCCTAATTTGTTGTCTATAACAATTCCCAAATCCTTCTCGTGTGTGGTTATCCCTAATTCACTACCATTTAGTGTGTAAGTTGCTTGTGCATTCTTAACCCCGAAGTGCATAACTTTGCATTTCTCTATGTTAAATTTAATCTGTAATTTTAGTTCCCAGTCCCCCAATCTATCCAAATCTCTCTGCAGCAAAGCAATATCCTGCTCACATTTTATTACTTTACAAAGTTTTGTGTCATCTGCAAACACTGATACATGGCTTTCAATGCCTATTTCAAGATCATTTATAAATATGTTAAATAGAAGTGGTCCCAAAACAGAACCCTGAGGGACACCACTTACCACTTTTGTCCAGCCTGAAAATTTACCATTAATTACAACTCGTTGTACTCTATCCTTAAGGCAATGTTCTACCCAAGAACAAGAATATTCATCTAGACCAATTTCTTTGAGTTTGAAGACTAACCTATTGTGAGGAACCGTATCAAATGCCTTGGCAAAATCCAAGTAGATCACATCCACTGCAACACCCTGATCTATACTTCTACTTACTTCTTCGTAGAATGCAATTAGGTTAGTTTGACATGACCTATGTTTCATAAAACCATGCTGATTATTGCTAATAACAAAGTTCTTCCCAATGAATTCCTGAATATTATCCCTTAATAGCCCTTCAAATATTTTCCCAGTTACAGAAGTTAAGCTCACAGGTCTATAATTTCCAGGCAAGGATTTTGAACCCTTTTTAAATATAGGAACAACATCTGCCTTCCTCCAATCCTCCGGTACAACACCTGAAACAAAAGAATCTTGAAAAATTAAATACAGAGGTTCACTTATTTCCCCACTTAGCTCCTTAAGTACTCGTGGGTGAATACCGTCAGGCCCCGGAGCTTTATTTACATTAATTTTCTTTAATAGCTGTAGCACTTTGTCTCGAGTTATCCAATCACAAGTTATTTGCAAGTTTTTTGCAGCAATCATTTGCATATCTCTTGCCATAGGATCCTCATTAATATATACTGAAGAAAAATAGTTATTTAAAATGTCTGCTTTTTCCTGGTCTTCATTAGCTAATAAACCCAACTCTGTTTCAAGTGTACCTACACTTTCATTTTTTGTTTTTTTAGAATTGATGTACTTGAAAAAAATGTTGGGGTTGGTTTTGCATTCTTTAGCTATCAATTTCTCATTTTCTAGTTTAGCCACTTTAATTGCCTTTTTGCAAGCGTTATTGGCTTCCTTATATCTTAAATAGGATGCCTTTGATTTGTCTGATTTAAATGCTTTAAATGCCCTTTTCTTATTTTTAATCTCTTGTTTTACTTCTCTACTAAGCCACATTGGTTTTAATTTGTTTCTTTTATATTTATTATCCAATGGTACATACTGAGAAATGTACCTTTCTAAAATTTGTTTGAATAGTTTCCATTTATCCTCAATGTTTTTATCACTAAGGAGTTTATGCCAGTCGATATGTTGTAGAGCTGTAAATCCATAATGTTGTAAATCCATAATGAAAGCAAAATGCAAGCAATAATAAAATTTCCCTGGTGTCTTGTGGTGGTGCCTTCCATTTTCCCCTATGCATGTGGAACAGTTTCCAGCCAGACTTGGCCAGAATATCAGTACAGCTGACTGCTGTCACTCTTTGCACCTCCTAATAGTTGGCAACCATATGGTGGTGGCCCATGCTACAGGTCCTGTTCTCTAGTTAGGTGAGGTAGGTGGCTGCGAGGCCCCAGTGAGCACAAGGCCTTAGGCGGCCACCTATATCACCTAATTAGAGAGCCGCCTATGGGTCCAACAGTGGTGGCTTAGCTATCACATAATCAGACACATCTGGACATGCACACTAGTCTGACAGGAAGCCACACAGGTTGGCCCTTTGCAGTGATATCTATGCTCAAAGCACTGTTAGAGGACTCATAGGCCGAATCCCTATAAGTGTACTATGCACATTGTCAGCACAGCTAGTGATCCACTTGTGATGCACATTCTCGGGCCAATCCCCTGTATTCGTATTATAATACAGTAAACATAATACTTGCAGATAAATAAATGGTGGGTATGAAATGTAAATAATTGGCCCAACTATCCAACCGAGACACCCCCTACACCTACAGGTTCAGAGCCACTGACGAGCTTGAACCTACAAAGCAACTGTAATACTCCTGACTAATCTGCACCTAACCTAACCTGGCCATTCTCCACCACTGTAAAGAAATGGTAAAAACCCAACTACCAACAGACAGGGAGGGACAACTAACAGGTAAGTGAAGGTTTTAATTAAAATGGCCTGTTGATAAAATGGCCAATATATATATATATATATATATATATTTCAGTCAGGTCCATAAATATTGGGACATCGACACAATTCTAATCTTTTTGGCTCTATACACCAACACAATGGGTTTGAAATGAAACAAACAAGATGTGCTTTAACTGCAGACTTTCCACTTTAATTTGAAGGTATTTACATCCAAATCAGGTGAACGGTGTAGGAATTACAACAGTTTGTATATGTGCCTCCCACTTTTCAAGGGACCAAAAATAATGGGACAATTGGCTGCTCAGCTGCTCCATGGCCAGGTGTGTGTTATTCCCTCATTTTCCCATTTACAAGGAGCAGATAAAAGGTCCAGAGTTCATTTCAAGTGTGCTATTTGCATTTGGAATCTGTTGCTGTCAACTCTCAATATGAGATCCAAAGAGCTGTCACTATCAGTGAAGCAAGCCATCATTAGGCTGAAAAAACAAAACAAACCCATCAGAGAGATAGCAAAAACATTAGGTGTGGCCAAATCAACTGTTTGTAACATCCTTAAAAAGAAAGAACGCACCGGTGAGCTCAGCAACACCAAAAGACCAGAAGACCACGGAAAACAACTGTGGTGGATGACCAAAGAATTCTTTCCCTGGTGAAGAAAACACCCTTCACAACAGTTGGCCAGATCAAGAACGCTCTCCAGGAGGTAGGTGTATGTGTGTCAAAGTCAACAATCAAGAGAAGACTTCACCAGAGTGAATACAGAGGGTTCACCACAAGATGTAAACCATTGGTGAGCCTCAAAAACAGGAAGGCCAGATTAGAGTTTGCCAAACAACATCTAAAAAAGCCTTCACAGTTCTGGAACAACATCCTATGGACAGATGAGACCAAGATCAACTTGTACCAGAGTGATGGGAAGAGAAGAGTATGGAGAAGGAAAGGAACTGCTCATGATCCAAAGCATACCACCTCATTAGTGAAGCATGGTGGTGGTAGTGTCATGGCGTGGGCATGTATGGCTGCCAATAGAACTGGTTCTCTTGTATTTATTGATGATGTGACTGCTGACAAAAGCAGCAGGATGAATTCTGAAGTGTTTCGGGCAATATTATCTGCTCATATTCAGCCAAATGCTTCAGAACTCATTGGACGGCGCTTCACAGTGCAGATGGACAATGACCCGAAGCATACTGCAAAAGCAACCAAAGAGTTTTTTAAGGGAAAGAAGTGGAATGTTATGCAATGGCCAAGTCAATCACCTGACCTGAATCCGATTGAGCATGCATTTCACTTGATGAAGACAAAACTGAAGGGAAAATGCCCCAAGAACAAGCAGGAACTGAAGACAGTTGCAGTAGAGGCCTGACAGAGCATCACCCAGGTTCCAGACTTCAGGCTGTAATTGACTGCAAAGGATTTGCAACCATGTATTAAAAGGTGAAAGTTTGATTTATGACTGTTAATCTGTCCCATTACTTTTGGTTCCTTAAAAAGTGGGAGGCACATATACAAACTGTTGTAATTCCCACACCGTTCACCTAATTTGGATGTAAATACCCTCAAATGAAAGCAGAAAGTCTGCAGTTAAAGCACATCTTGTTTGTTTCATTTTAAACCTATTGTGTTGGTGTATTGAGCCAAAAAGATTAGAATTGTGTCGATGTCCCAATATTTATGGACCTGACTGTATATAGTAACAAACCCCACCCCCACTAACCAACTGTCACTTAATTTTAATTGGTTGCTATGACTACTTTCTGGCCCTGTCAAGGCCCATTCCCCAATCTTCGCTGTTCCATAGGCTACATATGTAATGGTAACAGCAAATAAAATGTAAAATGTAAAAGTGTTGATCAGATTAATTTACAAATATATGAAAGATTTTTTTAATGCAGAGCCAAGGGATTGTGTAATACCAAGAATTAAAAACTATGTGTTAAACCACAAGATTTTTTTAAAAGCACTGTGTTAGGATAGAATGCTGGGAGGAGTCTGGGTATACTATGATCTTTATAAAATCTTCAGTTGTCAGCTGTAAACTTTAACCTGTCTTCAGGCGTAGTCACACAAACACAACTTGGCCTCGCTACTATTTACTCGTCTTTTACCTGTTAGTAAGATTGTTCATAGACATACCAAGAGCTTGGTGTATATAGTAGGTACAGATTGGTATATTCACATCTGTTCTCTAACAATGGGTGCCAGACATTTCTGCTTTACATCTAGTCTACATACAGTGAATGATGGAAACAAAATACAAGCCTTTACCAATATCTCCCAAGTGTCTCTATTTAGGAGGTCCAAAAATAGGGCAAAATCCTTTTGTCCCATTTTCTAGGACCTCAATATTGTTGATTTGCCTAAATGTATAACAGAACTCCACAACAATAATACTCACAGTAATGTGTCTTTAAACTGCAATGAATCTATTTAGAAATCAGTCTGGGTAAATACGATGCACAGTTTTTGTTCTAATGTATACTTTAGTTACATAAATTATCTTGATAAATTACCCAAAAGTTCTCAAAACAGCCATATGAAATGTTGGGAGGTATAGTAACCCGGTATACAAGTTAAGGGGGACGGGTCAGTGACACAACTGAGTGCACACCAGGCCGACCCACTGATGGCTGCCCCTACAGGAAGCACTGTTTCAGTACTCTCAGCAGGGTCCTAAAGCCCTGAATATAACTCAGGCACATCTAATGATATGCTTGATCCATGCTTGTTGAGTACAGTTCCTTGATGTCCCCAAAAGATGGACACCAAAAAATTCGGGATGGCAGGACAGGACCTGAAAATTGGGACTGTCACACCAAAATAGGAATGGTTGGGAGGCGTGCATTTGTCATTTGTCACCTTCTTGCAGAACATTTATCTCCCAGTAGCATTTAGTCATTCCCGATTCAATTTCTTAAAGGGACAGCTTATTGTAGTTGTTCTTGTGAGTATAGTCGGTCCCTGCAGGATTTTTGCAGCAAACAGTCTTTTTCAGAGAAAAGGCAGTGTTTACATTAAAGCCTAGAGACACCTCCAGTGGTCACTCTTCAGATGGCTCCTAGAGGTGCTTCATGAGGCAGTGCTGCACAGTGTGCAATTAATGTATTTCAGTCAAAATTTCGAAATAATCTGTTTAATCATCTTCTATTCATTGGTTACTGAAGAAACATATCAGTGTTTGTACTGATATATTAATTAAATTATGAAATAATGTAAACACTGGGTAACAATTGTCAGTGGAAAAGTAAATAGTTGAGTGTGAATCAATTAAACAGCCTGTTACATGGTGTAGCAACAAGTAATAGATTGTGAACATGTAAATAAGGAACTAGAACATGCCAGCTTTCAATGCAAACTGCTACTTTAGATTTTACATCAGTTTTAAAGAATTAGCTTTTCATAATTGTAGACCTATGAATATTTTTTTCTGTAGATAACATATTCTTAAAAGGGACACTAAACCAACAGAACTATTAGTGCCCATTATAGGGGTTGTGGTGCTGTAGGTTTGATGGCGCTTTTCTTGACTGGCAAGGGTTAATATGCAAGCTCTAGAGTTTTTCCCTACAATCCTATATTGCTCCTGTAAATCCTCTCATCCCTGATAGGATGTTGTATATTTTTAGTCTCTACCCAGAAACTACACTGGAACTAATAAGCCCTCTGCTTTGATATGGATATGTGACCTTTAACTGTTAATTAATCTGGCTCTTAGAAATTCAGTGTTTGCCAGTGGATGTTTTAGCACAGGACAGATGACCTTTAAGCAGTTATTATGTTTTAACTTTAACTGTGGATGTTGTTCAAGGGGGTCAGAGTTAGAATGCACCTTTACACATAGGAAGTCGCATTTCGGTGGTATTAGGTTTCTGAAAGCCATGAAGACTTATATTTAGTTTTCCAATGCACTTTCACGTGCATGGAAAATAATAAATATCGGTGGACTGTGTGTATGTTTCACTATTTACAACTATAATTAACCATTTCTGACACGTTTTATTTTTAAACTGGTATTGAGCTATCCTAGTACTTACACCAGGAAAAAAAGCACATACAAGGTAAATCATGTTGCCCATGGCTGTGCCAGTAGAGGTTAACAAATTATAACAAATTTTATGTACTCTGTGGTTTTTACACCTCTTTGTAAATTGACTCAGCTTTTTTTTAATTACATATTACAGGTTTTTGTTTTTTTTTTATGTATGGTGGATCTGTACATATATTTTATAATTTTTTCTTGTGGTTATATTTATTATTTGGCATATTAATAGGCGTATTATTAATAATCCAGCTACTGAATTTTGCTTAGGATACTTACCGGTATATGTGCTAGACAGAATTGCTTAGTCATTCAGAATATTTGTTAATTGTACAAGTAAACAAATAAAAAAAAAATCTATTGCTAGTGGTAAAAGAGAGAATCACAGTCATGCTATACTGTAGTGCTATAATTACCCCCTACAGATTCATCTGTAGGAAAAGGTTACTGATTGCACAAGGTTTGAATTCCTGTTGGTAATTATAAGGCATTTGATTTGATTAAGCTAGTTACTTGCTGTTGATTGCTGGTTAATTAGCTATTGTTTGCAAATAAGCAGAGGCCTACCCAGGTGTTAATCATTCCTAGTGGGCGGTGATTTTAGGAGTTATATAAGGCCTGGTTCCATTAGCTTGTCTAATATAGCTTGGTGCTACTTCCAAGTGCTGTTTCTAAGTGTGTCGTTGGAGATATTCTGGAGAGTTTTACAGAAGCTTCAACTGTCTAAGAGTTGTGCTAAGAGCTTTCTTTTCTACTGTTACAGGTAAGATTCATCTGTAGGAAAAGGTTACTGATTGCACAAGGTTTGAATTCCTGTTGGTAATTATAAGGCATTTGATTTGATTAAGCTAGTTACTTGCTGTTGATTGCTGGTTAATTAGCTATTGTTTGCAAATAAGCAGAGGCCTACCCAGGTGTTAATCATTCCTAGTGGGCGGTGATTTTAGGAGTTATATAAGGCCTGGTTCCATTAGCTTGTCTAATATAGCTTGGTGCTACTTCTAAGTGCTGTTTCTAAGTGTGTCGTTGGAGATATTCTGGAGAGTGCTGTTTCTAAGTGTGTCGTTGGAGATATTCTGGAGAGTGCTGTTTCTAAGTGTGTCGTTGGAGATATTCTGGAGAGTGCTGTTTCTAAGTGTGTCGTTGGAGATATTCTGGAGAGTGCTGTTTCTAAGTGTGTCGTTGGAGATATTCTGGAGATAAACTGGAGGTAATCTGAGGTATTCAGGAGGATAAATAAAAAAGTTAAGATTTGTTCGATTTATATTATTCTTATAATTGGAATGGCAGGTTTAGTTCAGTGTAACAATTGCTATGCATTTGTTTCACGTTCCACTTTTTGGAGGTTTGGTTGTTGTCTAATCTGTAGACAGTTCTCTATCTTGCGGCAGGAGATTGTATTTTTGAAGTCTGAGATTTGTAAATTATCTGGTGAAGAAACTCAGACTGGAACTGCTGCAAAGCCACTGCCGCAGAGACATGCTAGGAAAGGCAGATGGATTACTGTAGGATCTGGTAGACTTAGAGTTGTGGATAAAAGGCATTTTGCACAGTCTGTTGCTCTTCATAATTCATTTTCTGCACTTTCAGAGTGTAATGGTGTTGTGGAGAGAGGCACTGAGGCTGGTGGTGTTGTAGTGGTGTTGTGGAGAGAGGCACTGAGACTAGTGGTGTTGTAGAGAGAGGCACTGAGGCTAGTGGTGTTGTGGAGAGAGGCACTGAGGCTAGTGGTGTTGTAGGAGAGAGGCACTGAGGCTAGTGGTGTTGTGGAGAGAGGCACTGAGACTAGTGGTGTTGTGGAGACCGGCTTGGAGACTATGGTGAAGCCTAATAGAAAGCAGTTGTTGTTGGGTGATTCCATTATAAGAGGTGTGGAGATGGACAATGGTGGTCTTGTGAGGTGTCTTCCCGGAGCTACTGCTCACAGAGACAGGAGACGTATCTGTAATATTGTTAAGCAAGCAAAGCAGGAAGGGGAATTGGATGTACTTGTCCATCTAGGGACAAATGACTTGGCTTGCAATGAGGTTTCAGAGGTTAAGGAAGTTTTTAGTGTTTTTGCCAATGATATACGGCAGGTTGCTTCCACACTGTCATTCTCTGAAGTTCTGCCTGTGCATAACACTCAGAACGACAGGCGGATGCGTATTAGGGACTTTAATTTGTGGCTTGGTGAATGGTGTCGGGAGCAAGGATTTGGCTTTATTTCTCATGGTAGCTCTGTTTGGAATGGAGATAAGCTGTACAAAAAAGATGGTTTGCATCTTTCTCAAAAGGGAACAAATGTTCTCAGTGAGCAGTTCAGAGGTTTTGCTAGGATGTATTTAAACTAGGAGGGGGGGGGCAAAAGGGTGATAAAACATCAATCCAATTGTCCCCCAAAACAAGGACAGAAGGTGCCTGTAGCAAGTGTGTTAAAAATGATAAGCTTAGAGTCATGTCTACAAATGCTCGCAGTTTAGGGAATAAGATCCATGAACTTGTGGCAATAATGGCAACTGATAGTGTAGATTTAGTCGCTGTTACTGAGACATGGTACAATGAGAAAAATGACTGGGACATAGCAATACCAGGGTACTCTTTATATAGGAAAGATAGGGAAGGCAAGAAAGGGGGAGGGGTGGCCTTGTATGTGAAGGATAGCATAAAATCTAGCCTAATAAAAGTTAGTGAGGCAAACATAGAGTCCGTTTGGGCTACGTTAGAATTTGGTAATCACACAGTAACTCGTGTAGGTGGGATTTATAGGCCCCCAGGACAAATTGAAGAGTTAGATAATCTACTAGTTGAGGAAATAGCTAAAATGACAATGAAGGGGGAAGTTATCATCATGGGTGACTTTAATCTTCCTGATGTAAATTGGAAAACAAAATTAGCTACTTGTGCCAGGAGCACACATATTCTAAACTCCCTACTGGGATTGTCTCTAAAACAAGTCGTTGAGGAGCCAACTCATAAAGATGGCATACTAAATTTAGTGTTAACAAATGGAGATTTGATATCAGATATTACTGTAGGTGAAAGTTTAGGATCCAGTGATCATCAGTCAGTGTGGTTTAATATAAGAACAGTGACTGAGTCACACCACACAAAAACAAAGTTTTAGACTTTAGAAAAACAGACTTTTCTAAAATTAGAATATGGGTAGAGGAGTCATTATCAGACTGGAGCAATTTAAATGGAGTCCAAGAGAAATGGGATTATTTAAAAGTTGCACTATTGAAGGCAACAGAAAATTGCATTAGGCTTGTCAGTAAAAGCAAAAAATTCAAGAAACCACTGTGGTACTCCGCAGATGTGGCCAAAATAGTTAAAAACAAAAAGTTAGCATTTAGGAATTATAAAAAAACCCAGAGTGAGGGAGACAAAATGATCTATAAGATTAGGCAGAAAGAGGCTAAGCAAGTTATAAGAGCTTCCAAATCACACACAGAAGAGAAAATAGCACAGTCAGTAAAAAAGGGGGATAAAACATTTTTTAGATACATAAATGAGAAAAGAAAAGTAAAACAAGGATTAGTTAGATTAAAAACAAAAGAAGGAAGGTATGTAGAAGAGGATAAAGGTCTAGCTGACTGCCTCAATGAATATTTTTGTTCTGTATTTACAGATGAAAATGAAGGAAAGGGACCTCAGTTGAGAAAAAGGATAAATGAGTCATTTATTACACGTGAGTTTACAGAGGAAGAGGTTCTATTTCAACTGTCAAAAGTAAAGACAAATAAGTCAATGGGACCTGATGGAATACACCCAAAGCTATTAAAAGAGCTTAGTGGTGTACTAGCAAAACCATTAACAGATTTATTTAACCAATCATTGTTAACAGGAGTAGTCCCAGAAGATTGGAAGTTAGCGAATGTTGTGCCCATTTACAAGAAAGGTAATAGGGAGGAGTCGGGCAACTATAGGCCAGTAAGCCTTACTTCAGTAGTGGGGAAAGTGATGGAAACCATGTTAAAGGATAGGATTGATGAACATCTAAAAACACATGGATTTCAAGATCAGAGACAACATGGGTTTACTTCAGGGAGATCATGCCAAACAAATCTTATTGATTTTTTTGATTGGGTAACTAAAATTATAGATCAGGGTGGTGCAGTAGACATTGCTTACCTAGATTTCAGTAAGGCTTTTGACACTGTTGCACATAGAAGGCTTATCAATAAACTGCAATCTTTAAGTTTGGATTCCAATATTGTTGAATGGGTAAGGCAGTGGCTGAGTGACAGGCAACAGAGGGTTGTAGTTAATGGAATATATTCAAGCTTGGACTTGTCACCAGTGGGGTACCTCAGGGATCTGTACTTGGACCCATTCTCTTTAATATTTTTATGAGTGATATTGCAGAAGGTCTTGATGGTAAGGTATGTCTTTTTGCTGATGATACTAAGATATGTAACAGGGTTGATGTTCCAGGAGGGATAAGCCAAATGACAAATGATTTAGGTAAACTAGAAAAATGGTCAGAATTGTGGCAACTGACATTTAATGTGGAAAAGTGCAAGATAATGCATCTTGGACGTAAAAACCCAAGGGCAGAGTACAGAATATTTGATAGAGTTCTAACCTCAACATATGAGGAAAGGGATTTAGGGGTGATTATTTCTGATGACTTAAAGGTAGGCAGACAATGTAATAGAGCAGCAGGAAATGCTAGCAGAATGCTTGGTTGTATAGGGAGAGGTATTAGCAGTAGAAAGAGGGAAGTGCTCATGCCATTGTACAGAACACTGGTGAGACCTCACTTGGAGTATTGTACACAGTACTGGAGACCGTATCTTCAGAAGGATATTGATACCTTAGAGAGGGTTCAGAGAAGGGCTACTAAACTGGTTCATGGATTGCGGGATAAAACTTACCAGGAAAGGTTAAAGGATCTTAACATGTATAGCTTGGAGGAAAGACGAGACAGGGGGGATATGATAGAAACATTTAAATATATAAAGGGAATCAACACAGTAAAGGAGGAGACTATATTTAAAAGAAGAAAAACTACCACAACAAGAGGACATAGTCTTAAATTAGAGGGACAAAGGTTTAAAAATAATATCAGGAAGTATTACTTTACTGAGAGGGTAGTGGATGCATGGAATAGCCTTCCAGCTGAAGTGGTAGAGGTTAACACAGTAAAGGAGTTTAAGCATGCGTGGGATAGGCATAAGGCTATCCTAACTATAAGATAAGACTAGGGACTAATGAAAGTATTTAGAAAATTGGGCAGACTAGATGGGCCGAATGGTTCTTATCTGCCGTCACATTCTATGTTTCTATGTTTCCACTACAGCAGAAACTGATCTGCTGATAATGAATGATGAATGTAGATAACCTGTTAAGTATAGCTGAGAATGTGTAGAATCTAGAATCTAGAATCAAGTATGAAATCTGACGAGTCTGAGAGTACCTTGAACATGCTCAGTCTGCTCCTAGAGATGATTTTTAAGTCCCCCATTAAATTTCCAATAGGTGGTCTGAATTGGATGCCAAGCAGCGCTGTATTTTTAACGAGGCTCACAAGGCATTTGCCTTGGGCGGCACTTTCAGGGCGGCGGCAAAAAATGCCGCCCCCCAAGCACCCTGGCATGTGCCCTGTTAGCCTCTCTTGTGGAGGACCCAAGAGCTGGCCGGCTGGCCCAGAGGTGTTCAAGCCTCTCACAATGCGGGCAGCGAGGGAGAACTGTCATCTGAGCTCCTCCTGCTCAGCTCCCTCGTGTGCCCCGCAGTGCTCCCTTGCTACCCGCATAGGCTGACTGACCGCCGGCCCGTTTGTTTACTTGTGCCTGCCTGCTGCCTGTGCCTTCATGCATGCCCTCCCAGCAGCAGGAGCCAGCCCCACTGGACCCCAGGGAAGAATCCACTCCAGCTCTCCCAAATGAAAATTAAATTACATATAAATTGTGTGTTAGACAATATGTCTGAGTTTTTCAGTATGAGGGTGTCAGTCAGTCTTTCTGTGAGTGAGTGAATGTGTGTGTGCCTGTCAGTGAATGTGTGTGTCTGTCAGTGAATGTGTGTGTCCATGAGTGAATGTGTCTGTCAGTGAATGTGTGTGTGTGTCTATCTGTCAATGAATGTGTGTGTCTGTCAGTGAATGTATGTGTGTGTGTTTGTCACTGAATGTGTATCTGTTAGTGAATGTATGTGTCTGTCAGTGTATGTCTGTAAGAGTGCCTCTGTTAGTAAATGAGTGTGTGTCTGTTAATGCATGTGTGAGTGACTGTGTATCTGTTAGTGTGTGTGTCTGTCAGTGTGCATCTGTTAGTGAGTGAATGAGCACTTGCCAATCACAAACACTTCTGATCTTTCTCACATTTTTATCCTCCTGACTGCCCATAATGTCTACACCATGAAAGATTACTTGAAGAGTGACGGAGTTGCAACACTCAGTGACGGATATGTTTGATGCCTCCCACACATCTAGTCAGGCACGCCAAGATATTGGCTGGGAAAACCAGATAGTGTGCTCTTCCCCACAAACTTTGGAGGGTTCCATGGGCTCCTATTGGGGAAAGAATGAAGCAAGCCAAATCCTGGGAAAACTCACAGAGGTGAATACATATTTAGCCAAAGGATTCAAGCGTAGCTCAAATGAAGTTAAAGCCAAAATCTTGCCCAGGGCTCCCGTACTACTACTGTTAAACAGAGGCTGAAGTAGGTGGTAAGGACTCACAACTTGATGTTGAGCACTCCAACAAGCTCATCCAACACCTGGAAGTACCTTAAGTGACCATAGAAGAACAATCTTATAAATCCAGGAAAAACAAACTGAGAATAAGAGGACTTTCAGCGCGGTCCGAGAGGGCTTCCTAGCGGATGTCATTATGGCCACCCTGAGACCTTTGTTGCCAGACCACCAGTGACACATTAATAGGGCGCACTGTGTACTGAGGACATGGCGAGACGATCGAGAAACCATCTGTGATGTTATCATCCACTTTCACCATTACCAAACAAAAACGGCAAATCTCCAACACAGCAGGGACAGTCTGGTCACTTACAAGGAAAAAGAGCTCCATCTCTAGCTATCCTCCTGAGCCCTGAGACACAGAAAATGGAAACAAATTTGTAGAGACACAATGGAATACATTTTCAATGGGGCCATCTATTCCAGATAGTGGCTTTCAGAGAAGGGAGATCCAGAATGCTGATGCCCAGCTCCGAATCTCTCTGTCGCCGCCTTTCTGTGGAGCATGGGTGTGGAGATCCCTGAGTGCGCCATCCTACGCCCTCCCCCCCATGAGACCGCATTCATCCTATCGCTTCCCAGTGGTATAAGGCCAAAGAGAAGGCCACCTGAATGCCTGGCTCAGAGCAGAGGATGCTTCTGTATTCAGGCTTAGAGTGGTCAGTAAGACCATATAGAGACTCCCTGCCTATGGCCAAGTGGGAATGGTTCATAATACCAAACACACCTATAGTTTCACTGTTCTCCCACAGAATGCTAAAGTTACCTTCACTTGCTCTATTTGTCTGATTAGCACATCTCAGCTAAAAGCCTTTTTTTGTTTCTATATTTTGAATAATTTAAAGTTTTAACATGAGGGCTCTTCTACATGCAAGTGAGAATAGGTTTACTTTCTTATGTGTTGTTCTATGTAAAATAATATATTTACTTCATGTGACATCTCAGATACAATTTGGCTTTATCTGATTTAGCAAAATCATAATACAAAAAAATATATATATTTTATGCCATACAAGATTTTATCCTGACTGCTAGATTGAAAACCACAGTTCTTAACCATTAGGCTACAGTTAAGCACAAACACTTATTCACTAAAGTCTGAATGGCCCTATACCGAATGGGGGAAAAAACATACACTATGTATGGGGCCAATTAAACTGCAAACTTCGGACATTGTTGACTTGTTTAAAAAAATCAGGCTCAGAACAAGCCTGAGTTTGTTCCATATTTCAGCCACACTGTTCTGGATGGCAAATCCAGGACAGATACTTAAAATTGGAATTGCATACCCTACCCCTGGACATTTGGTTAGGTCTTTAAATTAAATATGGCCCCCATACCTTTGTCCACTGCCAAATTTTGCCCATTGTTGCTAACTGTGTGGGTGGCTAAAAGTCACAAAGCCCATTGCTACCCCCCTAATGATAAAATCCTGCCTACTCCCCTTGACCTAAAAATAGTGAGGGGGCAAGACATGTAATACTGGTTATGAAAATGTATATTTACCATCTTTATCGTCTTCTTAGTAACTTCATGACGTTAAGACATGTCATTACCTCATAACTATCCATAACACCATTAGGATATATTGAGATGCCCTAAAGTTTGGTGTGATTAAGATGCTCTGAGTGCAGTACTCAAATTGAACACTGCATATTGCCCTTTAAATGGGGATTTAAATTTCCATTGACTACAATGTGACATGAGCAGGGATAAATCCCTACTCACATGAGGAGATCCAGGTATCAGTAGATACCTGTGGTTCTCCTTTGTCAGCTGGGGCTATTTTAGTGGCCCTAGACTGATACGCACTGTAAGCAGCACTCAAACTGGTATTGTTTGTCTTTTATTCGTAGTCCCACTTGCTGTCAATGGGTGGGGGCTGGTTGGGACATTAGGTCCTCCCTAGTTATTAAATTAATAGACCCAACCCACCACTAGCTGCTCACTGTTTAATAGATATACCCCCAACTGCAGCATGGCCGATGAGAGCATAAGGGAGATTAAAAACATTCCATGGTACTAACGTAGTTAACCTATAACTGTTAAGCATTACTTATTCTCAATTGTTTTACATATATCTATTCTGATAGTATAATCGTCTAATTAAGCTGGTTAATATTCTACGAATGTGAAAATACTCATGCTACTAACAAACGTGGGTTAATCTTGCATTACGCTTAGCTTGTTCATAACTCAAAATTTAAAAATTGTGCTGATACTCTTATGCCATAAATGTACAGCTACTGTGTTCACATCTTTTAAATATGCTGCTGTGGCATTTACATATGATTTGTTACTCCATGCACAGAGAAAAATAAAGAATAAAAAAAATAAAAAAATAAAAACATTCCATATAGCCACACTTTTTTAATGTGGCAGTTGACTAGCAAGTGCTGGCTAGCCACCAAATTATTGACTCTGACGCTTCCAACAACTTTTTAAATATTTGCTTACTGTCTGCTAGTGTAGTCAGAGGTCAAGTAGTATTTAGAATTATTGTTTACTTGCAAAAACCTTACATGTAAGTGAACAATAATTTGGAAATGTACATCCTGCTGGATACATTTGGTCATGATTCAGTTAAAAATCAGCGCTTTGAATATATCCCGGATTTTATACTTTCTATGGGGTTCAGTTTTAAAAAGTACAGATTTAAAACCAGACATTGAACTCTTCCAGCTGAATGATACAGATTCAGTCAGACAGAATTTAGACCAGAACTGACGTTCGCAAATATGAGAATTGCCATTCCGTGATGGGTGTTAGTCAACCACAGGTAGACTCTGGCACATCACCATCTTAAACAGGTTGAGTCTGGCATATCACCGTCTTAAATCTTCACCAGTTTTCGTGCATTATAATTCGGAACTAATGCCATCTATGCCTTACTACTGAATAATCTAAATCCGAAGTAAAAAATCCTGAGCTTTCTTATTTTATATGTTTGTATAATTATTAATCATCATAAGGAACACGGTCTTTAATCTTAGTGTAATAAGGGTTAGTATTTAGTTATAGTTAGCCATTAAAGGCATCATATTGATTGAGGCTGTGTCAAAAACACATGGAAATTATATCAACAGGTGAGAGTGTGAAAAACCAAGAGGTAAAAATGAATGATATTAATAAACTGACAGATGGCACAGTTGGAGAGGTGAGTTACAATACTGTTATCTGTCTCCTGGATTTATGAAAAGTGTGTCTATCAACAGAGGATAAACACTGTCCTTACATAGGGACAAAGTGAACATGTCACACAGTGTATTCTTTTACAGCTTCCTTTACACAGTACAGTTAAGGCAATCACAGAGTATGTGTGCTGTGCATAGGTTTTTTTCCCATATATTCTACACACCATAGTCACTGTAGTGTTTTGTAAATCCTTTATAGTACAAAATCATAAAATTATATAACAATTACAGAGAACATATACAGAGCTGTAATATAAAATGATAAAACGCTCCAAATTTTTTATTCAGTTCTTGATAAATTAGGAAGATTTTTTTTGCTTCAATACAACTTTAATGCATTTGATAGGTTTTTTTCCTCATTAATATGTTGAGTTTTTGTTTTTGCATGCTGAAATCTTTATAGTTTTTGCACAACAAATAAATGTTTTGCAGCACTATAAGCCTGCTTCTTTAACACTGCCCCATCGCTCCAGAAAATGACTTCCTTATTAAAAGTATGTACACTGACAATACTGAATGATCTGAACTACAAAATATACCTATTTGGGTCCATCCGCACCAACTTCATCTATGAGGGTTTGTAAGTCTTGTTTTACTTACCTTTCAACCCTGCAGTCTCCAGCTTGCCTCCCTGCTTCCTTGGCTGAGATTATTAAGATTGATGATCTCAGCCAAGCTAATGCGCAGCATTGGTCCCTAGTAACACCTCTAGAAGCAGTCACACAGACGGCCCCTAAAAATGCTAACTAGTCAACTGCTGCATAGTGTCCAGCACTGGTGTTCAACATCTCCACAGCTTGCATGGATGCACTAAACATTCTGATTGGCGCAGGGTGGCTTTTTGTCGCTTATGTGCAATAGCCTCCCAATTCTTTCTGATGGGAAAGCTTTGGATTGGCTGAGATCATCAAGACTGATAATCTCAGCCATAAAGGCAGAGCCAGCCTTTAAAGCTTTTGTGTCCCTTTAAATATATTTATTGATTTTATTTTTTGTGCTCCACCTTTAATTTAGTTTAGCTCTTTGTGTGCTTTTCAAAGAGTTATTCACTCTCTTGTAGCAGCATATTAATTTATCACATTCACAGCTGAATTTGAGCTGTTCACAATTATTTCACAAACTCTTGTCAGTAAGACTGAGTACAGGGTATTTTTTATACCTAAACCCTTACAATGATGCCAAGTTGTTATGGTGCTTAGAGTAATGTTTGTAATAAAGTAAAAAGGTATAGCGTTTACTATTATTTCCCCTTTTGTTTTGGCCTCTAGCCCATATATACGCACTATACTATCAATCACAAATGCATTTGAACTCAGGAAAAAACTTACAACAAAAGGGAATGTGTGCAGTTCCGGGGCAAAATTAATGGTAACTCAATTGTTATTGGGAGAATTACAACATTAGTAAGGCTTTCACCCTACTATTTGCAGAAGCAAAGATGTACATGCAAAGATTCTGGTATGATTGCCACATTGGTAGGAGAGTCAGTGTATTTGTAATTTTAGAATAAAGCCAGCATGCACTGTGTAAGCCCTGTGTGCAATATGATAGTTTTTGAAGACTTTTGGAAAATATGTCCCGTTGATTCTTGACTAAAAAAAAAAAAAAACTATGTAAAAGTCACAATTTATCTTGCAGAAGGGGTTAACTGTTTCAAATTGTGTCCCAGAGAAAGAGGAAGGGAAACTCAAACAAAAAGTCATTGCAATGCTTTCTTAACCAAAGGAACCCAAACTGCTTGCACTGCAGTTCTTAGCTGATAGCATCATGGGGGAACTATGACTCAAATGCACCTCTTATCACTTGCAGTTTTTACATTTCCTCTCACAAATGGTCCCATTAGCAGGGTGGCCAGATCCACCATGTTTATCAGGACATCATTTTGTCATATTTTTGAAAATGCTTGCCCTGCAGTATGTATGATGCATATTCTGCAGGGTTCTTCATTGCCTTTTGCCTCATTGCAGGATTCTTCATTGCCTAATCTTATACACCTTGTGCTGCCCATCAATATATATATATATATATATAATATGTGTCCCAGAAAACGTGGATCTGGTCAGCCTGACCCTTAGGCTACTTGAAGGAAAGAGTATTGGGGTTTGATTAATTAGCAAATTAGACATTATTTTTTACATGCTATATTAATTATAAATGTGTCTTTGTATGTTTGACAGTTCACTATAACTAAACTACATTTAGTCATACATTCAATGATGTTATGGAGGTCACTTAGGGAGAATAGTGCAGGACATCAACACATTCATTAAACAAGATTTACAGCAATACTACTCATCATGGCATGTATTTACCATTGTTAGTTTAAAATAGAGTATGATTAATAGAGGCAAGCCAACTGCACTTCTTACCCCGATCCAAATTGCAATAACTGCAGGAGCATCAACAGTAAGGAAAAACAGGTTTTTACCAGGGTTTGAATGATAGTCATTCTGATTGCTTAAAATTTGGGGATATTTTTTGGATTTGCTATATATTTTTATTGTTGTTTTTGTTGTATGGATTGTTGAGTTTAAGCCCATAAAATGTGTTTTTGAGGTCTATAATGGAAAAACCCATATGCATTTGTTTATCGAGTAATAATTAGCAGTCAATGTTATAACATAAATATACATTCAGTATATGCGTAAATATTCCTATACATTAACATGCACAAAATCTTGCACTCAAGGACTTCAACAATATTTGGCCTGGTGCAATATTTATTGGGTAATACATACTACATAAAAACGGCACTCTAGGGACATCTTGGTAAAGAACACACATTGCAATTTATTCACTCACCTTTTCATTTTTACATCACTAACTTTCCTATAGACAGGCACTAGAAATGGAGTCATTAAACTACCTAAATCATATATGCACTTTTTAAAAAAAATTTTTTGCTTTGCCAAACAAAACATTTATACTTCTGGACTGATTACCAGCTCGTACAACAAAATTCTCTGCCAGGAGCCCAATCCACCAATTTAACATCTGCAAATGTCCTGCAAATGACAGCTTTACCTTCCTCCTTCCAAATAATAGGAAGCTTTAAAAATCCTACCATCAGGGAGAAGGAGAAGTGAACGTAATCTCTTCCGCGCCTATTAGTATTGAATTAACATTACAGAGATTGCTATAAAACTTACATAACCTGTACTTACTATATATAAATGCAGACATTCATTGTATATTCTGTTGACATTTTCTGTAAGCTGCACTGCCTTTAGGGTTCTCATAAATACCTACAAGGAAGATATTTCACCATTTTTATGTATCTATATTTATCACAAAAATCTTATTTTTTTATTAAAAGATTTCTCCAACCATCATATTCGCTATACTCACTGACAGACACACATACTCACTGACAGAAACACACAGACACTCACTGACAGACACACACACACACTGACAGACAGACACACACACACACAGACACACACATTTACACATTCTTGCACACACCTCATTTTCTTTATTGCTCCCTACCTTTAGGAGCCGATGTGGGACTTCTCCCTGCAGATCTTCTATCTGCTCCTCACTGCTCCCTCACACGCAGTTTAATGATGCCGGGTGCCGGAATATGACGTCTGATTCCAGCGCCCGGCTTCTCAAAAGACGGCGCTCTAGGAGCTCTGAGGAGCAGGAACACGGAGCTCAATCGCTGGCCATCCTCCCGGCCGAGTAAGTTTTAGCAGAGTAGGCACCTGCAATGTGGGGAAAGCAGGTGCCTACTCTGCTAAAACACTAAGCATGTACTCGCGGCTCTACATCACTACACTTGACATGTTTGCTCTACATAAACATGTTGTTTGTGTAGTCTGAAAATCTCCCCATTTAACATGTAAACAAAAAGTGAAAATGAGGATTTGTTTCAAAATATGGAGTTAACAAGCACATTGGTTGAAATATACTTTTAAATAAAGTATTTCCTTTTCATTTAAAAGATAAAATATGTTGCATGTTTTTAATGCCTTTTAATTTATCTTAGTCACAACATGTAACAATGTAGAATATTTCACATTTACTATGCATTGTGAAGGTGTCATGCTAAAAACACAGCGAGGTACTTTGATATGCATTAAATAAATTCAACATCAAATATCTGTATTAACCAGCCACACTATATAGAGACACAAAAAGACATATACAGATTTTAGCTGAAAAGAATAACCATCCAAATGATTTTTTCCCATGTTCTGGAAAGTAATGTGTAAATATTTAATCCTGGGTGTGTAGTCAAAGGTATATTTTAAATACTTTTGTAAAAATCAAACAAGCTATATTGCCCAAAGCAGTTTCCAGCACATTGCATTCATATATTATTATTTTTCCCTAAACTTCCATACAGCCTCCATATTGCATCAATAAACCTCGATTTACTGCACCACCTCTTGTAAATTGCATAGGGTTCTAAATTGCTTCTATATTCCTACATATTGCTGCTGCAATGTTTACGGTTTCCATTTAGATTCACATATTGCTCACGTATATCCCCATACTGCTGCCACATTGCTACAAAAATCCATTCAATACCTTTATTGCACCCCAATATTGCCACCATCGTATATGCTAGTCCTACTTACACAAAGCTCAGAGTTTCAAGGTTCATTTTTATGTATGAAGACTAAGGGCCTTCATGCAAACATACAAATGAAAGACATTTACTTTTTGGGATGCTTCAATACTATTACTGTTGCTGCTACCCTCAATTGCACTGTGCTGGTTGGGCTTGCATTAATTTGTTGTCACTTTCTTTCATTTGAGTACCATTAAATTGGGTAATAGTAATTGGGCAAATGTAACATCCCCAGGACGTACTTGGAAACCAGAGCAATCTGAATGTACCTTCCCTGGTTAAATACCACTTGTACTCGTTCACGGACATAAGGTCTGACATATTGCAAAGCTGTAACACGGTCTAAAACTGTGTAACTTAAAAAAGGTACATCTTGCAAATTTAATTTTCTTTGCAATAAACATAATTTACTTGCAAATGCCTGAATAGTGAATACACAATGTTAAGCTATCAGGAATACCTTGAAAATCAGGTGCACAGTATTTTGTTATTGAAGGGTTTAAAGGACAACTGTTATCAAATGTTCACTTCTCACTTCTCTATGTTTGTTTTTTTCATGAATGAAATAATAATAACGAAGCTTAATTTTTTTCAATTATGTATTCACTTTTTATCTGGCTGAGCAGACATTTTGGGCTAGATTCTACTGTTATCTGATTAATTGCTGCCCAACCCAATTTGTGTGCTGCTGCAGGTTCACACAGAGCAATTTCAGCAGCTGTGAAGTTATGCTGATCACTAGTTGGTCATATAATAGTAGAATCTGATCCAAGATGGCTGATCAGCCAGATTAAAAAGGGACATTTTCTAAAAAAACAACAAAACTAAAAAAACACAAAAAACAATATATATCATTTACAAAAAGTTAATTACATTTAATACAATTTTTTGTTTGTGAAATGCATACAACAGCAAAAACCTCAGGTCATGATGATGACTATTGTCTGTGGTTACCTTCCTAATACTGTGCAGAATTTTTTTTTTGTCTTTGTAGTCTTGCTAAACCTGCAAGAGACAGTGGTGCAACAAAAATCACTCTATTGTGGTTCCTTCAAGACAAAAAAGGAAATAGCTGTAAGTCTTAGCTTCATTTTTTGAAAGAGCTGAAGAAATAAAGTAGTAAATATTACAAGCCACGGAGACACAGTGGAAAACAATTATGAAAAAGGGACATAAAAAAAAAACTTTTGTGGATTACATGGAACCATTCTAACAGACTTAATTTCCTGATAGGTGGTATCACGGAAATCTCTCACGTCATGCAGCTGAGGCTCTGCTTCTCACGAACGGACAAGATGGGAGTTACCTCCTGAGGAAGAGTGATTCAAAAGACAATGTATATTCGCTCTCAGTGAGGTAAGTAACTTTTGTATGAGTTTGTTGATTTACCTTATAGATAGCAACTCCATAACTATTTCAGTGGTGTATTTAGGTTTTGTGCTGCCCTAGGTAGGACGGTGCTCGGGTACCCCCCCAATTTACATTTTCCCCACCCCTTCCTGTCAAGGCCGCACATTGACTGACAGACACTCACTCACTGACAGACACACACTCACTGATAGACGCACACACTCATTGGCAGACACACACTCTCATATAGACTTACAAACAATGACATACACACACTCACTGATTTGACACACTGACAGTCAGACATACACTTACTCGGACACACACTCACTAACAGACGCACACTCTCACTAACAGACGCATGCACTGACTGACAGACGCACGCACTGACTGACAGATGCACACACTGACTGACAGACACAAACACTCAAATTCACTGACACACACATTCACTGAAACACACACACATACTGACAGACACACACACACACTCTCACTGAAACACACACACTTACTGACAGACACACACACTCACATTCACTGACACACACACACATTCACTGAAACACACATTCACTGACACACATTCACACACATTCACTGACATACACACTCACTGACACACATTCACTCACACTTACATTCACTGACACACACTCACTCACATTCACTAACACACACTCACTCACTCCCTCACATTCACTGACACACACACACTCACTCACATTCACTGACACACCCATTTCCCCACACTCACAATTATTTTTATTTTTTTAAATTTAAATCCACCCAGCCTCCCTACATTTGGGATAGCTGGGTGGCTGGATGTGCAGGCGGGCGGGCAGCGAGGGAGCACTCTCCCCTGAGCTCTCTGCTCAGCTCCCTCGCGTGACCCGCAATGATGCTGGGAGATGGAATATGACATCATATTCTGTCTCCCGACATCATTGCGGGTCGCGCGAGGGAGCTGAGCAGAGAGCTCAGGGGAAAGTGCTCCCTCGCCGCCCGCCCAGGAAACCACTGCCCGCCTGCCCCGAAGGCAAGCAAGGTATTTGCCTGGGCATTTGGGGGTGGCGTTTTTTGCCGCCACCTGGAAATTGCCGCCCAAGGCAAATGCCTTGTTTGCCTCATTGTAGATACATCCTTGAACTATTTATGTTGTGCAATAATATGTTAGTAAACTCTCCTTGTGTTATTAACATTTTTCTATTTTTTTACGCTCAGTTTGGTCTTTGAAGACCCTCTGCCAATATGGATTGTCCTACGTGGTGGGCACTAGCATCACTACATGGCCTGGCTATAGTTTAATGAGTAAGACATTCCATTTTGGATAAGATCTTAAGGACCAAACCTTAAGGACCAAACGTCTGGAATAAAAGGGAATCACATGTCATGTGTTCTTAGGGGGTTAAAGACCAGGGTCTGGATTCTCTTCGCTGAGTAAGGATACTTTCTGATTTCTGAATAGCAATTACTCCTCTGAAGTCTATAGAAAAATTGCTATTCAGTAAGCAAGTTAAAATGTTAGATTGCCAAGACAACATACACTGCGTTGCTAGTTATTAAGCCCTTTAGAACAAAGGGTAGGCTCCTTTTGTGATATCATGTTAGTCTTTTCAATTGTATTATTAGTCTTTTAGTTGTGTTGGTTTCAGAGGATAACATACTCTTTTTGTCTTTAGCTAAGAAAGCTCTAACATATTAAATGCCGTAAATAAGACTAGAAGGGCATCTAGGTGAGATTGAGATTTTCTTTTTCTATTTTAATGTAAATGTGAAAGTTTATTTAATTCCTCTAACAGTGAGATTGAAAGTGTCCTGCCAAGAACTTAGATGCATGTCTTCACGTTGATGGAAACAGAATCTATGTCTTGGTCTTTGTGTGCTGACTCAGGTTGATAGGTGTTGTAGGCTCTTGATACTTTTGATACTGGTTGTGTGTTCATTATAAAATGTGGACCACAAACATTTTGCTGAAACAAAATATGTTATTTAAAATAATACTTGATCACATGAATGATAACTAGCAAACTCTTACTAAAAGGTAAAAGGCAAACAGGTAAAAATGTCCTGGTGGTTAGTTCAAACTCTCACTTCTATTCAGGTTGTAAGATCTTATTCCCCAAACTACAAGGAGGAGTGAACTTACTCCATCCTGAATTTGAAAATGTATGTAGTTAAAGGATCACATTGCTAGGCAACCCACACTGCCTGCATTACTTAAGCTGGCATGGGGAACATTCTCAAATACCTCATTTTCCAGAAAGGACCAAGTATAGTAGACTGAGACCTAGGGAATGTTATTCATTGATAACAGACATCGGAGAAGTATAGCAGCTCCATATGTTTCTGTATTTTTATTTCTTTATCTATTTTTTTTTTTTTATGTACGAGGATACAACAAGGATTTATGAAATAAGATACTCATCAATAAATAGATATATTGAGCTTGCACATTTGTAGATAATAAAATTGTCACGGTAGTATACCCCAACACGCAAGAATAGTTCAACGAGAGACAAGATAACAAGATACGTCTTACCGGGCCTTAGAATGGCCGGACTCGACAGAGAGACAGCGTAAACAAGAACTAGCCAAGGACTGGTACACAGGAGTCAAGAAATCGGCGAACAAGACAAAGCAGGGATAAAGAGAAAAACAGAGTCAGGTACAAAGCAAAGGTCAAGCACGAAAAAAACACTACTACACGAAGCAAGCACTAAAGGGAACTGAATCCGAAACCACGATAGGGCAGGGAGCCAAGGGAAAGGTGAGTATAAATACCTACAGTTTAATTTGATTGGCCCCTGTCATATCCACGCCCCCAAAACGTGAGTGTATGGGGAATGTGGAATGACATGGGCCAATGGGAGACCTTTTTTATTTTTGTCTCAGACTGTCCCTTAAAATGCGCGCCCAATACGCAGGGCGCGCTCCCAGTGCCAGGCGAGTCACGTGGCCGCTTCTCGCAGTCAGTGCACGCCTTCCCGATCTCCCCGTCGGACGAGCCGCACGCGGCTCGTGCAGTTGCAGGACCGTGCGTGGCGGGGAAAGAGGACCTCGCCCGGCCCCTGGAGAGGGTAAGTACCGCTACAGAAATATAGACTAATGGTACACCATGCTTGTGGATTGTATCTGAAGAAAGGAAAATTAAGCATAACATTTGCACCAATTGCAGATTAATGCTTAGAAAGATGAAAAGAGCACAGTCCCTATTAAAGATACAAAAAAGCCAGTGTAGCATGTGCACTGGTGATAGATTCAGCAGGTTTTAGGCAGGAACAGATACAATACTTATGATATCTATTAAAGACAGGAATCTCCCCTACACTATGGCAAGGAATATTATGTGTAAAATGTCCCCAAAGTGGCCTGGGACTAGCATATACCCAATTTGCAGAACTGTTGCAAGTGTACACTGGGGTCTGAAGTATCCACGTGCAAAAAGAGGTATAAGCTGGTGCCATATAACAGATTTCTCACCATTTAGGTTGAGAAGGAGCATTATTTAATCCAAGAGGTCCACAGACCTTGGGTGAGGTTTACAAGATTAAAGTCCTGTCATTAGGTTGATTTAATAGTCGGTGACCAAGCTGGGCCTACCATGAACTTGTCCGCAGGTGAGTAGTGGGAGTTGTTGGTAAACCTTTCTGCCTCTTCACTATGTGAGATAGAGATTCTGCAAAGATCCTGTTCAGCTTATGTAGGATAGATGTCAGTGTTCGTGTCTCCAAGTGTTTGTGCCTGCACATCTCCTCCGCCAGCTGTCAGGACATCTTCCAAAGATTACAGAGTTGGCCTCTTGGATAGGATCATCTTTGCCGGTCTGGGGGAAAAGTGGGAACCTGGATTCCAAATGCCAGACTGTAACGGCAACAGGAGCTCTGCTGCCTCTCCTGTGCCAACCATGCTTGTAGACGTGAGGTATGTCCAAGCAATTCGGTTTGCATTGTCATCATCATGACCACCGAAAAGTCCTCTTTTGTGTGGTGATGAATAGAAGTTAAAGAATGACCCTCCATCTCTAGGATTCAGAAATTTTAACAAGAAGTGCAAGAACTGTATCGATATACATCTGTTCTGCTCAGTGGTCAGACCCCTTCCCAAAAGATTTTTTTAAAACCATAAACGTGCAAAACAAAGATAAGGTTCTCAGAAGATGGAACCCCCAGCAGCTCCATATATTTTATAGGATGAACTGCTTGTTAAATACTAAGGGTTCCTGCTATCTCATCCTTTTTCAGAATCAGTGAAAGGCTTTCTTAAACTCATACAAGGTTATATTTGATATACCTTTGTTTTTGTGCATCTGTTTATCTATATATGTATTTCTTATTTTTTACTTGAAATATACATACTTGCTTATATATACTTATCAGAGGGTCAAACACTACTACGGAAACTCAAAAAATTAGACCTGGTACAGAGAATATGTTGTTCCTTCCCAGCAAGAATCAAAATGCCCACATTTAATATAATCTACAAAGTAGTGGGCTGTCTTTGCATGTTCTGGTAACAGAGAGAGTTTTCCAAGCTTCCTTCAATATGTGACACAATGAAATGCTCAATAAAAGTACTAATGCATAGCTCTGTCTGCTAAAATCAGGAGAAATATGCTCAGCCCCAAAGTATAAAGGGTATATTTAAAGGGACACCCCAAACCCATAAAGCACTTTAGCTTGCTCACATGGTTTATGTGTGAAGAGTGTGTCCTATTTTCATTAGAAAATTGCACTTTTATAAATTAACCTTGTTACACCCCCTGACTGACTATCAGACAATCTGTCTTGTTACTCCCTGGTTGTTAAGCGTTGTGTAGCTAAATTTAAGAGGCAGCAATTGCCCAGAGCATCTTGCAAAGATTTTTCATTGAGCTGCATTGGGAAGTCTGTGATTGGACAGACACATATAGTCTGGGTGGGGTTAGAAAGGGAGGGCTTGTAAATGCTTCAGGCAAGAGATCTGCTACTCTTGAAAGCTATTTTTAGATATGCCTACAATGAAAACATGCATAATTAGATATATGTATATTTTCAATGTAAATATATCTAATGAACAATATTTGAACAAAAGAGCAATAACAAACTAATAACTTTTTTCAAATCACTCAGTATACTGTCTTTTCCTGATCACGTGCTTTTAATGTTATCAGATTACATTTTAAATCAACTCCTTATATATGTGAACATGAGAACTCATTACATCCTGAATTTCCATTCTTGCGTCACACTGGATTTGAGTCAGTTCATGAATGGCTTTCACTTTGTGTTTAAATGGTATGTCTAGAAATTGTTATAATTATTTTCAATGCAAATCAGTCTTGTGTGTGTGTGTGTGTGTTTCTTTTATTGTTTATATTACTGTTTGCATACATACAAATCAAAATACATTTCTCCATCTCTCTGTATAATCCTTTGATTTCACTTAATACATTTCTAGCTTGTCATGTATTGTGATCAAACTGAGTTTAGTAATCACTTGATATTTTCAATTACCAGCTGTTAGCACCACCAAACCTGCATGTATGGGAGAAAACTTTGCTCACAAGGCAAATTCTCATTAGCGATCAATATACTCAGTGCGAGTTTGGAAATGCTTACAGTCGTATTCCCTGTAATATGCATTATTTAGGAGTAAAAGTCTTTAAAGGGACACTATAGTCACCAGAACAACTACAGCTTAATGTAGTTGTTCTGGTGAGTATAATAGCTCCCTTCAGGCATTTTCATGTAAACACTGACTTTTCAGACACCTCCAAGTTGCCACTCCTTAGATGGCCACTGGAGGGGCTTCCTGGCTGAGGGCTGCACATTAGGCAGCCCTGCCATTCAGCGTCCCCACGCTCTGCATTTTGCAGGCTCAGTATATTCCCAGCTGTAGTTTGCCTGATTCTATATCTTAGTTGATTTTAGGCAACTTGTAACTTGTGTTACTGGGAGAAAGGGGCAAAAAAAAGGAAGTATGGATGAATCTGTGAATGACAGTTAATATCTATGTGAGAAAGCCTCATCTGTTATAATAGACACCAATATGGAAATTCCATTGTCACATTCCAAAACAAATACTCTTGAGCATCCTGAGAGATTAACGTGTGCAAATCTTACTCGTGAGACCCAGACAAGAGGATATTAACGTGAGAAGATGTCAACATTCTGACTTCCTGTATGAAAAGAAACAAATAGAAAAAATAAACCATTCTAACCTCTTCAAAACTATTCATGAACATAACATTAACACCATGTCACACAATGTTTGAGAGATTGTCAAACTTCTCATATCACTAATTTTTTTTGTATTTAACTGATGCTTTTATTTTATTTTAAATTTGTATTAAAGATTTAGCATATTCTGTAACAATGTAACTTAGTCAAGACACCGTCAGAGCAAATATTGCAAAAGATGAGGAGAAATAGAAACATTTTTTATTTTTCGATTCGTCTGTCGTGTTTTTTCTATTCCGCCAATAAAAGTCTACATTATGAATAAAGTGTGGGAAAAAAAACATTTAAATAACTTCTGAAGTGGTAGTTAGTTTTTTTTAAAAGGAATCAACAGGAAGACACTTGATGACAGTGTGTAAAGAAGATATAGAGAAAAGGCCCGCTTAAAGCAAGCTACGATTACACTTTAAAACCTGAAACAGCAGTAATAAGAATCCATTTTATAAACAATCATTTTCAAACACAAACAGGAAAAATTGCCTTTTTTTTTTTAAACCAATTTTTGATTTCATGTGCATTATTGGCATTTTTGGCACAGATCTAAACAACCTCTAATTTCATATTCATATTTTACTGACAGTGGTATTAACTAAAGTGAGAATTTGAGGTGAATTCTAAATTAATTTTAAGTTTAATGTCAAATTACTGAAATATCTAAGTCAGCTGTGCTTTCAGTTCGGCTACTCTGTCCTTAAAGGGAAACTCCAGTGCCAGGAAAACAATCTGTTTTCCTGGCACTGCAGGTCCCCTCTCCCTCCCACCCCCCATCCCCGGTTGCTGAAGGGGTGAAAACCCCTTCAGGTCACTTACCTGAGACCCCGCCGATGTCCCTTGGTGGTGGTTTATTCTCACCGTCGCTCCTCCCAGTCTTTACGTCGGCCGGTGGGCGAGACTGATCCTGCCCACCAGCTGGGGAGACCTAATGCACACGCATGGCTATGCCGCGCATGCGCATTAGAGCTCCCCATAGGAAAGCATTGAAAATGCTTTTCAATGCTTTCCTATGGGGAATTGAGCGACGCTGGAGGTCCTCACACAGTGTGAGGACGTCCAGCAACACTCTAGCACAGATTTTCTGTGCTATACAGCAGTAAGTAGTCTAGTAGACAGCCACTAGAGGTGGAGTTAACCCTGTAAGGTTATCATTGCAGTTTATTAAAAAACTGCAATAATTACACTTTCAGGGTTAAGGGTAGTGGGAGTTGGCACCCAGACTACTCCAATGGGCAGAAGTGGTCTTGGTACCTGGAGTATCCCTTTAAACCTGAAATGCACTTTGAATCTTCCTTTTAGTTGATGACCCTGAGAGGTTTAAAAATGCAAAAATAACTCACTCACATTTACTATATCTGCTTCTGTACATTTACTATCCCACCCATGAACACCAAGTTTAAATGAAATAATTTAAAGATTAAAAAAAATTAACAGGGCGTTGTCATGCTATACATTTCAGAGTGCCTTTAACAACAGGGTGGTACAAATGCTGAGGCTGTGGTCCAAACAATTGCCATTATTATTGTACATGAGGGAGAGCAAATACAACCTGTTAACAGATTTGCATTTTTCAGAGCTAATACAACAAAGATGTGTGTCCAAGTCAGAGTCCTTTTATTTGCAAAGACAGAACAAACAAAAACATTCACACAGACACATGCACATTTATAGATGGCAGGTCTTTTAAAAGAACCGATTGGTTGTTTTAACATACTATCAAGCATTTTTGTCTTTTAGATTTTAACACCCCCACCCCTACCGGTGTCAAGTCCTGGGGGTGAGGGGGGGGAGTGTTGGAACTCACCCAACATTGAAATGCCCTGTGTGTAAATTTAATGGCATGCTTGCTGGTGTTTTGTCTCTAGTGTCCCCATCAGTAGAATACCAAAGAACAAAATTGGGCAGGCTGGTGTGTGAGTAAAAGGGGCTGTCTGTAATGAAATGTACGTGTAAATGGGTCTGTTTGTCGTGTGCTATGGGTAGGTAGGGACTGTAGTGTGTGTGCGTGCAGATGTATAAGGGCAGTAGAGATTGTGTTTATACTCAGGGACTGTAGTGTGCATGTGTACAGGGCCTGTAGAGTGTGTGAGTGTATTTGTATTTGTGTTGCATTGTGTGTGTATCAAGTTGCTGTAGAGTGTATGTATGTATATAGGGGGTGCAGGATCTTTGCCTTTTGGAGATTTTACTAACCAGTAAGCAGTCCTGCATTTTTGTTTGCTTTTGATTTCATAAGCCTGATTATGATTTGATAAGCCTGATTATGGACTAGGTACTCTAGATCTATGTCTAATTCCTACTTCTGGGGGCACTCAACTATTATCTCAAATGTGCGGAAGTGTTTCAGGTCATCCTGTAAGCAATGAAAAGCTTGATGGTTGTCTGTTGCCTATTGTCAGGTAAATGCTCTTCTGTAACACCTTATTGAGCCAGCAGTCAATATCAGCATGATACACACACTGACCTATATACACACACACACATACACACAGACTGACCTGTGCATACACCAAGAGACTGACTCATCTATACACACATATTGACCTATATGAGCAGGTAGACCCATACACACCCCTCGACCATGCAAACATAGGCTGACCCATTTGTGTTTCTGGTGTGTGCTGCTGTATGTAGTTTGTCTCTGGTGTTTGCTGACAGTATGCAATGTGGTGTGTGCTGGCTTCATGTAGTGTATGCTGGTTCTATGTTGTTTCTGGTGTTTGCTGGCTGTATGAGTCTAGTGTGTGCTTGCTGTATGTAATAGTATGTAATATGGAGAGTGCTGGATGTATGTGTGTATGGTGTGTGCTGACTTTATGTTGTGTTCGTGTGTGTCTGGTGTATGTTGACTGTGTGTGCTGAGCCATCCATACACAGATTGACACATACATACGCAGACTGGCAAATATACACATACATACGCAGACTGGTGGCTACCTGCTCTGTGCTGAACCTCCTCTTCTCTTTCTCTCCCCTGCTCTGTACTCTGTGACCCAGGAGGAAATTTTATTATAGACACGGAGGCGAGTATATATGCATTCACTTTCTTATTTATTCCCTCAGCAGCAAGAAAAAGTTGAGAGAAAAACGAAAAAAACTTTAAACATTAACATTTAAATTTGCCTAGGAACAATGGTAGCCAATAATGTCTCAGTGTCCATATGAAAGGAAGCTGTCATCTGTTGCTCCTCCTCTTTCTTGCTGCTCCCTCAGAGATAAGTACCCATTTTTTCTTCAGTATTAATGGTGTATTTACATGTTGTATTTTATTTAAGTTTATTTTTCTATACACTTGTGTTTTTGCCCTGGTGTATACCCAGACCACGCTCACCGTGATACTGATGATTTGGGGGACCTCCCTGGGTGTTTTTCTTTACCCCTGTCTCCCTTTGTTCATGCCTCCCTCCCTCACGGCTTCCGACCGCATTTGAGAGCCGGTGGTTCCCCCTCCCCTGGGATAGCCACCACCCTCGGTCTAATTAGCCGCGGAAGTGTATTCTTAATGTGCGGCTGAGTTTCCCACGCTGCCAACCAGCCGTGGGCTCTGTGCTCTCGCGGCCATTGTGGGGGGAGAAGCCGGATACTGCCGTTGGCGCGCTTTCTGTGCTGAAAGCGCGCATAGGCAGGAAACCTGTGTGGTCTCTCTTCTTCCATCGCTGGCTGATGGTTCCAGGCTCCTCCGGCAAGGTATACACCAGATCTATTTCTGTCAGTAGTTTACCACTATTTTACCACTGTTTTATCAGTATTCAGTGCTATTAGGATTATATAGTATGGGTTACTCAACCCTATTTGGTTTCCCCCTGTCAGCTTTTTCTACAGTGTTTAGCTGCTTTTTAGCGGTTGCCACCTACAGCCTGGCAGAGCAATTTTCGGGGCAACACCAGACATGATTATAGAGTCGGACGCCAGCTCATATGACTGGGGCGCACGCTGTGGAGATATTTCTACTGGCGGCAGATGGTCGGAGCAAGAAACATGGCTCCACATCTACTGCTTGGAACTCCTGGCGGGATCATTCGCCATCTGCAGCCTTACACCCACCAACATTACTTGTTGTATCCTACTGAAAATAGACAATGTGTCAGCGGTGAGATACATAAACCACTTGGGGGGCACAAAATCAAAGATGTTGGCCCTCCTCGCCAAAGAGTTTTGGCACTTCTGTCTCCGCAACAACATCTCCGTGATTGCGGAACACATTCTGGGGCTGGACAACTCCACAGCAGATTGGAACTCCAGACACCTTAGGGACTCTGGAGATTGGAAGCTACGCAGACAGACTTTTCTTCAACTACAAGCACTGTGGGGTCAACTGGATATTGACCTATTTGCTTCTCGGTTGAACACGCAACTCCCGAAGTTTTACAGCTGGAGACCAGACCCAGCAGCTCTAGCAACCGATGCATTCCTACAAGTGTGGCCACATACAAGGCATTATGCATTCCCACCGTTCAACCTCATACCTCGGACTCTCATCCATCTCAGACGGTACAAAGGATCCTTGGTATTAGTTATCTCGTTATGGCGGACACAGGCGTGGTTCCCCAGACTGCTGGAGATGTCAATGGATTTCCCACGATTGCTCCCGAACCTGCCGCAGTTGCTGACCGACCCGGATGGGAACGTACACGACTTAGTGGACAGAGGTCTGTTACGCCTCATAGCTTGGCTCCTTTCAGGGGACCCTGGTGACCATCCTTGACGTTCCACAGGCAACTCTCAGGCTTTTGGCAGAGGCGTGGGCACCAGGCACTAGAAACGCTTACCATTCAGTATGGAGATCATGGTCTAGCTGGTGCCTGGCAAGGGAATTGGATCCCATATCTGCCCCTCTGAGTAAGATATTACATTTCCTCACATCTATGTTTGAAGCAGGAAAAGCATATCGTACGATCAATGTACACAGATCGGCTATAGCAGCAGGCCATCAGTGGTTTACGGGAAATACAGCAGGAAACCACCCTGTAACTTGTCGACTCATGAAAGGAATTAGACTTTCGAGACCTCCAACGGCCAGGTATTCAGCCTTCTGGGATGTCAACATAGTCCTCAATTTCTTAGACTCGTGGCCGACAAATCAAGAGCTCTCACTTCAGAAACTTTCTGCAAAATTACTCATCCTCCTGTGTTTAATTGCATGTAAACAGGTTTCAGATGTCAGGGCCTTGGACTGGAACGCCATCAATTTTCAATCGGGCGGAGTGTTATTCAACATTTCACGAAGAACTAAGACATCAACTAAACAAGTGTTCTATTCAGGTTTCCCTATCAAACCTAATCTGTGCCCTGTACTATGTCTGAAGGCATATCTGGGTTACACGGCTACCCTTCGGTCTCCACAGGAAGGTGCATTATTTATTTCCCTTCGGAAACCACACATCCCAGTCTCATCTCCCACATTGGCCAGCTGGACAAGATGGATGCTTTCTACAGCAGGGATTGATGTATCGCATTTTTCACCTCATTCTATACGAGGGGCGATGGCTTCCAAGGCTTCGACGATAGGTTGTCGCTTGGAGGATATCATGAAAGCGGCCGATTGGTCTAATGAGTCTATGTTTAGGGACTTTTATTGTCGCCCTATCCAGCACTTTTCTTCAAGGATTATTGCATATATACAAGCCTCCGTGTCTATAATAAAATTCCAAGATTTTACGATTTACATGACGTAAAGTCATGATTTTATTAAAGACACGGAGGCGAGTATTATTCCCTCCCGCCCAACCGCAGAAGGTAGATACAGTTATATATTTCTGGTGTAAGAACTACGGTAAGACACATACGTCATGATTGAATTATTTCATAGTTAACATTTTTAAGGTAGGATAAGAAGATTTTGGTTATCTTGGAATACTTGGATTTATGATTATGTTGTTCAAAGATATACAAATAGTTGAAAGATAAGGTTTTACCACATATTTGTTTTTCCTTGCAGTCTAAATGGTGGATACAGATAATCTCGTTATTGACTGATTGGATGTTATTGGATGTTATTTCGTTCTATGGAAGGTCACAGACAGAAACGGGAGGAGCAAAAGATGACAGCTTCCTTTCATATGGACACTGAGACATTATTGCCTGCCATTGTTCCTAGGCAGATTTAAATGTTAATGTTTAAAGTTTTTTTCGTTTTCATCTCAACTTTTTCTTGCTGCTGAGGGAATAAATAAGAAAGAGAATGTATATAAACTCGCCTTCGTGTCTTTAATAAAATTATGACTTTACGTCATGTAAATAGTAAAATCTTGGAATTAAATATACTCACTTCCTCTCAGCACAGTGCCACCTGTGGCAGCTAAGGGGAACAGCTATCTAAGAGCCAGCTCGCCAGGAGCTTGCATTGGACTACATCCCCTGCTCCACATTAACATTTGCTGACCAGTTGAGGCCTATGTTTGATCTCCCAACCAACCCATTAAGTTACAGGGAGCCCTATCTGGGCTGGTGCTGCACTGCCCACTTTGTCCTCAGCAGGAACAGTAAAAATTGGAAAAAGTAAAGGAATGCCATTCCTACGCATCCCTGCAGGACTCAAGGCTCCTTGATGTGCTGCTCCTCAACCAGGCATATTGGTTAACCAATTCAAAACACTTGATGGATTCAGCCTTAAATGCAGATGCACTATTTTTTATTATGCGCCCTCAGATTGAAGTGTAAATTGCCACCTAAGTATACAGACATTCAGGATTAAACAGATTTCTCTGCCTTATTTTATCCCCGTAAGCAGAAAATATTTAGTGTGAACACAGCGGCTTTAAAGGGTAATTAACAAAATTAAAATAATGTTTTACACACCTGTAATCCAGCGCAGGGCAAAGCTCCTGGCACTGCGTTCCACACCCCCTCTGGATGTCACAACAGCCATGGCGAGGTCCGATCAAAGGCTTCTCATAGAGAAGGGAGGAGATAGGGAGACAAGGAGGAGGAGGCATCTTTAAACAAAAAATTACAAAATTACTGCACATACAGATTAATAACACCACGACAACTTCTAAAAGCAGAAGTGGTCATGCTGGTTTGACTAACCCTTTACTGTTTGAAGCCTCAAATTCTCTTTTCCACAGCTTTCTCAGGAATCCCAGTCCCCACCATTTTTAATAAATATCAAATGGTAGTAAATTAAAAATGGAATAGCAAAGATGACACAAAAACTGATGAATTTTTAAATTCCCCAACTCCACTATAGTCACAGCTTGACTGTACCTTGAATTTTGCAATTCGGTTTTCAGTTCCTTTAACTTCAGCATCTACTGAATATATCTCTGTAATTTATTAAACGTTGCATTGGGTTTGAGGTAACCTGTGTGTTCCCAGAACTACATCAATACAGTATCCGTATACAAATTAACACTCACAGTATCCTGTATACAAAGTAATACTCACAGTATCCATATACAACGAAACACTCACAGTATCCTGCATACAAAGTAATACTCACAGTATCATGTATACAAAGTAACACTCACAGTATCCTGTATACAAAGTAATACTCACAGTATCCATATACAAAGTAATACTCACAGTATCCTGTATACAAAGTAACACTCACAGTATCCTGTATACAAAGTAATACTCACAGTATCCTTTATACAAAGTAACACTCACAGTATCCTGTATACAAAGTAACACTCACAGTATCCATATACAAAGTAATACTCACAGTATCCTGTATACAAAGTAACACTCACAGTATCCTGTATACAAAGTAATACTCACAGCATCTGTATACAAAGTAACACTCACAGTATCACTCACAGTATCCTGCATACAAAGTAACACTCACAGTATCCTGTATACAAAGTAATACTCACAGTATCCATATACAAAGTAATACTCACAGTATCCTGTATACAAAGTAATACTCACAGTATCCTGTATACAAAGTAATACTCATAGTATCCATATACAAAGTAACACTCACAGTATCCTGTATACAAAGTAACACTCACAGTATCTGTATACAAAGTAACACTCACAGTATCCATATACAAAGTAATACTCACAGTATCCTGTTTACAAAGTAATACTCACAGTATCCTGTATAAAAGGAATACTCACAGTATCCTGTATACAAAGTAATACTCACAGTATCCATATACAAAGAAACACTCACAGTATCCTGCATACAAAATAATACTCACAGTATCATGTATACAAAGTAACACTCACAGTATCTGTATCTGTATACAAAGTAACACTCACAGTATCCTGTATACAAAGTAATACTCACAGTATCCATATACAAAGAAACACTCACAGTATCCTGCATACAAAGTAATACTCACAGTATCCTGTATACAAAGTAATACTCACAGTATCCTGTATACAAAGTAACACTCACAGTATCTGTATACAAAGTAACACTCACAGTATCTGTATACAAAGTAATACTCACAGTATCCTGTATACAAAGTAATACTCACAGTATCTGTATACAAAGTAATACTCACAGTATCTGTATACAAAGTAACACTCACAGTATCACTCACAGTATCCTGCATACAAAGTAACACTCACAGTATCCTGTATACAAAGTAATACTCACAGTATCCATATACAAAGTAATACTCATAGTATCCATATACAAAGTAAAACTCACAGTATCCTGTATACAAAGTAACACTTACAGTATCTGTATACAAAGTAACACTCACAGTATCCATATACAAAGTAACACTCACAGTATCCTGTATACAAAGTAACACTCACAGTATCCATATACAAAGTAATACTCACAGTATCCTGTATACAAAGCAACACTCACAGTATCCTGTATAGAAAGTAATACTCACAGCATCTGTATACAAAGTAACACTCACAGTATCCATATACAAAGTAACACTCACAGTATCCTGTATACAAAGTAATACTCACAGCATCTGTATACAAAGTAACACTCACAGTATCACTCACAGTATCCTGCATACAACGTAATACTCACAGTATCCATATACAAAGTAATACTCACAGTATCCTGTATACAAAGTAATACTCACAGTATCCTGTATACAAAGTAATACTCATAGTATCCATATACAAAGTAACACTCACAGTATCCTGTATACAAAGTAACACTCACAGTATCTGTATACAAAGTAACACTCACAGTATCCATATACAAAGTAATACTCACAGTATCCTGTTTACAAAGTAATACTCACAGTATCCTGTATAAAAGGAATACTCACAGTATCCTGTATACAAAGTAATACTCACAGTATCCATATACAAAGAAACACTCACAGTATCCTGCATACAAAATAATACTCACAGTATCATGTATACAAAGTAACACTCACAGTATCTGTATCTGTATACAAAGTAACACTCACAGTATCCTGTATACAAAGTAATACTCACAGTATCCATATACAAAGAAACACTCACAGTATCCTGCATACAAAGTAATACTCACAGTATCCTGTATACAAAGTAACACTCACAGTATCTGTATACAAAGTAACACTCACAGTATCACTCACAGTATCCTGCATACAAAGTAACACTCACAGTATCCTGTATACAAAGTAATACTCACAGTATCCATATACAAAGTAATACTCATAGTATCCATATACAAAGTAACACTCACAGTATCCTGTATACAAAGTAACACTTACAGTATCTGTATACAAAGTAACACTCACAGTATCCATATACAAAGTAACACTCACAGTATCCTGTATACAAAGTAACACTCACAGTATCCATATATAAAGTAATACTCACAGTATCCTGTATACAAAGTAATACTCACAGTATCCTGTATACAACGTAACACTCACAGTATCCTGTATACAAAGTAACACTCACAGTATCCTGTATAAAAGGAATACTCACAGTATCCTGTATACAAAGTAACACTCACATCACCTTGAATTCACAGTGTATTGTCACTTTATTAAATAACCCTGTAAGGTTTGTAACAAATGTATCTACAATAAAGGGACATGGTTGCATGTTCATTCTCAGACTTGTTTATGGACCTTAAGAAAAAAAGATGTGCAATGGCATAGCAGCTTCGCTGAAGATTAATTTCACTCATATTGTTTTATTGTTTTATTCTGAAAAAAGTGCAGATATGTATGTCATCAGTTTTGGCTTGCCCAGAGCTGTCACTCTCAAGGCAGCTCAGTGTGAGAAACACACTAGCTGAGCTATTATTTCTGAAAGTTTAGCGTACTTATTAATCACACTCCCAATACTTCCAGTGCAAGCCAATTAAATGGATTTGATATTCTGCCATTCCTGGTATACGGTAAAGTTACATTTACAGTTATGAGAATTTTAGTATTAAAAGTGCTACACTAATAAAACAGAGAACAATGTCTGACTTAGAGAATTTTTCCAGTTTGCCAAGCTCTCTATTTAGTGTCAATAACCCTGGGAATTTAAAAGGGAACTGTCACTTTCTGGGATTGTTAATATCAGTTTCATACTTCTATATTTAAGGAAAACTACAAGTACTATAAACACTACACTGCGACCCAGCGGACCCCAGGTTAGTAGTCAAACAGTTCTTAAACAGTTTGACTACTAACATTAGAATGTAGAAGTGGTTATGATGCTTGAAATGTTCCTTTAACAAATATGTGTTGTTGCGATGTGTTTCAAATAACATTAAATGTGACAATCCATGTAGTGTCTCCATCTTGGCTCTCTATCATTCATAGTTATCAATGTAGCCCTTAACTGTCATTGAACATAGTAAGTAGAAGAGGGGAAAGAGAAATAGTATTTCCATTTTTATCCTCATTTGCATTGTATGTTCTGGCTGAAATGGATTGTAATCTTTAATATTTAAATTAGATTTATTCAATGGTGATTGATCATTTTTATCCAAAAAGGGCCAATCAGACATGTTTTTCTTCTTCTAGGGCCAAGGAGTCTGTCAAGCATTTCCATGTCCATCAGTCTGGGTCATCCTACAAATTCGGTTTTAATGAGTTTGCGACAATAAAAGACTTTAAGCAGCATTTTGCCAATCAGCCTTTGATAGGAAGTGAATCAGGTATGCTTTGTATTTTGGTGTTTATCGTTTATACATTTCTTTACATCAACCACAGCTATAGAAAATACTGACTTGTATCGCAACTTAGGACAGTGAGTCATTTAAAGATTTAAAGGATAAGGTTCTTGTTAACCAAGTAAGTTACTAAAATATCCCTTTCCTTTTTCTCACCTATCCCTGATAACACCATCTTCATTACTTCAACCTTACTACCCTCCCCTCTCTATTCATCCCATGCACTCTACATATACCTTTCCAGCCTATCTCCACCAACTCCTCCCGAATCCTCTACATACATACCCTTCTACAAAACTTTAAAATCCTACTCCCACCTTCACTTCTTTTCTATCCTTCTGCTCCCAGCAGCTGGTGACGTCTCTCCAAACCCCGGTCCCATCTCGGCAAACTCACCACATACTAACCCAAGGATCCACACTAATCTCATACCCATCTCACGTTCCTCTAAATCCTCCTTCAATACTGCTCTCTGGAATGCACGCTCTGTCTGCAATATTACTAAATCCACTGCTGTCCATGACTTCTTCATCTCTCATTCAATAGATTTACTAGCCTTAACAGAAACCTGGCTCTCCCCCTCTGACACTGCTACCCCTGCATCTTTGTCCTTCGGCGGTCTTCAGCTTACCCACAACCCATGCTTTTCAAACCCTTTTCTGCTAACATTGCTGTTATTTATCGTCCCCCTGGTTCCCCTCTTCTTTTCTTTGACCACTTTGCTGCCTGGCTACCTTATTTCGTCTCTTCTAATATTCCATCCCTAATTCTCGGGGACTTCAATATTCAAATTAACCCACCTTTGACCTCTGCAGCCTCCAAACTACTTTTAATTACTTCCTCTCTCGGGCTATCACAGTGGGTTAATTCTCCCACCCATGTAGCTGGCAATACCCTTGACCTAATCTTCTCTTCTGCATGTACAGTAGCTAATATCTGCAACACTCCATTTCCTCTCTCTGATCACCACCTCTTATCATTTGCTCTTGTGTACCCCCTCACCCAACAACCTCAGCCTAACCCTCCTCAACTCAGGAGGGACTATAATTCTCTTGATTTCCAGCACGACTGCTGTCCATCTCTTCTCTCTCCGGTCCTTCACTGGTCATCTCTGCATATAACACTACCCTCACCTCTGCCTTGAACGCTGCAGCACCACTCCAAACAAGCACCTCGAGGAGGACCCGTCCCCAACCATGGTATACTAAATCAACACGCTATCTGCAAAGATGCTCCTGTTGTGCTGAACGCTCCTGGAGGAAGTCTCACGCCCTGTCAGACTTTCTCCATTATAGACTCATATTGTGTTCAAACAGCACAGCCACTGCCCTTACCAAACAGTCCTACTTTTCCTCTTTCATTAGTTCATGCTCCCGCAATCCCAGGCGTCTCTTTGACACCTTTAATTCTCTTCTTCGTCCTGCTGTGACCACCCCCCAAACTAACCTTACTGCTGATAACTTTGCATTTTACTTTACTGACAAGATTGAACAGCTAAGGAAAGAATTCTCCCCTCTTTGCCATTCTGTTTCTCAACCACACATAGATCATGCCTTTCCTACCCTTCAGACATTCTCCCCAGCTACTGACCATGAGGTGGTTGCTTTTCTCTTTTCCTCTCGCCCCACCACTTGCCCGCTCGATCCTGTCCCATCTCACCTTTTTAGATCTCTCTCCACTTGTCTCGTGCTTCCCTTAATGCACATCTTCAACTGCTCTCTCTCTTCTGGCATTGTCCCTGCTGACCTTAAACATGCCGCTGTACTACCTATACTAAAAAAAAATCCCTCGACCTGTCCACCCCCTCTAACTATCGTCCCATATCCCTGCTCCCTTTTTCCTCAAAGCTTCTGGAAAGACTTGTCTTTACCCGTGTGTCTCATTATCTCAATTCCAACTCTCTCCTTGACCCTTTTCAATCTGGCTTCCGCCCTCTCCACTCGACTGAGACTGAGCTTATCAAAGTTACTAATGACTTAATCGCAGCTAAATCCAAAGGCCACTACTCCATACTAATTCTTCTTGACCTCTCTGCAGCCTTTGACACCGTTGATCATGCTCTCCTTCTTCAAACTCTTCAATCACTTGGTCTCTGTAACTCTGTCCTCTCGTGGTTTTCCTCTTATCTCTCCCAACGCTCATTCAGTGTCTCCTTTTCTAATGATACCTCCTCCCCTTGTTCTGTCTCGGTTGGAGTCCCCCAAGGCTCTGTCCTTGGTCCCCTTCTATTTTCTCTTTAAACTGCCTCTCTTTGCAAACTAATTACCTCTTTTGGATGCTGTATGCTGATGACACCCAGTTATATCTCTCCTCCCCGGACCTCTCCCCTGCCGTCCTGCAACGTGTCACTGCTTGCCTTTCTTCCATATCTGACTGGATGTCCTCCCGCTTTCTGAAACTCAATCTCTCTAAAACTGAGCTCCTTGTCTTTCCTCCTCCTAATACTGATCCTCCTCTTTCGCTCTCCCTTTAAGCTTGTGGTACCCACATCAGTCCATCCTTGCAAGCCCCCTGTCTTGGCATCATACTTGATTCTGGCCTCACCTTTGAGCCTCACATCCAGCATGTTGCCAAATCCTGTACATTCCATCTTAAAAACATAGCCCGCATCTGCCCCTTTCTTACACAAGATGCTAAAAAGGAGCTTGTCCATGCTCTAGTAATTTCCCACATGGATTATTGTAACCCTCTCCTGATTGGTCTTCCCAAAAGCTGTACTGCACCGCTGCAGTCCATAATGAACGCTGCTGCCAGACTGATTTTCCTCTCTAGTCGGTTTTTCCTCCTATAGAATGTAAGCTCGATTGAGCAGGGTCCTCTTCAACCTATTGTTCCCGTACGTTTTTGTAATTGTCCTATTATAGTTAAATCCCCCTCTCATAATATTGTAAAGCGCTATGGAATCTATTGGCGCTATATAAATGGCAATAATAATAATAATAATAATAATAATGAGTACTGAGACCACATTCAATTTGTATTTAGTGCTTGCCCCTAAAGCAGATTTATAAAAGGTAATCTATAATTGCACCACATTCTTGGCATTATAACCCTAAATGCGCAGCAGAGGTCAGGATTGTACTTTACTGTGACACAGACATGCACAAACCACACACATTACATTTTGAACTTTACCTTGAATTCCAAGCACTCCTCACTTTATTATATAACCGTTATAGTGTTTACTCCATTGGTACACAGTGCTTTTTTAAAAACACTTTAGAGTAAATTATAATTCAGTCAATTATATTTTCTGACTTTACTCTGGAATCACACAACACGTTTCAAAGTGATGACAATTCAAAATCCATGGACTATTTTACTGCCATTAATGCCATCAATAAAAAAAAAAAAATAGTAATTCAGTCAGAAAACATTGTTAACTTACGACCTGGCCAAAATCACGATTTCATAATTAGGCTTTTATTGTTGCACTTGATAAACTGATATTGTTAAGAAAAAAAAAAAAACTAGCGCCTTCCCAGGCTTTTTGGTTACATCACAGGTTGAAGGTTACAGGCAGTAAAATATTGATGATAATAGGTGACATTAACCTGTTGTGTTCCATACCGACATTACACCACATGTGTGTGTTCTTACTATCCTTTCAGGTATCGTTCAAAAGTGTTTCTTGTATTATCAATTTTTTTTATATATGTTATATTGTAGTTATAGTGTTCATTAGGCTTGGAGATTCATTTTGCTTTGAAATGTAATTCAATGGAATTTGGACCAATCAAAAGATCATTCAAATTACCAAACACTGAGCTGAATGTAGCTGAGTCACAAACTACAAAATGCTCAAAGGGTGAGCATGTCGCCTTGATTTATGATTCTAAATTTCACCAATGGCGCCAAAAAAGAAAATGATTTATGGGGAAAAAATACGATGGTTAAGGGACAGTCACTAGATGTTAATTCTTTTCACAGTTATTCAAGTGGGAAGTGAGCAGTAGATGGGAAAAGGTGGAGTAGTAAAAATATAAAATCTGTATTTATATATTATACATGCAATAAATATATATATATATATATATATATATATTTTTTTTTTTTTTTACAGCTTCTCCTGTTTTTCATTCTATTGGTTGCTCACTTGATCTGTGAACCAACTGGTGGGAAAATGTACCTATTGGTCTTCTGTAATATATATTCATAATATTTATCTTGATTGCCCCTTTTTCTCACCCTTTTGGTTTGTCTGAATCATTTTTCTCCAAATCCGTTTTACCTAAAACCACTTCATAGCCATTTCAGAATGCGGCAGTGGTTATTGTGCCACTCTCAAATGGTTTAACTATTAACATTGGGGGGGAAAAAACATGTAACTCATGGTACCATAACCACTTCAAAGTACTGTAGGGGTTATGGTGCTTAGAATGTTCCTTTAAATCTGTAGCCAGAAGATATTTTGATTAAGATATTTCTCTTAATCAATGAGCTATCTCTCTGGAAATACCTATTAAATCTTGGATTGTCCATAATTTCTATCTGAACATTGCCTTACTGGAACTTCACATCAGTTGAACAAATTAATGAACTTGCTATACTTAAAAAAAGACTTTAATTTAAAAGCTGCATTTCACGTCACATTATAGTACACTACAACAAACAGAGCATAGATGGCACTAATGGGAAAAAATGAGTAATTCAAACAAAGGTGACTCATTTATACGAATCAAATAATGCACTGCATAACTATTAGAGAGATTAAAACAAAAAGCGGGAGATTTCTTACAGAACAAAACCGGAAATACAGGAATAGTATTCACATAGTGTATTCACATAATGTACCCAAGCAGCATTTATAGTACACATTAATTTATACAAATCAGCTGTCTGACCTTCCACATTAATTAGCACTTCCTCTGCAGCCTGAGATATATAGGTCATGTCATAATAATGGAAAGTCCTGTTAGGTCAATCTGTGCCATATTTGCTCCGTAGCGAAGGCTTGGCAGACTTGACACGTTTTCTTTAAAATACTAAGCACATGACACACAAATGATAATGTGTGTAATAGTTTCACCTTTAAAAGGTATCCCATAGTCTAATGATATTATATATCACATATACATGAAAACATACAAACGTGCTTATGTCTTCATGATATATTGAATTAATATAGTTTTTTTTAGAAAACAGGAAAAAAATACATATTTCATGAAAGTTAGATTAAAAAAAAAATGGATAAAATTGTTATCCATACCAATGAAGTTACTGCATCACCCTAGTAAATACTTTAGCAGTGTTTACTGCGCAGGATAACATAGTAGAGGTAAGTAAAATAACTTATATCAACTGTACTTCGACTTTGACACCCGATGATGCCTCGCCATCTATGAGAGAAATGCTGAATGCCTGAATTTGTCCGGCAAAGCATGAAAATTTAAATAAAATACTGTAATCTATATAGTATTTTGTTTTTTAATTTAGTAGCATAACCAATAGCTGACCTTTACTTACCTAGCTATTAGATTGTGCTAAATTTATAGAAGTGACAGTTCCTCTTTAAAGCAGGACAGAACTCAGTGTTCTCTAGAAAGAAAATATGTATTAAAATAAAATAAAAATGGGATAAGAATTAAAGTATATGATAGAGTTAATTACTAGATAGCGAAGAGTAGAGAATTCAAAAGGGGATTTAAATTGTAGACCAAAATAGCTGAAATGCAAACATCCTCATATTCATCTAACTATCCAGTTCAGCTATATTTGCCTAAAATATAACTCCCTGGTAAATCCTCAACAGGCCCCAGTTTGTTGAATCACCACAGTCAGTATTTTGGAGGTAATCAGTGTGTATTATAAAGCTACATCTGTGTTTTTAGTGTTTAGTGCTACAGCTCAAGCAACATTTATGGGTGGCTGAACGCCAGCACTGAGTGGGCGGCTGAGCTCTACCCATTCAGCCTCTGTGCTTTTGAAACTGACAGCCAGGATAGTGTTTTTGTGAGATGTGAACACCTGTCTGTTGAGAACTGGACGCAGACCATAAACCCATTGCACACAGGTCACAAAACAGCTGTCAGCCACTGCTAATTTTATGCCAGGCTTAATCAGGGTCAAATTTGAAGCTGATTCCTAAAGTTTAAAGTTGGTTTATAAAGCTGTCTGCACGTTAACCTCTTCTAGTGATGGAAAGTCCAATGACACACTAAATAGTAAATTCAGATTCATCTTTCTGTTCATCAGATTGCTTCATCAACCTGTCCCCATTAATGCATGGTGTTCTATATGACAGACAACATGAAGCTGATATATACAAGAGGGGGAGAGGAACTTGCCCAAACTTGTTTCCATTATTATTTTTATATGCAAGAACAATATCCAGAGTGGAGACCAGCATTGAATTCCGCATAAATGCAATTTTTTCAGAAAACCATAAAATATGGTACATATACAAAACATGTTTTTAACCCTTTAAGGGACACTCCACTGGCCAAATACAAAATAAGTAAAAATCACTGTTTAGTAGATATACCCCTAATGAAAACTCATATATAATTAATTATGCATTTTTTTCATTGGTGTTATATCTAAAAACAGCTTTCAAAAACTGCAATTCTCTTGTCTGCTGTCTTTGCAAACCGTCCTCTTCTAAACCCCCCCGACTTAATTTCCAATCACAGATTCACAATGCAAGGCAGGTGCTCTGGGCAATTGCTGCCTCTGGAGTTCAGTTCAAATAAGCTAACCAAACAGGGTTGGGTACTCAGTATAATTTATAAAAAAGTGTCAATTTCTTTTAAAATTTGCACTATTTCCAACATGAAAAAGGAGGACACACTCTTATAACAAAGCTTTTCAGCAAGCTAAAGTGTTTTAGGGGTCTGGAGTGTCCCTTTAACACATAGTCACTCCAAACGTGCTTGGATTACAACTACCCTCAAGCTTTGGAAGTAATTGATATTTTATATTATGTTAGTATTTGATGACTCTGACAACCTTTTCCTCAGGATATAATGTTACTCTCAACAGAGAATACATAAGAAATAGAATCATTTCTGTTACCGTGTATATAGTATATTACTATCTCTTATTTTAAGTCTTAAATTGTTTTTTTTTGTTTTGTTTCAAATCCTGTACTGCAATGTACTGCTCAAAACTCTATTGAGCAGTATGACTTGATAATGTGCAGTGATTTATCAATCTTGGGAAGGCACCTATACAAACCTTTCCCTGCATGCCTCAGTCTGATGTGAGTCATTCCGTGAATAGTAGCTGAACCATTTATTCTTCCCCTTCCAGGTCTTCAAATGTTAGTCAATGAGTTAGGGAGAGAAAGACATTGTCTCTCCCCACTATAAAGTCTACCAATAATGGAAGAGAGACACAATTACTGACAGCAGCAACCAACAGTGGCTGCTGAGGGCAATGTGACTCACACCGATTATGAATAATACATAAGAGGGAAGAATAAGCCTAACAAAGGGAGCATTGTTCAGGTATACCTTAAAGTTTGCACATTATGTTTTATTTATTTACAAACCCTTTTCAGAAATGTTGGGGTGAAAAAATATTTTAGAAATAATATTGCTGGCCTTGTTTAGACTGTGAACCTGTAACAAATATGGTTATTTTATTTTATTTTTTCAAGAAGTTAAGTGTTATATTTTTTGGGTGAGTGTTGCTTCCTAAAAGTGCCACCAGAATGTAAAAATATTTCCAGGTGGGCATAAGAACTACATACAGGAGGTACAGTTACTAAATTATCACTAGGCATCGACCATACTGGGCTGATACTGAAGCCTGCAAAGAAATCCTGTAATATGAGCAAGGCTCTTCAACATCATCTCTTGTCCTTGCTAGAATACAGCCATAAATATATACCTATAAAAGCTGCTGTATAGCGTGAGATTAAAAGTACAGACGCACTGAAGAGTTGCACACTGTATAGAGTCTTGGCACAGACTTTTTGTTTTTCTGCTGTTACACTACCCTGGGATAAAGAGTTTATGGACTAAATTATTGTATTGCTTTTATCTAGGTTTGAAAGTGAAGAGGTCAAAAAGCCCATATTAACCTTTGTTTGTGGAGAATTAAACCATTTTTTTTTACTGAGTTTGTTCTATGCCTTTTAATGTTGTGACTTGTGAAGCTTTCATTATATGTTTGTACTTACATTAACATGCTACATAGTCAGTGGGATTAGCCGAGAAGATTTATGACTGTGCTTTGAACTGTACAGGAAATGACAATTTGTTTTCTGTTCTAATCTGGCCCTGATATATGGTGTTGCATAAGACGTGTAACCCAAAGGTCCTTGGGCAAAGAAGGCAAATGGTAATAACAGATCTCTCTGACTTATGCAAATTAAATTTCTCTTGGATGCTAGCTTGAAATGGTCAATTTACAGTTTTTGGTTTTTAAACAAAGAGAATGTTTATCTCTTTCAGCCTTGCCTACCATTCTGTTAATGGGCATGTATAAATATAAGATGGTCTAAAATAATTTTTTTACTTTTTTTTTTAATTGGAACATCAGTGAGCCTGTTCTAAAAGTAAGCACAGTTTTAATAGTGTATAGAGCTGCAATGTGATGATAGACTAGCATAGTGACACCACTTCCATGTAGTTAACCTATCAATGAATGTAAATAGATGGACCTGAATAATCTTTCTGACCTACCGATCCTGTCTTAGTGGTTACTAAATGACCTGTCCTATAACATCACAGTAGTCTTAAAACAAAATCCATTGTGGAATAGAAACCCCACACTAAATCAAAGTAGGTAGTTATTAAAAACAAAATTAATTTTACTTTAAAGGGCACTCTAAACATTTTAATTCCATTATACAGTTTATGAATTAGAAAAAAAAGATACATTAAAGTTTCAGCAGCTGATGATAAACAACAGTCAAACAGCAACAGCAATGAGTCCATTCTTGACTAGAATGCGACTCCACCAATCTTGTTCTTCTCATTCAGTGTGCAACCATGGTTTGGGAATGCCATACAAATATGTCTATAATCAGAAGAGAATGTATAGCTTCCTCCTCTGTTATACAGAGTGGGGGTGATGAAACAGTCATGTAGCTGCAAGTGCTTGGGAATCCCTCAGCTTTTTTCAAACCTTTTGAAAGCAAGTTCATAGAAAGAATGGTTTGACTTCTAACTTAGAGGTTGAAGGGGCCCTTATTTTAGCTCCTTTCAGGTTTGTCCTGCAGTGGACACTGAGAGAGTTTTGGACTCTCCTTAAATGGTTTGACCTACTAATGTGCTCTCTGCAACACAAAAAATTCGTGGACATCAACGGAACACAACATTGGTGGATTATCATAATGGGATCCTTTCTATCGAAAAAGGAACTCCTTCACAATATCCAGCCAAGTGAAGAACACCCTTCAGGAGGTAGGCATATCATTACTCAATTCTACCATAAAGAGAAGACTTCAAAAATACAAAGGGTACACCACAAGGTGCAGACCATTCTTAAGCCTCAAGAATAGAAATGCCAGATTAGACTTTGCCCAAAAATATCTAAAAAGCGAGCATAGTTCTGGAACAGCATTCTTTGGACTGATGAAACAAAGATCAACCTGTACCAGAATTATGGGAAGAAAAAAATATGGAGAAGGTTTGGAAATGCTCATGATCCAAAGCATACCGCATCATCTGTAAAACATGGTGGAGCCTGTCTGATGGCATGGGCATGCATGGCTTCCATTGGCACTGGGTCACTAGTGTTTATTGATAATGTGACAAAAGACAGAAACTGCCAGATGAATTCTGAAGTGTATAGGGATAGAGTGTCTGCTCAGATTCAGCAAAATTCTGCAAAGTTGATTGGACAGCTCTTCACTTTACAGATGGACAATGAACCAAAAGATACAGCGAAAGCAACCCTGGAGTTTTTTAAGGCAAAGAAGTAGAACATTCTGTAAGTCGACTGAGCCGAGTTTGAGCTGCATTAAAGAACACTCCAATTACCATAACTACTACAGCATGCTGTACTAGTTATGGTACCATTAGCATACCTCCCAAAATTTCAAATGGACAAAGGGGGACTTTTTAATTTTAGGGGCTTGAGGGCCGGTGTGTTCAGGGGTGAAGCTATTCTGTGAAATTTTAAGTGACTTATTAATAACAATTTATATATTTAGAACAAGAAAAAATTATCTTATTTTCACAGACTAATTACTAAATGCCTTTATTGTAGTTTAAAGAAACATTACTTTGAACATTTTTGCTGTACGGCTCTTTTATGCACTAAAAAAGAATACCTAAATGGAGATCCTAGAAAAAAGGGACATTCGTATAGAAGAAAGGGGCAGAGGAATTTTGGCCCAAAATACAGACACTTGGGAGGTATGCATTAGTGTCTTTACCCCGCTTTCCCACCCAGTGTAAATAGTCAAACTGTTTTCTAATGAACTGACTTCTTATCTGTGGTATGTTGGGCTAAGCTCAGCTGGCAGGGCTAAGCTTATTTGCTAAGAGCCATCAGCTGATGCTCATAGCCAATAAACAAGTGGGGCACTGCTAATAGAAGCTAATGTAAGACTCTCACTTCCTGCTTAGAGGAGGCAACGACTCTAAGCACCTCCTCCCCCCCGTACTGCCTTGGTTAGTGGGGAGCACCAATGCACTAATGGTACCAATACAGTAAAAAAGCACTGCAGTTGTTATGGTGCTTGTAGTGTTCCTATAAATGTGTGAGTAGGAGATATTACAACTGGCTTTCTTAAATAATGAATTACAGCTCAGGAAATACCTATTAATTCTTTGAGCCTAATTTGTATCTGCCTTAAGGGAACTCCTGTTGACTTTACTTAATCAATTAACTAGCTACAACATGTCAAAGAAAGTTAAAGGTAAATTATGGTTGAACAAACCCATAACTCAAAGTCTAGGTTTTGTTTTGGTCCAGAACTTGGACATTTGTCTCTGTTCTTATGGGGTTTAAATTATTTTCAGTTTCCTAAAATCTGGTTAGTAAAAACAAATATTTGAAGAACCTTCATAGACACGTGAGCGCCATCTGTTGGTTGAATCATTATGTTTAAAACGTTCACTTGCTTCTGTGAAAATATATATTTTTAAATACATGCACTTAATGTACTTAACTTCTATCTATTATTATTGTTATTTTTTAGGGAATGCCAATATAGTTCATAGTATTCAAAAGCAAACAAATAAATTAAGACTGTTAGGTAATCATGAACAAGTATGGGGAGTCATAAACAGAAGAGCTGGCAATCTATCTTCCATAATTCATAGAACTTTTCATAGAACCCTTTACTTATTGAACTTCATTATATCTCTTTCATGTTGATAGCATGCAGTATGCATTATTTAATACTTCAGCCCTGCTTTTAATTTAAAACTGGCTATGCTCTGACCAAAAGGTTATAGTGCTGGAAATATTATACCACTCTGATTCATGGGATTGAAACGATGTAACATCATTCAGCACTTCAATGATCTAGTCATTTGATAAACTAGGTGCATGAATCAGCAGTTTTTCCAGAAATCATATACCATGATCCATGTCTTACTGCTGAACCCAAAGGAACTCTTGCACTTTACCTACTTGGAGGAGCTAGAATGGACTAGCAGGGGAAATTATCTCACTGCAATAATTAAATTGTAGTCACGGCTGTAGCTTAAATTTAAGTAGAACAAGACAATGAAAATCAGTCTGACATGTCTGTGTAGGTGCCAATATCAAAACTGATGAAACAGGCATCTTTGTATAGTACGGGAATTGTGCAACACATCCTGGTCTGTTCAAATAAATTTTAGTTTTATTCTCACTGTGTCTTATCTTCCACTACAGGAACCTTGATTTTACTAAAATACCCTTACCCTCGGGAAGTAGAAGAGCCTTCGATATATGAGTCCGTGCGAGTCCATACAGCTATGCAGACGGGGCGTTCTGAATCAGATCTTGTGCCTTTGGCACCCTCAGTAAGTTGATTAGCCAGTGTCAGTCTCATAGTCTTTTACATTTATTTAAAACTCCAATTTAGCGTTACCCTATTGATTTTAAAGACTGTTTCACCAGCAGAGAATCCGCAGAAAATGAACATTTAAAAAAAACCTTGTGATGTATTTTAAAATGGCTTCTTTGCCTGTCGCACAAATGTCTAAATAATAAATGTGCTTCTAGATCTGAATTCTATGAGTTTGTAGAAATCTACAGACTTGACTAAGCCAGCCCTAAAAGCCTCAAAAGTAGTGTTGTTGTCAATACATACTTGATCCTCTTAGATAGGTGGCTCCCTGGAACCTTCTTACTAATATAATTTAATGAATACAATTAATCTTCCCCCTTTGGTTATTTGTATATTCCTGATCCCCTGTTGTCTGTGTTAGATGTTAGAGAAACTCTTTGTTCTTAAGTTCTTATAGTTAAAGGACAACTATAGTGCCAGGAAAACAAACTCATTTTCATGGCACTATAGGGTCTTTAGATCCCCCCCCCCCCCACCCTGAGGGTCCCACTCTCGCCGGGCAGAAGGGGTTAAACTCTTACCTTTCTCCAGCGCCGGGCTCCTTCAGCTCTGGGGAACCCTCCTCCCTCTTCTGACGTCAGCGCTGAATGCACATGCGCGGCTCTTGCATTCAATCAGTCCATAGGAAAGCATTTCTCAATGCTTTCCTATGGACGTCATAATCTTCTCACTGTGATTTTCAGTGAGAAGCACGGAACGCCTCTAGCGGCTGTCAATGAGACAGCCACTAGAGGCTGGATTAACCCTAGTGTAAACATAGCAGTTTCTCTGAAACTGCTATGTTTACAGCTGCAGGGTTAACCCTAGATGGACCTGGCACCCAGACCACTTCATTGAGCTGAAGTGGTCTTGGTGCCTATAGTGGTCCTTGAATGGGATGGAAGTAAAGCAACACTTTTGTACTCTTCCCTTTAATGTAAGCGATAGGTAGAAGCCCCAACACTAACAGCTGAAAAAAAATAACCAGTACTGCTCAGTTATGGTCAGAGGGTACCCATGGATACACATTAGTAAATAGGACATATATTGGGTCTGCCTTCTAGCTTTAACTGACTCACAGGCATATGTAGGCAGATATGTCAGATGGTAAATTACGGCCCCGTTGAGTTAGCATATCATATTAAGTCACTTTTTGTAACTGAACAATATTCTGCAGTATTTACTTAATGAGACAAAGTATCAACAGATGTGATGAAGGAACAATCCAATAAAATATGTATAATATTTAGTTGGAAATGTGTTGTATTATGAATTATACATAGCTTTTATTTTTGTTTGTTTCAGCTTGGTACAAAAGAAGGATATCTCACAAAACAAGGTGGACGAGTAAAGGTAATTATAAATATAAATATAAATATATATATATATAATGTGTGTGTGTGTGTGTGTGTGTGTGTGTAAAAAGAGTGCAAGTAAAAACATTTAAATTAGGTTCTTTTTTCCCAGTAAGTGTTCTGCAAATAGACAGGAGAAAAAAAATGAACAACAGGCCTAAAAGTATGGTCACAAATGTAAAAAGTATGGTGCAATTTATGGGAGGGCTGAATGAGCATTAGTTACTGTTAGATGTCACAATGGGAAATATTTATCAAAATGTTGTTCTCTGAATTGTGCTGCAATGTTGTAAACTAGTGTGACCTCCCAAGCAATGTGGCCTGGCACATACCATATTTTGGATGTTGTTTTCTGTGACTTTACAACAGCTAGCTCTGTATTTACAGTGTGTCTGCCCTCTAGTGTCTGTGCATGGTAATCACATTAAGACATCTGAGTCAACAGGGTCACTCACTATCACTACAGTTACTACAGGTAGGGCAGCATTTGGAAAATACAATAATCGCCACTTTATTTATTTCAGAACTGGAAAACTAGATGGTTTATTCTGAGTCGGAATGAACTTAAATATTTCAAAGACCAGCTGGTAAGTTGTGTTTGTGTCTCAACCATATAAAGCTGGTTAGAGCTGTGGTAACATCATTGCCTTAGAACTGGTCTGACCAGGTTTAAATCTTGGTCAGACCACCTCACCAATAAATATCTATGAGTAAGACACCCAACAGCTAATATCTACCTACCTCAAATCTTCATACATTGTAAGCTCATATAAAAAGGGCCTGCTTCACCCTCTAAACATTCTCTTCCTATAAGTGTATGTTGGCACTTTATAAATAATAATGAACTGCAGGTATTTTTCCACACATTGATCTGTATTTTATCAAAGTTTCAAATTTAAGGTCAAAATAGCCACATTTGAAAAGGCAATGCTTCTCAAAGAGCATCAGGCAGTGTAACCACCAATAGGAAGATTATCTTCTTGAGGGTATAAAAGTATTTCTGTTTTGGAATGATCATACGATCTGATGTATATTCTGCTAGTAAAAAGGCTTAGTATGCCCATTTGTCCCCACATCTTTACAAAATCAGAAATATCAAATCTTATTGTCTAGTTTGAAGAACTGCAAACTGATGCCTTATGACAGTTTTTAAAAGTTCCATCTATCCTGTGCATCTCGAAAAATCTCTAAATACATTAATCAGAAGTTCCTGTTTACAGTCTTGTTCTGATCTAGAGAATCAAATGATTTAAGAAGCACTGACACTTTCTCTCCAATCTAAGCACCATAGATAAATTATATATCCATTATTCTTTTTGCAACCTATTTTGTTATGCCCAATGCCTTTGATCTGAAGACCCTCTGTGTTGAGAATCATACAGAATCATAGTATTCCATGTGTGTGCCATCAGAAAAATCCCAATAACGGACAAAACCTAAAGGCTTAACTTGTAGATGAAGCTAGCTGTTCATGTGAAATGGAGACAATTGGATTCTGCAGCTGTAGCCACAATAGTCCAATAAAGATTTCATACAAAAATATCTGTCAGAAGATGGTATTAACGAGGCTGAATGCCTAAAAGCAAAAGTCAATGTGTTTTATCCAATCCTAGGACTTTACCAAGATCAAACCGGTCGTTTGACCTTGACAGATATTTTTGTATGAAATCTTTATTGGACTATCGGAAATAGTTCTGTTTTTATTTTGCTTAATCAAATAAATGACTGAACAATACCTTTTTGTGCTGAATTGTCTGAAAAATATAGTCAATTATTATTCAACATGATGCCTCCCAGCTTTTACAATACTTTCATGGTTACAATTTTTAGGCTTGGCTTTTTCCAGAGCTGGCTGCTTATTTCTTAAATCTTATAATACATGTTCAGGGTGTATTCATTTTTTTATTTATTTTTTTAGCTTTGAACCTAACATTGAAATTACTTTAACTTGTGTTAACCCTTTTTTATTACATGCAATGTTTGTTTTATTTCAAATTATATTAACAATTTAGCAAATAACATCATAATCCAGTTCGGACAAGGCAAACTTTGCAAATGAAAAGGAGCAATAGAAACACTGTTTTATTTCTCCTCTTATCTATGATTTTTCTCTGCTGACTGGCAGGGGCAAAGTACAGAGCTTATAATAATGACTGACGGAGAGCTCACATGGAGACATCCTGTTACTGCATAAAGAGATGTGGACATACTGGTACAATATAGGGATAAATAAACATTATATTAAGAACTTAAGAAAAACAATAGTTCCCCTCTAAGCCTCATAGATGCATTTAAAAGTAATGTATAGTTTCATATGAAAATCATATTAGATATGTATGTCAAGTCCTAACCTAGATTATAATACCACCACTTTGATAAACTGTAAATTTGAGGCAAAAATCCAGATTAGCTATTTTTCCTTTGCCCGTCATTTTGACCAAATTAGTGCTCACCAAGATAAAGGTAAAATAATGGATTTCCTCTGCCTTGGTTACCGCTAATCTCTTATCTCTTTACCCTTGCAGTCCCCGGAGCCAATACGGACATTAGACCTTTCAGAGTGCAGTGCTGTACAGTTTGACTATTCACAGGAGAAAGTCAATTGTTTCTGGTAAGTGTATGGTAACATCATTTTGGTTCTGACTCTGTAGTGCTTTTTAAAACCTGACTACAAACCCATAGTTTAAATAGACAGTAACTAAAATGTATTGTCTATATAATAAAATGAGGCAACTTAACTTGATACAATTTCATTTCATGTAAGTCACTGAAAATCTTCAGAAAATGAAGCTTGAGCACAATCAACGTAAAAGTCTTCTACGTTCGTGTTCCTTTTCTTTCTTAATTCCTCTGACATGTTTTGCCTTAAACTGAGAATTGTTGTAATTTGATATATTTTATAGTATTTCCTCTTTTTTAGTCTTACTTGTTTTTCAAAGATTTAAGGTGTCCATTATTTTATACGAAAAGGTAATTAATGTTGTAAAATAATTCAGAAATATTTACTTTTGAAGGACTCACTCAACTTAAAACCACCAGAAACATTTACAAAGTCAAATAAATTCAGACGCCTTAGTAAGGGTACCATTCCCTGAAAATAGGAATGTACTGGATGGTTAGATCAGAATGTTTTGCAGCCAAAAGTCAGATTGATGTAGAGCTAAAAAAATATGTTTGCATTGAGAATATTTTTATTTTGTTTATTCGCAGTTTGGTGTTCCCGCTAAGAACGTATTATTTTTGCGCGAAAACAGGGGCAGAGGCTGATGAGTGGATTAAGATTTTAAGATGGAAAATGGTAAGTGCTTCATAGATGCTACTGCTGTGAAATGAACCTTGCAGCTTACAGTTAGAATAAACTAGGAAAATTGCTATATTCCTATTTGGGATCCCAATCACTCTACAGATATCTCGCTAGGATCTTTGTGTTTTAGGTGAGGAAATTAATATTAGTCCCATCTACTTTCTATTCTTACAGGTATGTGCAATTCTCATTGTCTATTCTATTGTACTCTTTACATAGAAAAGACAGGGAAGGCAAGAAAGGGGGAGGGGTGGTCCTGTATGTTAATGATAGCATAAAATCTAGCCTAATAAAAGTTAGTGAGGCGAACATAGAGTCCGTTTAGGTTACGTTAGAATTTGGTAATCACACACTAACTTATGTAGGTGTGATTTATAGGCCACCAGGACAAATAGAAGAGTTAGATAATATACTAGTTGAGGAAATAGCTAAAATGACAGTGAAGGGGGAAGTTATCATCATAGGTGGCTTTAATCTTCCTGATGTGAACTGGAAAACCAAAATAGCTGCTTGTACCAGGAGTACACATATTCTAAACTCCCAACTGGAATTGTCTATAAAACAAGTCGTTGAGGAGCCAACTTGTAAAGAGGCCATACTAGATTTAGTGTTAACAAATGGAGATCTGGTATCAGATATTACTGTAGGTGAAAGTTTAGGATCCAGTGATCATCAGTTAGTGTGGTTTAATATAAGAACAGTGACTGAGTCACACCACACAAAGAAAAAAGTTTTAGACTTTAGAAAAACAGACTTTTCTAAAATTAGAATATGTGTAAAGGAGTCATTATCAGACTGGAGCAATTTAAATGGAGTCCAAGAGAAATGGGATTATGTAAAAGTAGCACTGCTGAAGGCAACAGAAAAATGCATTAGGCTTGTCAGTAAAGGCAAAAAAAAAATCAAGAAACCACTGTGGTACTCTGCAGATGTGGCCAAATAGTAAAAACAAAAAGTTAGCATTTAGTAATTATAAAAAAAAAAAAACAGAGTGAGGAAGATAGACAGATCTATAATATTAGGCAGAAAGGGGCTAAGCAAATTATAAGAGCTTCCAAATCACACACAGAAGAGAAAATAGCACAGTCAGTAAAATATGGGGGACAAAACATTTTTAGATACATAAATGAGAAAAGGAAAGTAAAACAAGGATTAGTTAGATTAAAAACAAAAGAAAGAATGGATGAAGAAGAGGCTAAAGGTCTAGCTGACTGCCTCAATGAATATTTTTGTTCAGTATTTACAGATGAAAATGAAGGAAAGGAGCCCCAGTTAGGAATAAGGAAAAATTAGTCATTTATTACATGTGAGTTTACAGAGGAAGAGGTTCTATTTCAACTGTCAAAAGTAAAGAGAAATAAGTCAGTGGGACCTGATGGAATACACCCAAAGTTATTAAAAGAGCTTAGTGGTGTACTAGCAAAACTATTAACAGATTTATTTAACCAATCATTGTTAACAAGAGTAGTCCTAGGAAATTGGAAGTTAGCACGTTGTGCGCATTCACAAGAAAGGTAGTAGGGAGGAGTCAGGCAACTATAGGCCAGTAAGCCTTACTTCAGTAGTGGGAAAAGTAATGGAAACCTTATTAAAGGATAGGATTGTTTAACATCTTAAATCACATGGATTTCAAGATCAGAGACAACATGTGTTTACTTCAGGGAGATCATGCCAAACTAATCTTATTGATTTTTTTGACTGGGTAACTAAAATAATAGATCAGGGTGGTGCAGTAGACATTGCTTACCTAGTAAGGCTTTTGACACTGTTGCTCATAGAAGGCTTATCAATAAACTGTAATCTTTAAATTTGGATTCCAATATTGTTGAATGGGTAAGGCAGTGGTTGAGTGAGAGGGTTGTAGTCAATGGAGTATATTCGAATCATGGGCTTGTCACCAGTGGGGTGCCTCAGGGATTTGTACTTGGACCCATTCTCTTTAATATTTTTATTAGTGATATTGCAGAAAGTCTTTATGGTAAGGGATGTCTTTTTGCTGATGATACTAAGATATGTAACAGGGCTGATGTTCCAGGACAGATAAGCCAATTGGCAAATTATTTAGGTAAACTAGAAAAATGGTCAGAGTTGTGGCAAATGACATTTAATAGGTGTATAGGTGCAAGATAATGCATGTTCCACGTAAAAACCAAAGGGAAGAGTACAGAATATTTTATAGAGTCCTAACCTCAACATCTAAGGAAAAGGATTTAGGGGTGATTATTTCTGATGACTTAAAGGTAGGCAGACAATGTAATAGAGCAGCAGGAAATGCTAGCAGAATGCTTGGTTGTATAGGGAGAGGTATTAGTAGTAGAAAGAGGGAAGTGTTCATGCCATTGTGCAGAACACTGGTGAGACCTCACTTGGAGTATTGTACGCAGTACTGAGGACCGTTTCTCCAGAAGGATATTGATACTTTAGAGAGAGTTCAGAGAAGGGCTACTAAACTGGTTCATGGATTGCAGGATAAAATTTACAGGGAAAGGTTAAAGGAACTTAACATGTATAGCTTGGAGGAAAGACGAGACAGGGGGGGATATGGTAGAAACATTTAAAGGAACACTATAGGGTCAGGAACACAAACATGTATTCCTGACCCTATAGTGTTAACACCACCATCTAGCCCCCCTGGGCCCCTCATGCCTCCATAAATAGTAAAAATCTTACTGCATTTGAGCCAGAAGCTGTAACTCTGCATGCGGTTTGCCTAAAAAAAAACAAAAAAAAACAGTCTGCTGACCTTATCAGAAGTGGTAGCCTGATCCAATCACAGTGCTTCCCCATAGGATTGGCTAAGACTAACAAAGAGGCAGATCAGGGGCAGAGCCAGCATGATTCAAACACAGCCCTGGCCAATCAGCATCTCCTCATAGAGATGAATTGAATCAATGCAGGCCCGGACTGGCCATCGGGCACACCGGGCAAATGCCCGGTGGGCCGCGGTGTCCGTGGGGCCGAGGCCGGCAGGGGAGGTCCCAGGATCTCCCCTGCCGGTCTATGCAGGGCCGGCACTCTCCGAGCACCGGCCCCGCTGTCTTCCATGGAGGGCCGACGGGGAGATCAAAGATCTCCCTCACCGGCCCATTTAAATAGACCTGCGGCTGGGGAGGGAGGGAGAGGACCCGGCGGAGCTCTGTCTTGCAGCTCCGCCGGGTTTCTCTCGCGAGATCCGGAGCGTTGCCATGGCAACGCCCCGATCTCGCGAGAGAGTTCACTCACCACTGGACCACCAGGGATGGTGTGCGAGTGCCGGTGCCCCCCCTCCCAGCTACCACGTGCCTGTCCCCCCCTCCCAGGCTAAAGGTAAGAAGGGAGGGGGGGGGTTTAGTTTTTTTTTTTGCTTAGTTTTTATTTTTTTTTTTATATATTTACCCCCACTTAATTTTTTATTTGTTTATTTACCCCCCAACACACAACATTTATACACAGCACTATCACACTCAGCATTCTCAGCACTCACACAACACTCTCACACACATCACACCCAGCACTCTCACACCCAGCACTCTCACACCCAGCACTCTCACACACAGCACTCTCACACACATCATAGCACTCTCACACACATCACACGCAGCACTCTCACACACATCATAGCACTCTCACACACATCATAGCACTTTCACACACATCATAGCACTTTCACACACAGCACTCTCACACACATCATAGCACTCTCACACACAGCACTTTCACACACATCATAGCACTCTCACACACAGCACTTTCACACTCAGCACTCACACACATCACACGCAGCACTCTCACACACAGCACTATCACACCCAGCACTCACAACACACAACACTCACACACAGCACTCTCACACACAGCGCAGCACTCTCACACATCATAGCACTCTCACACACATCACACGCAGCACTCTCACACACATCATAGCACTCTCACACACAGCACTCTCACACACATCATACACAGCAATCTCACACATCGCAGCACTCTCACACACATCATAGCACTCTCACACACATCATAGCACTCTCACACACAGCACTCTCACACACATACACAGCAATCTCACACATCGCAGCACTCTCACACACATCATACACAGCAATCTCACACATCGCAGCACTCTCACACACATCATAGCACTTTCACACACAGCACTTTCACACTCAGCACTCTCACACACATCACACAACACTCTCACACACAGCACTCAGGGCACATCACTCTCACACACATCACACTCAGCACTCACACACATCATACACAGCACTATCACACTCAACACTCATACACAGCACTATCACACTCAGCACTCACACACATAACACACAACACTCACACACAGCACTCTCACACATCACTCTCACACACATCACACATCATACACAGCACTATCACACTCAGCACTCACACACATCACACACACAACACTCTCACACACATCATACACAGCACCCTCACACACACAGCACCCTCACACACATCACACCTCACACACACATACTGCACCCCTCACATACACACACAACCCCCAATACACTGCATCACACACATACACAATACTTCCAAACATATTTATATAAACTATATATATATATATATATATATATACACATACACACAACACCCCTCACACACACACTGCACCCCTAAACACATTACATTCCAGACACACACTAGATCCTTTAGCCAACTCTGGATCATATACACACACACACTCTGGATCCCCTATATGCACACTAGATTCCTTGTAAGCAAACACATACTACATTCCCTGAACACACACTCTCTACAAACACTAAATCACCTATACACACACACACTATAGCCTGTATGCACACACTTGCTACATCCCCTATACACACATTCTCTACAGCCCCTAGCCACATATGCATTACATTACACCACAAACACAACACGACTAAAACAGACCTTATTACACAATACCACACCATGACCAGCTCACTCTGCACAAACGTAATACCACAAACAGGCTCCAAACACATGCACAATACTCTTTCCTGGCCCTTTTGTCTCCTGGTATCCATTTATAGAGACACCAGAGACAAGTTGCAAGGAAACAGTGCAAGCATGTTATTAAATTTGCTTGCACTGTGCAGAACAAATACAGGGCTTTTTTCTCATGCTAGAGCTCTTCAGCAGAGCTCTGCGCATGGTCTGCCCTGGAAGAGCATTGAACCAACATGCTCACTTTGAGAGGGGGCGTGTTTGTCATGAGTGATGACAAAACACACCCTCTCTGCCCCGCCCCCTTCTTAGTGGGCCGCTGTGATAAAAAAATGCCCGGGCTGAATTTTTTTCCCAGTCCGGCCCTGAATCAATGCATCTCTATTAGGAAAGTTCAGTGTCTGCATGCAGAGGGAGGAGACACAGAGCTGCCCTGTGCTCTGCTGACAGCAGATCTGAGTGGATTGAGGAGTTTTATGCCTCAATCAACTCTGAAGTCCCTCTGGTGGCATTCTGAGTGACTGCAACTTGAGGTGTTCCTAGCTTTCAATGTAAACAATGTATTTTCTCAGAAAATACAGTGTTTAAATGAGAAAGGCTGCAGGGAGCTATTGTTCTCACCTGAATAACCTCATTAAGCTGAAGTTGTTCAGGTGACTATAGTGTCCCTTTAACCACTTAAGGACACATGACATGTGTGACATGTCATGATTCCCTTTTATTCCAGAAGTTTGGTCCTTAAGGGGTTAAATACATAAAGGGAATCAACACAGTAAAGGAGGAGACTATATTTAAAATAAGAAAAACTACCACAACAAGAGGACATAATCTTAAATTAGTGGGACAAAGGTTTAAAAATAATATCAGGAAGTATTACTTTACTGAGATTGTAGTGGATGCATGGAATAGCCTTCCAGCTGAAGTGGTAGAGGTTAACACATTGAAGGAGTTTAAGCATGCGTGGGATAGGCATAAGGCTATCCTAACTATAAGATAAGGCTAGGGACTAATGAAGGTATTTAGGAAATTGGTCAGAGTAGATGGGCCGAATAGTTCTTATCTGCCGTCACAGTCTATGTTTCTATATTCTTTGGTTTAATTGGTATGTGAGCAAGAACAAGGTCGTCTGTGATTGATCATGCATTGATGACGTACAGATACAAATTTAAAACAATCCTCTAAAGATATTAATTCACATAAACGAGTGAATCTTCTATCTTCAGATGTTTGTGGTTACATTCCCAGTGTTACCAGCAACAACATGATATGTGCATGCCTGTAGGAATGCACTTCATGTAGAGGAAGAAGATAGAATCTAAATATCTGTAGCTATGGCTGTATTTATATATAATTATAATAATAGAGACCTTACTACACCGATTAATTAAATGAATAAAATGCAGTAAGTAACAACTTACAGATGGTAATATAACTATAGCACATCTGCTAGAAACTAAGAACAGTGTTATTTACTAAAGTTAAAATTAAAAAGTAAATTCAAAGTGAATTTCACATTTAAGGCCAAAATTGGTGAACTGGAAAAAAAAGTCAACCATGATTCCAGTTCAGCTACTTTGGCCTAAAATTTAAAATTCACTTTGAGGTGATGATGGAAAAGACAAAGCCAGTTGGTCAAATTTGTGGCAAGGAGTGTTGGCTTCTTAGCCAGATGTATTAGTTATGGTGCCAAGAGTGCTTTGGTGACTCAAGGAGTAACGCCAAACAGTTTAAAAACAGCCAATTAAATAAAAAAGATGTAGGAATGTTTACATTTATAGGGAGAACTCCACTTCTTACACAGGGCAGCAATCTAGAGAACATCAATTTAGTGCCTCAACACTAAAGTACTAAGCAACATTTCAGTCTCCTGACCTTTTTCAAGGCTGCTAGTCTGAAAAAAAAAAAAAAAAGTTTATTTACTAAACCCCAAATTGTAGTGAATGAAAAAACAAATTGTAAAGTTTATAGTAGCAAAGTTCTTGGAGAAATTCTCCAAAACACCGCTCAATACCACATTGCTCACTAACTAAATCTGTTCTTGTTGTTTGTGTATATTTTGTGTTTATATTCGTTTGTTTTTTTTATTCTTTTTCAGTCTCAAATAAGGAGACAGTCAACACGAAGATGAAGACAAGTGGAGACAACATTGGATCATAGACATGCAGAAAATAGTTCATATTTGTCATAGAACTTTGAAAGAAGAGTACTTGGACAACCATGCATGCTAGAACACACTCTGACATTCCATTAGGCATTGTTCATCATATTGTAAAATGTGAAAAAGAATTATGTGCCCAACAATGAAAACAGCAATATTATAATACAGTCATATGGCTTATAACACAAGAACAGTTTTAAATCAAACCTAAGGACAGCTAAATGAAATGTTGTGTTTATAAAAAGAAGAATCCTTACTTCTACACGATGAATGAGATGAGCTAATTTTCAAATGTTTTACACCATTTTGGTTTTTAACATAATTTGTAGCGGTAACATTCCATTAAACTAAAGCTTTTAAATATAGTGACATGTTTAAAACGCTTTAAAATGCATTTATTTATTAAGTTGAACTTGGCCTAGATTATTTACCAAAGGTTGAGATGTTGAGAATTCAAAGTGAATTTTATGTTTTCTGTCAGCTCTGGTTTTAGTTTAGCTATTTTGGTCTAAAATGTAAGATTTATTCTGAATTCCCGGTAGCTCATACTTTGGTGAATAACTCTGTAACTTTCTTTTTGTTCTTCTTGTGTTTTTTTTTTTTCTGGACACGCTTTCTTGATTATTAAATATCACCTTTTTTGTTGCTTTTTGGTTGCCTCACATTAATTCAGTAAAATACGAGCAAGGCAAACATCTCAAATTAAATGCAAAGTGATTATTATTGGTTGTGACAATGACATGGTGTAGGCAACCTTCGGCACTCCAGATGTTTTGGACTACACCTCCCATGATGCTTTGCCAGCATTATGGGTGTAAGAGCATTATGGTGGATGTAGTCCACAACATCTGGAGTGCCGAAGGTTGCCTACCCCTGGTGTAGATGGTTATTTGTTAAATGGTGAATTTCACATTCTAGGGCATAATAGTTACATAGTTACATAGCTGAAAAGAGACTTGCGTCCATCAAGTTCAGCCTTCTTCACAAATGTTGTTGCTGTTGATCCAAAAGAAGGCAAAAAACCTGGTCTGAAGCGCTTCCAATTTTGCCACAAACTAGGAAAAAATTCCTTCTTGACCCCAAAATAGCAGTCAGATGTCTCCTTGGATCAAGCAGCTATTACCCCACTAATCAATGAGTCTATTTTGTTTTCAGCCTCAGTTTTGGTGTTAATTTCAATTCGTTGCAGGTTTTTAACTAATTGTTCAGGATTATCAACTAAAATCCAAGAACAGTCCAGAGTATTAAACATCTGTGAAGATTACTGGATTTTCCTGAGGTTTGTGCTAACAATAATAAATGCAAGCAATATATGAAAATAAAATCATTACTTTTGTTACTTTCCCATATTAAAGTTGATAATGTAGAAAAAAACAATTTAAAGATCAACCAAAGTATTTACAAGTTAATAGACATATTTCACAGACTTCACTAGCCCTACTAAAGGATAATTAGTGAAATGCGCGTAAGGCTATTAGAATTAACAGACAGAATAAGCAGGTTTTTTTTTTTAGTGTGGGGACATAAAACACATTTAAAATTTACTAGTGCAGCTGAAATTAAAGGTGGTTAATTTAGCATATTGCACAGACTGATTTTGAGGCTACATTATTGGTAGAGCCAGACACATCCCATACATTTGCTAACAGAAATATTTACATCCTTTTTGATATAGCGATTCCTTTTAGCCTATTTTTCTGTGATGTTAGCATTACATTATCGCGTAAACAGTCATCGGATATATATCTTTTTATCCAGGTGTACTTTCTTGCAAAAATGAATCTTGCTAAGTGAACTATTCAGTTAATGTTGCAATATTTACGCAATAAACGTTTCATTTTAATTTTCACATTTTTTAAATTTCTCCCTCACATTTAATATTGGTTAATAGTTTGCCTCAAGGGGTAATCCCCATATTTTGTTACTTTTGAAAGGCACAGCACAAGGCTCAAACAATAACCTCATATGCAAGGCATACAATACATCAAGTGAATGAAACAATCAATAAACACCGCTGTTTGCACATGGTGCCTTGTGGGGGTGACCATGGTACCCTTTTCCTGTGCACTACCTGACTCTGGTGATATATGGGCTGTGGCTTTGGATGAACAGCCTATCGTGTAAGTGTTTTGCTGTTGCATTATTTGTTCAGCTGTGTGTTAATGACTGATCATGCAAGTCTAATTCAGATAATCATATACCTGATGGTGCTTCATTTTTACAATCTTATTGGCTGAGAATGCTGTCCATCCTTGATTAGTGGTTATGTAGACCTGTGTTAATATTACACTGCTAATGTTATTGATTGTTTAATTGCACTTGATCTAGCATATTCCATATGCATGAGGTTCATGTTTGAGGGTGGTAGCTTGATAACGGTTGAGGTTGAAACATTGCTGTGTTTCTCTGAAACGCTGTCAGCAAACTGTCATTAAAGTAAAAATATGTATGAGGCTGGAGGAAAGGCCCATTGATGGTGCATTATTCACCTGAACATAACAAAATAAAATGTTTGTAAATATGGATGGCATGGTCACAATGCAGATATGTAATTCATTTAAGTGGAGGGGGGGATGTCATAGTGGCAATCAATACTGTTACTCTCACTTACTGGGCACGTAGAAGGACAGATATTTTAAAACAGGTCATCAGGAGTCCAGCCTTTCTTTTGGAAGAGCTGTTCGCTACACTGATAGTTGGAGGCATTCAAAGTGAGTAATATTTGTGGACAAATTGGAAACACTTACCATGAACAGATCTGTGGAGTGCTGCAGTGATGGTTGTCTTTCTGCAGGTTTTTCCCATCTCCACACACGATCTTTAGAGCTCACCCAAAGTTACCATCATGTACTTGGTTACCTCTATTACCAAGACCCTTCTCCAATTACTCAGTTTGGCCAGACAACCAGCTCCAGAAAGAGTCATGATTGTTCCAACTCCCTTCTACTTTAAGGGATAAAAAGTTATATGCCTAGCACTACAGCTCCCTTGCCCAGGGCCAGACTGGGAAATAAAAGCAGCCCTGGAAAAAATTCTATACCAGCCCAAAAATGCGTTGCACCAACATTTTGTGCTATGTGGTGGAAAAGATCACTTAAAATTGAAAACTATTACTCTAACAAAAGAAAGCACTCATAGGGCTTCAAAATAAACAAAAGGGTGGCTTTATTGTAAGCAGATGTGCATTTGCATGTAATCAATGTTTCAGTCCAACTACCTTGACATATTAAGGAAAGTTTGGTAATGGGACTGAAATGGTGAATGAGGTTGCACAGCTGTCAAAATTGACATTATCTTGTTTATTTTGAAGTCCTATGAGAGCATTCTTCACTTTAAATATGTTATTGTGCTGGAGTGTGCCCATAGCAACAAGATTGGGCCAATACGTGCCCATTACCTATGTTATATATTAATGACATTTCTGTTTGTATGCTACATATATAAATGTATATTAATATGTCTAAATATTATAGGTATAATTATATATATTATTATAATACACATTAATATATATGTGTGTGTGTGTGTGTGTGTGTGTGTATTACTGTCAGAATCACATCAATTATGTCTATTTGTACATTGTGTTAGCAAGTTTGCTAACAAAATGTATATATTGGAAGGAAAATCTATTTAATAAGACGTATTTCTCTCACCTGTCAGCTCCGGCATAAATTCCTGTGCTGAAGAACTGAGTTACATGGAGAAAACAGGCGACAATGCATCCCCCCAAACACGCACACACAAAAAGCATTTTCTCTTAAGCCTCTTTTGAATTTCTTGCTTTTTTTGTGTTTATTATTCCCTTCTTTGATATTTTTTTTACCTCATTTAGTGTATCTTGTCTCCATTTTTCTCCTTTGTGTCTCTTTCAAACCCCCTTTGATATCTTTTACTTCATCCTAGCGCCTGTGTGTATCTTTTGACCCTTCTCCAGCCCTTTGTATGTCTTTCTTCCAAGCCCCTTTTTTGTGTTTTAGCCCCAGCCCCTTTGTCTCTTCCCTTCTCTGTGTCCCAACAAACCTTCTGTGAGTCTCTTTGTCTCCCTCCAGTCTCTCGGTGTGCATCTTTCTTCCCTAGCCCCTCTGTCTCCCCCTCTGTATCTTTTCTCCTCATGTCTCTCTTTCTCCCTCTCCCCGTGTCTATTTCTCAATTTCACCCCCTTAGACTGACCTTGCCTGAAAATCTGTTCTGGGGCTCTGGGAGAACCAATGACAGCAATGTATTGTTCTCTCTCTACCATGCTCCCTCGCGGTTCTCACAACTCCCAGCATTGACACATCATAATATAATCACTACTCTATGATGTGGCTGTGCTGGGAATTGTGGGAACCGCGAGGGTGCATGATAGTCAGGTCTGCCCCATCACTCAGTCCTCCTGTGCTGTCTGACAGCTGTCGGCACCAGTGAGAGCGGCACCACCATACACAACATGAGATGCGGCAAGGTAATTGCTGAACGCGGCCAGCCCCCTCCCTCCCTCAGAGTGTGCTACCAGACCGGCAACCCTGTGGCACCTTCATGCAGCCGTGATGTTCCTGAAACCGGCCGTAGTATTCCCTCTCTGTAAGAGGGAAGAATTAGTGTGCTGCACAGAGATGATTTTTTTTTTTTTTTTAACTATTTGCCCATTGGCTTTCAGCACTGTTAGTGGGCAAATAATACTATAATGAAAAAAAGCAATTTGCGGATGACTATGTCTTCAGTCCTGATTTTGTTTACAATTGGTGCCTTGGGAATATTCTGGAATCTAGACTTTGCACAGGCTCTCAGGTGTGAAAAACACTTATATTTAACCAGACATCAGATGGTGCAAATTCAGTCAGGTTGACCAAACTGTGACTGGAATTAGTTTTTGCAATTATGATTGTTGCGGTGATCGTAATTCAGTCATATTCACTTGATTTTGTTATTCTGGACAAAATTCTGTGTTTAGTGAATACACCCAAATATGTGACAAATTAAAACAATACCCAAAACATGCATTTATTTTTAGGTATACCTGCACTGATATCTACATGTGAAAATGCCATTTTATGTGCATTTCTTATCACACTGTAAACCCTACGCTTCAAACAAATACTATGCACATACAAGATTTGATTAAGCCCATTTTGATGGGTTTTCAATCTTACATTGTATATATGTTTCCGTGCTGGAATTGGGGGGTGGGGAACGGAACATTATCAGAACTGGACGGCCTCTACTCTAGCCGGTGCCTCTGCCAAATGAGACATGCTGATAAAAGCAGAATACCCCCATTATTAAAACCACAGCAGTAGCACAGCATTTTAATTTTACAATAAAAACAGAAATCAGGTTTTTACATTTACACAATAAAGAATATTTTTTTTCCCAAACGTAACAAAGCATTTGTTTCTCACTAAACCATATGATACACAGATCAACCACAACATTAAAATCACTGACGGGTTGAAGTGAATAACATTGATTATGTAATTACAATGGCACCTGTCATCTCCAAAACAGCAAGTCTTGTGGGGTGTTCCTGGCATGCAGTCGTTCGTACCTACCATAAGTGGTGCAAGGAAGGACAACCGATGAACCAGCGTCAGGGTCATGGGCACCCAAGACTCATCTGGCCAGATTACACACACACAAAAAAAAAAAAGCTACTGTTGCTCAAATAGTTGAAAATCTCAATACTGGTCATGATACAAAAAGATTCAGAACACAGCACTGCATCACAGTTAGCCAAGTATGGGGCTGCAATGTTGCAGACCAGTAAGCGTGCCCACAATGTCCCCTGTCCACCACCATAAGTATCTTCAATGGGTAAGTCAGCATTAGCACTAAACAATGGAGAAATGGAAATTTCTAACAATACCACTCATACACAATTGTGTTACAGAGCAGTACACATACAACCCTGGAGTACAACATACGAGATAACAATTACATTGCAACTCAAAGTCATATGCATTTGAATAATATTCTAAAGATAACTTACAATAAAACAATGAATGCTAAAAATGAAAATGTCACATGGTAATTACATTTTATTTTGCTGTATTACTGGTATTTAGTACATGAATCAAAAAAATACCAAATTTGATGTTCGGTTTCTTTCAAAAGTAGAAACAAAATTCCTTTATTTGCTTTTATACATATATAACTATCACATGGCTTTCATTGACATATTTAATTTTATACACAAACATACAGCATAGAGATGTAGACACAAATGAAGATTACGAATTTAGATCACAGGAATTAAATATTAAATATGTGGATGAATGTGAGCTGTCCTGCTCCTTTAGGAAAAACAAAAAAAGTAATTCTAGTTCTTCGTATTGCAAACTTAAAAGAACCTGTACTGTGGGGTTCTATCTGATGTAAATAAATAAAAAAATAATTGCAAAGGAACATACAAAGCAAATTATAACAAGCCATTCTATGTTCTAAAACTGGATGAGCAGGTGTTTTCCTTTGGTTTTCATAGAGACTGCTCCACACCTGGAAATGTATTTCACACTTATGTTTTAGTAATTACCGTATTTAATTGCCAACTAGACCATGTTTATGATGTAAGAACTAAAAAAAAATCAATATTAAATATCGTGTCTGCTGCCTTTGCCATTTCATTGTAAAAATATACCACATGTTGAATGCTAATGTCACATAGATGGCAATATTTTTAAGAAAGAAAGTTACCTATGCATGTGCTAAACATGTATATAATACTGTATGTTCTACAAACCAGTTCCACATAATTTTAACAATTGGGTTAAAAGCCTCTTGGATTTACTACATTGCAGTGTCAATGTAAGCACAATTATGAATATTTAAATTGTATAAACTTCTTCAAGAAAACAGTGGACTAATAAGGGTCTATGGGAGATTTTAACAAACAAAATTACCAGAAAGTAGAGCATTCATTTCCATAGCTTTAACAAATTAACTTATTTTTCCCATTAATGGGATGGATAGGGAGTGTAAAAGTTCTTTATGCCACAAAATTGCTTAGATGACTGCATATTAATGATGTTTGAGCAAACTTTATAAAAATAAGCTTAGGTACACTTAGCACTGTTATACAATAACAAGTTTGTGTAACCTAGAGGCATATTTATAACCTAAGTAGTAATGGTTGGTTTTACAGTTAAAGGGACAGTCCATTGCTCAAATACAAAATAAAATAACGGTTTAGTAGATATCCCCCAAATGAAAACGTTCATGCATTTAATTATGTATTTTTTCATTGTGAGTATATAAAAAAACAGCTTGCAAAACCTGCAATTATATTGTCTTTGCAAACCCTCCTCTTCTAACCCCGACCAGACTTTCTGTGGTTGTCAAATCACAGACTTCCCAATGCAGCTCAATTAGAAGTCTTAACAAGGCAGGTGCTCAGGACAATTGACTGCCTCTTGAGTTTAGCTCAACTGAGCTAACTAAACCAGGAAGTAACACAATCTATTGTCTGCTTGAAAGTTAAGGAGGTGTAATCAGGTTTTTTTCTAAAAGATTGTTAAATCATGAATAATCTGAGTATCGGGGTCAAGTTTGAACTGGAGAAGGCAATAGTATTAAAAATTTCCCTATACCAGTTTGCTGAACGTCGAAAAACAAAAATGATGGATTTTGGCAGAAGAGGAGTGTTATACCATTTAGCTCACAATGGCATTTCAACTAAGTTATATTTTTAAACAAATGTTAAAGGAACACACCAAGCACCATAACCACTACAGCCTGCTCTACAGGTTATGGTTCCAGAAGTGCCATGGCACCAGCCCAGAACAAGTAGTCCAACTGTTTGTAAATGGTTTGACAACTTATCTGTGGCAGGGTGCCTCCTCCAGTGCCCCTGGGAAATTCCTGCACCAAGTTAAGACCAGTGGAATCTAGAGTGCAGAACAGTGGAGTGCAGAGATTTAAAAGCTTCTTGCGGGAGATGTAGTGGTTATGGTACTTGATGTGTTTCTTAACACTGAAGCCTCCTTTATTTCCATAAGTTCCATTCATGGTGTCTCAAATTATGTGCATTTAGAAAAGCACAAACTTTGCATGGAGAAAATTAGTAATCCTCAAATGTGCAAATGAAAGGCTTCCGCACGAACATACCACAACATGTCAAAGCTCTGTAAGCATTATGGAAATTTCAAGTGTTAAATCTCAAACCAAATACAAAAAAAATAAGACATTTTATAAAAACTTAAGCAGTCCTTAATATAAGGATAAAGGAAAGAAGTTATTAACATAGTTGAAGATATTGCTTTTCTTTATGTCCAACAATTCACAAGCCAAAATGACAATATAAAAATAGGAAAGTCTTCTGGGTCTGGTAAAGTGCAATAAAGCAATGCCATAAATGTTTAACACTTTCACTATACTAAATAATTATTCAAAGATTTTGGAATTTATAAGGTTACCTTTTGCAGAGCATATTTTTGTTTAACAGAAATAAAGTACGAAATAAAATTGCACAAGTGTGCAAACAAATGTCAAATACATAATAATGTGAAAATGTTTTGGAGAAATAAATAAAAAAAACAAACAAACAAAAAAAAATAATATAATATAGACCCTGTATATTCTTAAGGTATATGGCTTATCAAACAAATGTTTTGAGTACAAACTGACTTTTTTTCAAGCTTATTAAAGTAGAACCACTTTCTTCTGGAAATTACACTACTGAATAAAAAAAAAAAAAAGTCACCTAATAACTTGTGTTAATCTGTTTTTCATATAATGCTAACTGTTAGGTGTAAAGGACAGAGCTTATAACAATGAAAACGGAGCGCTCTATTTGGAAGATGAGGAGGTGTATAAGTCTACACTCAATTTTATATTTCTAGATCACAATATTAATTCTGGAAATCGACAGTTTCCCTTTAACGTCCACATATTAAAAACTAGTGTGGTTTGGAATACATTCTGCACATCATCTCTTTGATGTTTGAATGAAGTGATCAATAAAGTGGTTTAAAGCCGCAGGTTCCACTTTAATAGCAATATTTGCACCTGGACTGAATTCCGTCTGCTGCTCTCTGGAGCCATGGATCTTCTACTAGTAAGAACATTACATCTCCTTACATTCTATGCACCTTCTGTGTGTTTTGCATGCCCCTTAAACTTGTTGTTTATAGTCAATGGACCACTTCATTAAGTTCAAATCTGTAAATGATTTAGAATCATAATCAACATGAACAATTTTACAGGCTTAAATTGTACAGATTGCATCTTTAATCATTTTAAATTATATAAACTGAAAACAGTTAGGAATGGGTACCATACACGTCAACATTGTAACTTTTTGAGGGGTTCTTGTATATAATGTACTAATTCAATACTCACCATTCATTTTGTTACAGTATTAAACATTTACCAGTGGTTAGGAAGAATGGTCACGAAATAAAGTAAAATATCTTGCTTTTTAAAACATAAATCTATGTTTTCCAATGCCCATATGTACTGGAAAGAAGTTAGGAAATAGTAAAACTTAAACATGCTATTCAAGTATAACTATTTTGGAAATAAACGCCTCATTAGATTGACAATAGATGGACAACTAGGTGGTGGAAAAAGGCACGGTATTATAAGCAAAAATATTTACATGTTAATATAAAAAACAAAAAACACACATGGATACTGGTATAAAAAATGTTTAGCTTTGATGCCCTTGAGTTCTGTTAACAAGAGAAATTAAGGGTACTGATAATCAAGCACAGGTCTGCCACTGCCAACTCAATAAAGATCCTTGATATCTTAGCTGGTGTTAGTCATGGATATATCAACAGGAATTTTACCAATAGTAAAGTTTTCAAGACCTGTTAAAGGCAAGCAGTACAACATGACATATGGCATTAAGAAAACAAACACCGAAATGCAAGATATTCTCTTAATAAAGAGTCACAATAATTGTGAGACTCTGCTAAGGATATCAGAAAAATCTTGTAGAGTAGTTGAAAGAGGCAAAATTTAGTCTATTGTGACTTAAGTGTTCCCTAAACATTTAAACAAAATAAAAACACAGTGCTATTTCAAAGCAGAAATACAAATTATATAATTGGTCACTGTTCTGTTCTTTGGTTGCTCTTCATAGAGATCATACCATCCATTAAGTGTTCCATGTTTTCAGTTTCCATTGGCTTTGTATTATTGCTGATGCAATCGATTGCTATGGACAATAACTTGGATCCTAGATGGAATGTCTGGTTTGGTTTTTGAAAGGTAAATCTGAGCATGAAATGTCACTTGACTAATCATGGAAATTCCATAGTGATTTTCTTTACTTCAATCTTAAACAAGCAGTGCATTTAGCAAACACAACATGGGTGCATGCTGTGTAAGGGCATCATTATCATTTAATGGAGAACTTGCCAAAAAAAAAAAAGGCACAGCAACACTGCTTTTACAGACTTGTAAGGGAGAACTGGTTAGAAAGGGTAAATCGAAATAGTATAGGATAGTAGGAAGTGGTTTAATAACTTATCTTTATAATAAAAACATATGTATTTTTCTCGTAATCTGAACTGATTTGAATTGAATTGCAAGCTTCCTAATACAAACCTGAATATTGGTCTATTCTTTTATACTAAAAACATGGAACACTCCAAGTACACTACCAGTCAACAATAAATAATAATTCTCTATATATACACACACAGATACACCCTTACACACTTTCTTTTAATGAAGGTTATGCTCTGTGAAAGCAACCTTACATCATCTTGTGGACAATACACTTTGCTGCATATTTTCTCTAAATGCATAGAAGTCTCATTGTTTATGATACACATACAAATATTCCCCTTCTGTGAGATGACTAGATTATTGGATTTAGGCCTATTATCTTTTTTCATGATCTTCCATGAGATCATATGCACTTGTGCAGTAAAATAGGGTTTTTTGGGGGGGTTTTCCCCCAAAGTACATTTAGATTAATACATTCAACAAAGCTTATCACAATAGTATGAACTCCAGTACACACACAATTCATTGTTTTCAGGTAATGGTCATATATATGTTTAGCAATAAATGGAATTATAATCTATGGGAGGGAGGAGCACTAAATAAAATAAAGTTAAACTCCCCTTCAAATTACCACATTAACAAATAATTGTAAGAAAACCAACTCTGGCCCGGCAGGAGAGGATATATATTTATACATTTCTTGAATCTTATATACACATATAATGGGACTGTGACTCTCTTAGGTCTGGGAGCTGCAGAAGGGATGCTTGACAGGTACAGCAAATACTAAATATACAGAATCACACCAGATATCCCAAAATGTTGCACTTGTTACACTTTTTCTTAGCCTTCACGCATCTTTATCAGAAAACAGATTTTGGAGGAATATTTTCTCTCTTTATCCAAGCCAAAAAGTACAATACAAAATGGGCTATAATTGTTCACTATAGGTCCATTATGACTGCTAGCTTATCCGAAATGATTTATTGGTAACTAATTAGTAATGCCAAAATAGTACCAATGATTCAAACATGGTCACTACCAGTTCTGGGGAGGATTACAGCCATGTGAAAACAGGTACTTTTCACAAAGTTAAAATTCATGGTGTGCGGCTATGTTATCACATGATCACTAGATTAGGAGTATATCACTCGAATTCATAAGTATATCACAATTTATTCCAAGAGAAGATGCAGCAGTGCCTGGAAACCATGGTAATAGATGCAAAATTAAGCAATCCTGATGTGACTGTGACTTTAACAATAAGACTTATATACAATTAAACTTTGTGAAGTATATACATGTCACACTAGAACGGAGATCATTAGTAACAATTGCTATTCTACATGTTGCACTCATCAAATAGTTAAGATGGGAATGGAGACTTAAAGGGCAATTAAAAATGTAAAAAATGGGCTGTGTGACCTTCAAGTTGTTCAGGAAGTTAAAGAGTAGCCAGCGTTAGCTCAATGAACAGTTCACATTTTACTCCCTGTATCACTACTCATGATGAAACTACAGTTTGTATTTGTCAGGGAAAAATTATGTATATTAGTATGTAGATAGAATAGTGTTCCAGGGTTTATCCGCCTCGATAGATGGAGGTCAATCGTTGAAGTTCTTTACAATTTTCCATTGATAAGGATTCTGCTTTCATTCTTAACCTCTCGTCCCTGTACACTTTTGCTGCATGTGTTAAATCAGATTCTGAAATAAGAAAAATAATATAAGTTACCAGTATATCAAAAGTTTTGCGACTAGGTATTATACAAAACTGGATTATCAATGGACAATATAAAAACTATATAATCAGAAACAATTCCAAAGATATGTCACCTGGTGGAGCTATATAGTTTTTAGCAGTAGTCTAACACAATGCAATGTGAATACAATTGCAGTATTCAGTATTGAAACTTTGTAGAAGCATGATCTCATCATAGCAAATAAATCTAGCTATGAGGGGTGGGGCTTGTTCTTCATTGCAGCTGGACACACATCGTATGAGCTCCAAGCCTGATTCTCACATTTAGCGAATTAACTGAATCCCAACTTTCCAAAGAGCCCTAATCTGTGACTTACCTGCTCCAGGATCCAACCGGGGTGCCTTGTATAGCTTCAGTTGAGTGCATCCAGTGCATTTATTGGAGGCTCCTATGAGGCCTAGCAAATACGCTGGATGGGTGAGGCGACCATTCCTCTTACTGATGTGAAGCAGTGCTCCTGCAGAATCTTCTTGCTGCCCTGTCTCCCCCCTCCACCCCCACTCAGGACCTGTGGGGGTTATCCTGGTCCCCATTGGACAAGAATACACGTTGAAGTGAACCGTTGGTACTTTACCTACCTCAACTTCCAAGGAGTTTGTTCCAACAAGATGGCGTCTACGCTTCCTCCTCATGGTACAGAGTCTCTGCAGCCGAGGAGGCATTGCTGGGCTCCTTTTAAGCACTTCCTGAAGAGACTGGATGAGCGCTTTACCCAATTCTGTTCTTTCTTAACAGCTCGCCTAGCCACAATGCCACCGAAGCTTCCGAAGGGCAACCCGAAAGACGGGGGCCGGGTGATGAAAAGGCCTGCCTCATGCATTTTTCTTTTAAATATCTGCTCACCTAAACTGAAGGCTGCAAAGTGTGATACCCCCTCGGCATCGACCACGCGGACAGAGGTCTGGCCACAGGCTGTTGCACCAACAGCACCTCCTGTTTCATCTATCGCATGTTGTCGGAGACTGACCTCCAGACACTTTCCCTAGGTGTTTCATCACATATCTTGATGGTTTCACCAAACTCTTTCATTTGTGTACCATGCACCTGTGTTTTGTTTGTTTTCTTTTCTTTCCTTTATGTGTTACTTGTCTGAATTTAAACCCTGCTGTGGCTTGTGCCAATCCCAAGAAACGTGATCCAGTGGTTTCCTGTATATATACACTACACTTATGTTTATTTTTTCTTATTATACCCAATATTCAGGTTTTACTCACGCAAAGTTTACCTGGTCTGATCACTTTATTATTGTTCATTCATGTTTATCAAGCTAGTCTACTTGCAGACATTTTTTTTCCCTGCATGATACCTTTTATCTTGTGTTATTTTCTGTGTTTTTAAAGAAAAAAAAATGAAAAAAATTGCAGCTTATCTTGACATGCAATCTATACACCGTGCATATTTGTAATAGAATTTATTGCTTATCCATGTTTATACCTCTGCACATCTAAAATGAATGTCAATAATAAAAAACAACCCCCCCCCTCCAGCCCAAAAAAATTGTATTACCTGGTAAATGCCCATGAGCTGCGTTGGACAGCCACAGAAAGTCTTGGCTGGGAAAAAAGGGGTGGACTTGCAAAGGCAATAGACAAAAGAACTGCAGCTTCTACAAGCCATTTTAGATATACCCTTAATGAACAAATACATAATTAAATGTATGCATTTTGTCATTGGGGTATATCTACTAAATAGTGCTTTAAACATATTTGGGCAGGAGTGTCCTTTTAAGCTTTTACTGCTATTACATACTGATTCAATAACTGCCTTATTCATTGGTTACTATTCTGATATTCATGACTATGTAGTATATAAATGCTTTAATTGCCAATACACATTGCCACCTAGTGATTTACTGGAATAATTGCTTTACTTATTGTTTAATACTATGTTTTTAGTGCTGAATTATCCAAGCCACCTCTGACTAACAGAAACATTTGCCTTACTCATTGATAACTATTCTGCTACACTTCATAGAATAAATAAGATCATCTATTAAGGTGCAAATTTATATTTCATCTTTTTGTCGACAGAATATATGGTTTATCTAACACAGTGTTTCCCAACCCAGTCCTCAAGGCACACCTACCAGTCCAGGATTTAGGGATTACCCAGTTGTGTCTAAGGTGTTTTTACAAAGAAGAAAAAAAACACCTTAGACACAACTGGGTAATCCCTAAATCCTGGACTGGTACGTGTGCCTTGAGGACTGGGTTGGGAAACACTGATCTAACATAACACTTTATAAAAGAAGCCAAGTACTTGGTGAATCTAGTGCAATCAAATAAAAAAAAATAAGGATTATAATGCTTAGAATACTTACTTTGCTGTCTCTCTCGCCAGCAATTATTCCTAATATTGGCCACATAATCCTCTTCAATGTTCTTTTCTAATTTCTGTAACAACATGCCACTGTATTCTGACTGAAAGTCCTTGTTGACATAGTAAGTAATTTTAAGATTTTCAGTAACACGTTTGATTGTTTGTCCAACACCACTGTGAAGATTTAGACCAAATAAATTATTAGCATATAACAATATGCATTATCATTTCATTTCTTGCCTAACCATGGCAGAATACACAAATGGGCAAGCTCTGGCACACACAACAAGTAGACAGTTTTTTTTTCTCCAGGCAGAGTTTTTTTTTTTTTGTTTTTTTTTTTTTAAGGTTACCAAGTGACTTTTGAAAAAGCACATCCAAGAAAGTCTCTATTCATCTTTATTCATTAGACACAGCATACAGTCCTTTTAAGTTCTCCCCTGAGTGTACCGCATTTAGTCTTACCCATTCTCTAAAGAGAGATGTTTAAAGTTAAGACCTAGCCTTCTTGTTAACAGAGAGCTCTTTTATGACCAATATGGAACTTACAGTTTTATCACATGCTTAAATAGACAATGTAGGCACTGTAAAGATTTTATCTCATTGAATTATTGGAGTCCCCAGGCTTTGTCTTTCCATTCAGTGTTAAACCATTTTCAGGGAGTTTAACAATAAGTAAGGGTTCCTCACCACACATGCATTTCCTTCTAGTCATACCGATTCATAACAGCAATGAGAGCTGTGATAGAATGAAAGTGGTCAGCTGACACTTAACTACTCTCATTAGATCAAGCAGCAAAGACGAGATGGGCTGCTAAGGACTCTCGGTTTTTCATTAAAACATTAAAAACTGTTTAACGCTGAACGTAAGGACAGCACCAGTGGACTCCAGAACGTCAATGAGAACGTCAAAGCGGTTACAATGCCTACAGTGCCCCTTCAACCACCCACTATATATGTCTTTAACAAAACTATATGGCAGTGTTATCTGCTCTTGGATATCATAATGCTGTTTACATAACAGGCTTTACAAACGAAGAGTGGATTTATCATCCAAATCTGCATTCACAGCAATCTGTCAGCCATATAGTACTACTCTGTTCCAGGTTATATGGCATTGACTGCACCGATGTGTCTTTAAGCTGTAATGCAAATTAATATAATAAATACAATTAAGGTCTGTTCTCTGTTATAATGCTATGAACTTAGTCAAGCACCAATATATTTAGACACATACTGATATCTGGTATCTTCATGTAACCAGTGATGCAGTGGTACACCTAAAAATGTACATTTGTGACAAAGGTGTTAGCACAGTCTCAGTAATTGGAGTTTTATGGTGATGTGATCTAGGGGTCCTGAATCTGGAAAATCAGCAGCTATTTTCAAATGCTTAACGAATTCTGTGTCTGCAGAATAACTGGATAAGTTAATATGTTAAAACAGCAATGTAACTTTGGAGGTTTTGCTTTTAAATCAAAGGAGCACTCCCATCCCAGTGTTCCCCAACCCAGTCCTCATGGACCACCAACAGTCCAGGTTTTGTCAGTATCTCCATTGGAATAAAACAGGAACACACATAAATCCTGAACTGTTGGTGGTCCACGAGGACTGTGTTGGGGAACACTGGAGTGTCTATATGCCATCTTAAGTAACACACACCTTTAGATTTTTAAATATTACTTGAATATAGTTTTTAAATCTGCTTGTCATTCAAGTTTTATATAAATTATACACAAAAGTTAACTGCTTGACGCCTATCCCTCATGTGGACTCCAGATTGCAGTTTGTTAACTTTTTAAAATATATGTCAACAACTTAAATTGTAAAAAAAATGGAAAGAAAAGAAAAAAAACAAGAATTAAAAATTCTGGATCTGTATTTTCTTTACATAAAGGGGCAGTACTTGCAATTGGGTAGCTGCCTCCAACTCTACAACAGGACATGTATCTACCAGCAAAAAGAGGGCAGAAAACTTTCACTCTAACTTAAGCCCTCTCTACTAGTCCATAAGTGGCCACAGAAGAAACTGTCTTTGCCTGTTCATCAGATGTACAAGTGCTTATGTTTGAGATAGATAGATATCACTCTATTTCAACTCATTTATAGTAAGATAAAAAGAAACCTTTCGTATACAGGCTACCATCAGCCTCTCCTGGATGGTTATAAAGAGTCTGTGGATTCAAAAAAGGCATAGTTGAGCTTGTTTATGACATGGCTGCAAGCACAGTCTGTTCTGCTAGTGGCAGTTACTTCAGCCAAAAGGCTAGGACAGGGGTAGGCAACCTTTTAGTAGTACTGTGCCAAAACAAGATCTTGAAGTCCCTTGGCATGCCACTTCTATTTATTTTTTTGAGGTGTGTATGTTGCAGCATTCCGCTTGTGTTATTTATTGGTAATGCAGTAGTTTTGTAGTGTTTCTGTGTATGTAGACTTATGTTGTATAAGTTCACGAGTAGTTTGTGGTATTGTGTATGATACCCATGAATGTGGACTTTGTATGGAGCTGCTTGTGGAATTGTGTGTGGATGATATAGTGTGTTTTGTGGACGTATTTCTGAGGACTGTGTGTGGGCTGTTTTTATTATTTGTATAGGGGAGGCTTTTGCAGATCTGTGTACATCTAGAAGTCAGGGTGGCTTCCCTGGGTTCCATTGGGGACCGGGCTCCCTAGGTACAGGTCAAGGGCATGCGCTACAATGGTTGCTGTGGGCTGCTTTACTCCAGTGTGGATTCCCGTTCAGTGCTGGGAAGAGGTGATCTGAGATCACTTCCACTAAGTGCTACAATGCGTTAATTGAGGACTGTCCCTCACCACCTGCAATCACCACTCTGTTTGCACTAGCAGATATCTGAAGTCTCCTGATAGGGTAGAGCCCGTTTGTCTCTACCCACACGTGCCATAGGTCGCTGACCCCTGGGCTAGGAGAACTCTAATTAATTATTCTCCTGTAAACCTTGTCACATAGTTTATAATCTTGAAAAGTAGTAGTTAACCATGTTCATTTCTACCTAAATTCGGTTTGAAATTTAAACAAATAGGTATTTTTATGCTCATTCTTAACAAAACCGCAATTTACAGTTACTACTTTCACAGTCTGGATATTCTCAGGTCACTTCTTTGAGATCTACATACTACAAAGATGTTCTGCAAGACTGATGACAGGTTTGTATTTTGAAAAGTTTTCCAAGAGAAAAATAGGGTATAGGAAGCAATTCACACCATCTGGATTATAGAAGCCATTGGACAAGCTTATCTGGTTTTGGGTCAAGATCCTCCAAATTTTCTTAAACCTCACTCTAAAAGAGACACAGGCAAATCACATCTCAGAGCTCCCACATGAAACTCACTCCACACCTTTGGCAGCTACAGGTTAAATGAGCTACCCCAAGGGCAGGCAACATTTAGCCCTCTGGATGTTCTGGACTACATTTTACGTTGGCAAATCATCAGGGGAGATTAAGTCCAAAACATCTGGGGTGCCAAAGGTTGCTTAACCTTTATGTACCCTGTGAAGATACAGCTTATATTTCTATAAACTTCCTATTTTGCACAGATTTTGTAAGTTTTTGTTTGTCAGACTGGGTGTTTCTGTGTGTAGTTAACTCTTATGGACCGAAGGAGGTGGGCTTATGGTAGAGCAAAAGTTTTATATATGTTCTGTCATATTTTGTTATTAGGTACCTATCTTGCTGAGGGATAGAGGCAATTACCCATTTGTAAGCAATGCTGTATCCATTATGGAAAAATAATTTTACTGTATGTTTTATATATGCTCTGTTTTCGCATGAAGGATTGCATATTTATACAACACAGCACTCTACAGATTCATACTAATGCACACTTACTCAATTCAACTGTAGGAAACTACCATTGTTAAGCCTTCTTAGAGAAAGGGTCTGAGAGAACACCTATCCATGAAATAGATCGTGCAAAATCCCTTCACCATTTTTATAAATGTAGTTGAAATACTATACTTACGCTCTAGGATATAAACTGTACGGTGGATTTGAAACCATGAACTGGCTAAGTAAGGAGACGAGAATCAGTACAATTATAGGCATCAGCTGAATGAACATGGAGAACCCACCCTGTGGAAAGATTTGATAAAGATTACCCACACAACATCAAAAAATAAATAAAAGTTCAACTAACAGACCTACAATATGCAGTTGTCATCCTAACCCAATAAACAGAGAGTGAGAGGTTAAAAAAAAAAGTCCACCAATTACCATTAAAGATGTAGTCTGCATAAACTCATAGCAAATTTAATGTTACAGTGACATGGAATTCTACTTTAGGCACAAATTATCAAGGTAAGATAGATAAGACTCTGCAGCTCCTGTCCAAGTTGCCTCTTCACAAAGAGGCTAAGGAATACAAAATAAATAAAAAAAATAAAAAAAGTCAGCCACAACACCCTGATGCTCCAAAATATATGTAAGCCTAGAATGAGTCTTTATATATAGTCACTATTATACCTAGTCTTGTTAGCTGATGCACACATATCCTTATCCCACACAGTCAGAGACTAAAGGAACACAATAGTGTTAGGAATACAAACATGCATTCCTAATGCTATATTGCCTTTCTAAGCAGTATCTACAAAATAGTGCCATTTTTCTTATCTTCCCAACTCCAAGGCTCAGCTCATCAAGACTGGTGATCTCAGCCAATCCAATTAGGAAAGCATTTGGAGGATAGGGCACACGGACATCAAAATGTAATTCTACGCCTATCAATATTTCTATCATAGTGACAGCCATTACAAGCATTTAAACCCAGCAATGCAAACATTGCAGTCACTGGAGAACATTGCACGGTTAAAACGACAAGGACATGGCACCCAGACCATTTCATTGATATGAAGTGGTTTGTGTGCCGAGTGTCACTTTAAATTATGCAATTTGCTGACTTTGAAGTGGTTCTATTTGAAAGACTACCTATTTCAAAGCACTGATAACATGAGAATGTAGCCAACGGGTATGTGGGTTTTGTGTTTGGGGTACCCAATTTACTCATCCCATTACACCGATCAATATCATCCCTCATATGAATTCACTCTATGGTTAACACCATTTGCACACAGGGTTAGTTTCTATTAACATAATAACGCAAAACAAAATTAAATAAACTCACCCCTAACTTGAACCTCTAGTCAGTCTATACAAATTGTCATGACGTCAAGTACAATACAGGAGTCTGCTCAATTCAATCTGTACAGTAATGTTAAATTGCAAACAGAGAGGAGGAGGGGTCAGGAAGAAGTCTAGGCCACAACAGTAAACTGCGTGTATGGTGCAATAGCAACCTGAAATATGCAGTGAAATACAGATTGCTGGTTGTAGCCAAGCAACTTTGTTTACTGTATGGACATATGTACATTCCTAAAAATGCCACCATGATCCTTAGCAATACACTCAAACATTTTCATTTCTAGGTTTGATTTGCATTGAATATATTTACAATTTGTTAGCCTTCTAAATATTTCTTCAAACCACAAATTGGAAAAAATAAAAATGTACAAAATTTACACTATTAAAAATAAATAAAAAAACTAAAAAAAAAAAAAACAAAAAAAAAAAAAAACTTTTAGTAGTATGTAGATCTCACTTTTATACCTTATTACTTCTCTATTGCACAGTCAGAAAGTGTCACAAATTAAACACTCTGTTGATGTTGCAGGGGTTCATGGAAATGTTGCAGGTTTTCTTTAAACTTTTACCTCCCACATTTGGGGTAGGGAAAGAGGAGGTAGTCATGGGATATCCTGCTGCTTTTCACAAAAAAAAAAAAAAAAAAAAGTCTAATTCCTTGGGATTTCAAAAGCTATTTAAACTCTTAGGATAGACCCAATCAGCTAATGGCTTTACTTAATGTTTCCATCATGCACGCCAATGTGTTCTTATTTCTTTCAACATAGAGGGTCATAGCCACCCACTGTAGCAAAAGTGTTGAACTGTTGTCACAGAGACTAAGCCATCCGCTTCAGGCTTACCACATATTATAGAATCCACTGGTTGTTTTGCAGGACAAGTAACTGTGCTAATCAAAGTTGAATGTGCTTAACTGTAACTGTATGCCAGCAGTTTCAATATGTGGTATATTCAATGTTTTGTTTACTGTACTTTTGTTGTTACCTTGGAGAAATTAACCATTCTGTACAAAAAAAAAAAAGTGTTATGCAATCTGTACTATTGATGGTATTTCACTTGATATGGAATGTTAATCTATGTTCCTAAATCGATGTAGCTGACTTCAATGTACTTTCTTTTATGTAAAATGCTAATAATCTTTGTGTTGAATTGTTTTTATTACGTTTGCATAGGTTAGGCGTACATACATCATATTCAAACTTTTACTGCATCATTGCCTGCGCAGAGGCTCTGCTTGTGGAACAAAGATAGTATGAAATGCGCCTACGCAGAGGCTAACTTTTAACATTGCTTTACAGTGTCATGGTGTTCTGTGTGCTACCTGCGTATTAACTGTTATTTTCAACCTTGGCCTATATCGGTATGCAGCTGTGGTTATCTCTTATATAGTCATGTGTGGGTTGTCATGCAGTGTTTGGAGGGTCTATGGTGTTGAGTGTATGTATCCCCGGGATCCTTATCATTAGGCGTTTGGTCCCTTGGGTTTAAACCCTTTTGAGGGCCACTATTGGGTGTAATATAGCAGTCCTAGGTGGCTAATAAACTTTGAAGTGAAGTAAAAAAATTTATTCAACCTCAACCTTAATTTAGTGTGGATCAACTTGAGTGCAACTCCGTTAAGTCTCCACTTTGTCCCTAGATAAAATACATTTCAGACAATAATAACTCAAACTGGTCTTTAGTGGTCTATACTCAAACATTTATTCCTGCCCTATAGCGTTAAAAACACTATCTACCCCCTAATATAGTAAACTTTTACCTTTCTTTCAGTCTGCTGGTGCTGGCTCTGCCCCTGGTCTGCCTCCTTGGCTGACATCATCAGAAGTGATGATCTCTGCCAAGGAGGCAGGCAAAAGGGGCAGAGCCAAATGCCACCCTGGCCAATCAGCATCTCCTCATAGAGATGCATTGAAATTTCAGTGTCTCCATGGGGTCGACAGTTTAAACCAACCTAAATCTAACAGGCAATTTTTATTACAAAGAGAGTTGCGCTTTGCCTTAGAAGCATTTGTCAGGTGATGACGGTTAAAGAACTCATTATGGACTCACACAAGAAAGATAGTATGGGGGGTGCCAGTAAGTTTACTTTGCATAATTCAAGCTGTCAGATATCCATGCACAATTTCTTAGCCGATTACTATTTTTATCTGAATTCAATAATCAAGATTCCCTTTTACTTCAATCATACTTACATCTCCTCTCTCATCTTCCCTGTCATGACCACTGTGATGCTGGTGCTGATGATGGCTATATCTGGCTCGGCCATTAGAAAAGGAATGTACACTTCCTGTAAATAAGAAAGATCATATAAAGGACACTATTGCTTGGCCTGAAACTGTACTTCCTTAATGGAATAATAATTTAAAGAAGCTACAGGCACACTCTAGTCACCACCAGAATTCAAACAATCTTCAATCTCTAAAAGAGTACCCAATAGTAAAACACCATTTATTTCAGATTTTTTTTTAAAATGAATAAATAAATGCACTCACAATATTAAGTGCTAGACATAGCACTCACCGCCACTTAGGTTTCATTGCCAGCACACAGACTGCATGCTGTGTTAAACTCTTCTGGGATTGCCCCCAGCTATGAATCCATCTCCATCTACGCGTTTTCAGAGAAACATTTCAATTAATGAGAAGAGGTGTCTGGGTATTCCCTTCTCTTGTTTATATTCCTTATCCATGGCTTTAATATTAACCCTTTGAACACTACGGCCTCAATTTAATATTTTTGGATAAGCTTTTTAAATGATTTATTACTATAAAAATATTTAAATTAATATCGGTTTATCTCAAATGTATAGTTTGGGAGAAATAAAAAAAAAAAAAAAACAAATTTACTTACTATCATTTTTTTCCCCGCATTAGGATTAAAGGCAGAGCACAGCAAGGCAAGCAGCACACTAGAAATTGAAAAGTCAAGTTCATCTTAAGACTCCTTCCTACACGGTATAAAACCCCCAAAAATACCCAAGCCAATGAATTGTGAAAATATATTTATTAAATATGGAGCGCAATACGTGTACTACCACTAAGCCTAAGGAAAATAAACTTAAGTTAAATCCAGACTGGAGGCAGTGCATAACAGGAATAAACAAGCAATTCCAATAATTTTTCCATAGCTTGAAGCACCTGAGCCCAAAAACACAATCCTCCGAGGCCTTCACATTTTTACAAAGTGTGAATGAAGGACCGGGTAGCAAACGGAGTCAAAGTAGCTAATGCCTTAGATGCAACAATTGCCCTTGTGGAATGAACCTTTAAATTAAGTGGAGGAGTAACTTAGAGGACCTGTAGAAAAGCATGATAGATTATTTAATCCATCTTGCCAATGAGCCATTGGATGCCTAGAGACCTTCTTTTGACCCTAATTTAGAACAACGAAAAGGTAGGAACGACTAAAAGGTCTAGGTTATTCCAAATAGCACTGATGTGTGCTTTACATCAAGGCAATGAAATTTATTTATCTGTCTGAGGATTCTGACAGAATATTGGAAGCACAATTTCCTGATTAATAAAGTTCACAAGAAAAAATCTCAGGGAGAAAAGAAGAGAAAAGTTCAAAATAACTATCCATATGAAAAAACTGATAAGGAGGATGCACTGTAAAGCTTGAAGTTCCCCGAAAAACACATTTGTCCCAGGTAAGGAAGTTGAGATTATTTTAGCACTTTGTATATCACATTATTCTAACAGCTCAACATGTGATATACAAAGTGCTAAAAGGACCAAAGCCCCCATGGAGTAACCATTTCTTTGATAGTTGGGAGGGGATTAGAGCCGGCTATGAAAAACCTTAAGATCAGAGGATCTGAAGCCAAGTCTCTGATGGTGAAGGAACCAATCGCAGTAATTTAGACTTGCACAGATGTTGGATGTTGATCCTTAGCAAGACCAAAATTGTAGAAATTTTAAAATATTTGGAACAGAATGATTGTGAATTCCTAGGTTCCAGGAAGGGAATGTCCTCCAGATCCTGGAATCAACTCTACTCCTGGATTCTTCCTTGGTTCATTCTTGCAATATGAATATCTTAACATCTGGAGTTATGCCTTTTGAACGGAGAATCTGCTGTTAAAATATCACGCTGTGAGATTGAACATCCTGAGAGCCAGCAGAGGAGCCAAGTTGTGTTCCAAGAGGTCTACTGAAAGTGGGAAATGCCAGGAGTTTCCTTTTGAAAGGTTCAACAAAATTAAGAAGGAACTGTTCCAAGGCTAGAATGGAGGAATTGCAATGATTCTTGCTTATTTCCTTGAATAATCTTCTGTAAAATCTTTGGAATAAGAACTGGAGGGAAAATGTCCAGATTGCCTAATTGGTTGATAGAGACAAATCATCTGGTTTTCCAGTTTATTCTTAAAGCCATCAGGTTTATTTTTGGAATTAGAAATCTCAACACAATTCCATGAAAATTTAATGGATAAGAGATCAATCATTTTGCTTCAAAATGATGCCTGCTCAGAGAATCTGACAAAATATTGGCTTCTCCTTTGGTAGAACTGCAGATAGAGAAGGTGATCAGAGCATCACACTGGAACACATTCTTGCAAAGGAGGGAGCAGGAGTTCCTCCTTGCCCTGTGGTTGCGTTGTTTTATCAAATTTGGACAAGATGCCCCTATACATGTTTTCAGAACATAGGAGAGCCAACCAGGTTGCTTGAGACCTTGGGAATTAGAAGACATCCATGAATCCTGTAGAGTACATAGACTGCTTGTTGCGTATTACCCCAGATGAGCTCCCCATCTGTCGCGGTCACTTCCCATTGCTTCTTTTTATTGCTTTAAGGAGAGATTTAAATACTGGTACAGAAGGCAGAGCTGACATGCTGATTGAATGGTAGCAGCCTTAATATCCAAAAAAGTATGCTGCAAATTGTTCTAGAAAATTGTTCTAGAAAATGAAGATACTGCTGCATTTTAGCTTTCTCACATGCTTCTCTGGAACAGATGCTACACAGTTTTCTTTTGTATCTTTCTGGCTTAGACTGGCTGCAGGAAGAACATATCAAATATTTTGATTTTGACATACATTACGCTTAATCGGTAGTTCCAGAATTGGGCATATTTTTTAAAAACAAACTAAGAGAATAAAAGGCAAAGAGACCATGAATGTAAAAGCAAAGTGTTAAACATCAAATAACCCACTGGGTGTGCTTGAGGCAGTTGCAACTGGGAATAAACAGCCTCCACAGCTGGGAAATAAATTTAATTTTGTGCCTAAAATCAGATATCACTTTGCGCATAGCACGCCATGATCGCCCAGTGGAGCATATCACAACCTGTGCTTACATTCCACCTCCAGAGTGTCCCAGTATGTGCATGCAATGCACCACTTCCATTTTAGGCACCCAGCATGGAAGTAGGTAAAACTTATAAAGCCATGGAACACAGGCAACCGAAGTGTGTTCCACCACTGAAGAAAAGAAGAGGGAAGAACCAGATCCACTAGAGTTCTTCTTCTCTGTAATAGCTGAGCTCTCCTTGGCTTCAGTCGCCTCACCCCTGGAGAACATAAAAACGTGAGTGCCTACCTATCCTGCTGAAGGCAGGCAGAGAACTGGGGTTTCTGAGTTGGTTTAAGTGTTTTATACCTTGTGGGGAGGAGCTTAACTTTTCAATTACTAGTGTACTGCTGGCCTTTTCCTGTCAAGATTTGGTGGATCGCTCTGTTGTTGTGCACTGCCTCTAATATAGAATGAGAAAAAGTCTTTCTCCAACCTCAATTCCAACGATTTGAGTGACAAGGGAGAGCATAAAAGACTTCCCACAGACAGACATCCTACTTTCCTAAGCATAACAACCAGAGTGTATACACTGAGGTTGCTGTGTAAACTCCCTAGCTAAACCTGCTAGTGCTGGCTTGGGAGTATATGGACTGAGTGACTGACATCACTCTGTTTAGATGCTGGCATGCTGAAGGTTTAGAGATAAATGTTACATGAAGAGAAACACACATGAAGACAAGGAAATGGCACTGGAGGTAAGCTGAGTGATAGCTCAATATTTTACATTGACTACATCATGTATCTCTGTGATACATGATGTAGTCAATGCATTTGTTGGGCATTTAGCCTATGTTTATGAACCTGTGGCAGGTTCAGTTTAATATTAAAACCTCAGTTGAGGAATATAAACAAGAGAAGTCAATACCCAAATTATTGACAAAATCGAGAGGTCACAAAAACCCAGCTGTAAAACTTGTCTAAGTAACTTACAGTTTGGCTAATCTGGCATTACATAAAAAAAAAAATCACTTACAATACTTACAAGCTTATTCACAAAAGTGAGAATTCATAGTAAGTCAATGACATACAAAACAGTATTACCTGAAGGGAAGCCACCACCAAAAAACATATTGAAAAGATCTTCAGGAGTTATGTCTGCTTCAAATCCTCTGTGGAAGTCAAAGCTGCCATTCCTGTGGTGACTGTGCACTTGGTCCTCACTTCCAGTTAGGTCATATTGCTTACGTTTTTCAGGATTACTAAGCACTGCATATGCGTTTCCTATTTCTGAAACAGAGGTGGAAACAAACATAAAAGTTGTGATGCGTAACTAAATAGGAGACACTGCTTTTTATACAGGTTTTTATTTTATATTAATTGAGCAACAGAATTATGCCAGTTGTACAGGGATCACATTGCATGTAGATACAGTTATAATTAGCATGGGTACATCCAGATGTTTTCAACACGAATACACATGTACAATGGTAAAATAATAATTTATGAGTCAATGTACAATGGACACGTGTACTACACTACTTTCCACCAGGAAAAAGGTGAGGATATAGAAGTAATTTAAAATGGTAATATTTGGAGCACTTATTTAGTAGTTGAAAAAAGTCTAATTAGAGCTAATAACAAATTACTGCTTCAAACACTCTAGGTGTGGTACCCTTCAAACACACCATACACAATGCAGTGAACAAGGAAAAAGAGGAATAAGAGTAGAGGAATTTGTTGAAAAGTGACAATTTCGGCAATCTCCCCCTAAATCTCTACAGGTGTAGAAAGGTTTAAGTAAAACAAAAAGCAAAATTTAATCTCCAGGGAAGAGTCTTCCATACATCGATATCTCAATCTCCCCCTCTCCAATAGTTATTCACCTTTTGGATACCTATAAACTCCAAACCTTCTGGGTTGGCGTCGTGGCAATCTTTGAAATGTAGGGAAACTGTGCAAATTTTTTAACTTAATTTAGCATTTCCTCTTTGCTTAATTTAAAGTTTTTTTTTATCTTTTTATATGTTCAATGCAATAATAAGTTATTAAATGTAGCTGTATTTTAGACTGTTTTATATGTGCTGTATGTTGCTTTAAGTGTATTTTATGTTAACGCTGAATTGATGCTGTGTGCTGAAAAAGTAGAGCAGCCACTAAAAAGATGGTTATTTCAAATGCAAATGAGGTTGGCCAGGACTAATTGAAAGATTTGAACTGGTAACTGAGGGCTATAAAAACCCTCGATAAAGATGGCCACTGCAGCACATCACGTCCTGAGGAAGCCGGATATCCGGAGAAACGCGTAGACGTTGGCACCAGGGGGCAAACTGTACCTAGCACAAACACGCTGGATTACAGCTCTGGGAATCCTGCACTTCGGCTCCAGTCACATCCTTTGAGGACAGCCACCCCAGCACTTTATTGATTACGAGCCTGGCAGTGAGTAACGGCAGAAGACGTGCCTTACTCACAACTCTCTTGTGTAAGAGTCAGTTTGTTAGCAGTTCTAGCTATGTGTTTTTGTAAACTTGCTTCTATGTATTTTTATTGCATGTTTTAAATATCTGTGATAATAAATCCTTTACATAAAATTTGTTAAAATCAAGACACTGTCTTATGGTATTTCCTTAGCCCTCTATGTTTTGGGTATAATATCTGGGAATACATTTAATACAATCTCCACTATTATTTTCTCTTTTTATGTTTTTTTCCTACATGCTTTGAGAGATCTATATATGGAAGACTCTTCCCTGGAGATTAAAGGGACTCTCCAGTGCCAGGAAAACAATCCTTTTTCCTGGCACTGCAGGTCCCCTCTCCCTCCCACCTCCCATCCCCGGTTGCTGAAGGAGTGAAAACCCCTTCAATGACTTACCAGAGGCAGCGACATGTCCCATGTCGCTGCTTCTTCCTCTGCCGCCGCCGCTCCACCCCTTCATTACGTCAGCCGGCGGGGGAGACTGATACCGCCAGCCGGCTGGGGAGACCTAATGCTGCGCATGCGACCTCTCCATAGGAAAGCATTGAAAATGCTTTTCAATGCTTTCCTATGGGGATTTTAGCAATGCTGGAGGTCCTCACACAGTGTGAGGACGTCTAGCGACGCTATAGCACAGATAATCTGTGCTATGATCCCGGAAGTGCCCTCTAGTTGCTGTCTAGTAGACAGCCACTAGGGGAGGACTTAACTCTGCAAGGTAATTATTGCAGTTTATTACTTACCTTTTCTCCCTCGTTGTGGCTGGCCCCGCCTCCATGGCGGAGATCATCAATATTTTTTTTTTTTTTATTATTTAATATTTTTGTAGTGCATTTAGTGAATACATAAATGCCTTCGGTGCCCCGGCAGCAGTCCTCCGGCTTATTACATGTGGTACAATCAGGGTGTTTGCAGGAACATGCACAATTTTTAAGATAATAAGATTGACACTTAGGTGATGTCGCTTAAATAGTTATGAACATAGGTTAAACTAAGCTTGTCATGCATTAGGTTAGGTCTAAGGAGGTTACATTTGCGTTTATAAGTCACTGTAGGCTGGAGCTGCAGTGTGTTAGCAATGGTACCTTAGAATTATTAATTAAACAGTGCTAAAACATAGGTAAGACATGGTAAAGTAATGCCTAACATTCTGCTCTTGAGTCCGATTAATGCTAGACCTCTGGGCTGTCCAGCTGCAGTGGCTGCATGTTACCGGAACAGTGAGCGTTTGTGGGCTTGTGGCATTGCTCCTGTCAGCCAATGCCCTCTGTTGGGATACGGTCAGCACCCGCTGGAGATCCTCTGGGAGCCGCTGGTGTGAGGGTGTTCATGAGGGTGACCTTCTTGCTCCAGGTTGGTATGAGGTCTTGCATCCGTTGACCACAAACTCGGTACTTGCTATAGTCAGAGTTTCTTCCCCGCATAGGGGTAACGAAGGGTCTGGTGGATCGCTTGTGTTTGCGCAGCCTGGGCCTCCGTATGTGTGGTTGATGCTGTCGGGTGTTCCCCAGTTTGACCTTCAACCCGGGTGGGCTCTGTGGCTTGGGGGTAAGTGGAGATGCTGTCGCTGTGCCCAAGGACTTTCCCCTCAGCTCCCTCTGCCCTCGGCTCTGCTCGGCCTTGGTCGGTGGATTGTGTTGTGCGGGCTGGGCTGCGTGGTATCGCTCCCAGAACTGTTCCCAAAAGCGGTTGAAGCTGTCGTCTATTCGTTCCATGATGTCATGGTGTAGCCTTTTGTGAGTGTGCAGGCTCTTTTCAAGTGTCGCTGTTTCAGCTGCCATTTTAGGTGCACCCAGCATAGGAGCGTTGTAGCTTTGACGTGTGCTTTTTGATGGGCTGATCGCTCCCGACTTCCAGCCTAGACCGAGATATCCCCCATCGGTCCAAAGGGGGGGCGTAGGATGTGAGTGTTCAGTGGGGTCGGTGTGCGGAGGTGTCGGTACGGAGAGCGTCCGCCTCTCCCCGGCTCCAAGGCAGGTAGGCCCCATGCTGTGTTTGCGGGTTCCCGTTGGTTGATTGTTTCGTTTTTGGTCTCGTTCTATTCTCCCGGGTGTTCCTGTCCTCGCTGCCACCTTCCAGGCATTACGCGTGCCACTTTTCTGGGGTTTTACCCCGTGATTCAGAAGTTTGTGCCAGGAGCTGATGGATAGCACGTCCATTTAGCCTGGATGCTAGGCTCCGCCCCCAGAGATCATCAATCTTTATGATCTCAGCCAATCCATTTCCTTCCCCTAGAAAAGCATTGGGAGCTATTGCGTTTGCAAGGTAAAAACATTCAATGAAGTGCCTTACCAATTCAGCTTCCATTGTTGGAGGCATAATAGATGTGCAAAGATAGTCTAGGAAAACATTCCTGTTTCTGTTCAAACTTACTGATGCATCTAATACTTCACTGATGTATCCAATTTCTTAAATCTTTTAGTTAATACACTTTTTACTGAGATTCGATGTTTATGTGACGGAGGCTATTTTTGGCAATTCCACATTACTCACTTTTGTCATTAAGTGTATCTGTAAATATTTCAGGGCTCAAAATTTCCAGGACGTTGCCACTGCAAGGTTCCATGTACACTTACCAGGGTTACAAAATAAATATATATATACACATGTCCTGATGAAAGTCCACGATGATGGACTGAAACGTTGACCTCTTGACCAACTGGATTAAAAGGTTTTTTGCATTTTTTCTAGCAAATTGAAAGTCCTTGAGTGCTGACTCTTTTTTGATATTTATACATTTGTGCAGCTAAGCACCGGGCAATAACTAAGGAGAGCTGGAGTGCAACTCCCATCATTCATTCATATTCTCTCTCTCTCTATATATATATATATATATATATATATATATATATATATATATATATATATATATATATATATATATATATATATATATATATACATATATATATATATATACATATATATATATATATATACATACATATATATATACACACACACACACACACATATACATATATATATATATATATACATACATACATACACATACATACATACATACATACACATACATACATACATACACACACACACACATACATACATACACACACACACAGAAATTTGCAGCTTGTGTGCAAGGTACTGTAGCATGCATATATATATATTTTTTCAAATATAGTCTGGTTTTAGACGATATTTCTTGAGCAGCCAAACTCAATGAAACGGGTCGACTGCTCAAGACATATCATCTAATAAATATGCTGTTCATCATTAAAAAGGAAATTAAATGAAAGTTTATGGGGGGTCACTATGATCCCTATATTAGTGCAAGTCTCAGAGCGCTAAGATAGGTTGACTTACAAGAATGTCTCTAGGATGTTCCCCTCTTTGTGTTATGTAATAGACCCCCTCACTGGCCAGGAGGGTCTACAACTAAGCAATGCACCAAGTGATACTTACAACGTAAGTAACCTCATTACTTACTGCATTACCCATCTAGTGTTTCGTTAATTTATCAGATTGAAATTTAGTCAACAAACATAGAATGTGACGGCAGATAAGAACCATTTGGCCCATCTACTCTGCCCAATTTTCTAAATACTTTCATTAGTCCCTGGCCTTATCTTATAGTTAGGATAGCCTTATGCCTACCCCACACATGCTTAAACTCCTTTACTGTGTTAACCTCTAACACTTCAGCTGGAAGGCTATTCCATGCATCCACTACCCTCTCAGTAAAGTAATACTTCCTGATATTTTTAAACCTTTGTCCCTCTAATTTAAGACTATGTCCTCTTGTTGTGGTAGTTTTTCTTTTAAATATAGTCTCCTCCTTTACTGTGTTGATTCCCTTTATGTATTTAAATCTTTCTATCATATCCCCCCTGTCCCGTCTTTCTTCCAAGCTATACATGTTATTAATGAGAAATTTGAGGTTTTAACAGTTTAGAATTTTTAACAGAGGTACCTGTTTTCTCTCAAGAACCCGATCTGGGAACCCTTTACAGAAAAGCTTTTAGAGGAGATGGTTTGTGCTTACTTTTAAATGCATCTGTAGCTCCTGGTGCATGGTTCTTATCAGGGTGAAATTTGAGTGCAAGCTTACGATAGGCCTTCTTTAAGTCTTCTTCACTAGCATCTTTACTCACACCCAACACCTCGTAATAGGTTTCACATTTTTTTATCCTGAAAGGAAACAAAACAGTTACAAATACAGGAAGAAATGAACAAACACTACAATTAACTGACATGACAAAGCAATTTCCTGGAAGGATAGCTGGGAATATTGGTATAATAAATGCTTATAGGATCAATGTGCCTGAATTATCCAGCCTGAAAATAATAATGATTTCCATTTAGGATGACTGTCACTTGGACTTAGAAAAGCAATATTTCTATACATACCAATGTATGTGTACTTTTATTCTGATATTCGATACCTGTGCCAATATATGCTCTGGTTTTTCTTCACTCTTTCGCTTCACTTCCTCCTCTTGTTTTCTAAGTTTTCCAATAAGACCCAGGGCTGCTACATGGATCCAATCTTTACTCCTTACCTCGGATTTCAAATTGTGTTGACCTACTTGTCTCTTATTTATGCCTGGATATGTAATTTGGATTCTGGCAGTATCCTCAGCACCACTCTCCAGAATTTCCATATCTTATATCCCAGGGAATATGATCAATATAGGGCTACTATAAGCATCAAAACAACCTTAAAGGGACATTCTTAGCACCAAAACAACTTAATCTAAATGAGTGTGTTCTGGTGCCAGGAGGACCCTGGAGGCACACACAAGGGGTTAAACAGTTTAACCCCTAAGTGGCCTAAAGCACTGGTCTACACTTCTCCTGTGGCAGAATTCAGCTTCTGAGTTTTGAGATTCAGGAAAAGCGGAGTGCTGCCGAGCAGGGGCGCCGCTAATTGGTTAAGAGCAGTCAGCTGACACTCTTAGTCAATCAGCGACTCCACATTCATAAAACTGGCTTGGAAAGAAACTGAAGCTGCCAAGAGGGAGTGGAGATCAGTGCTGGAGGAAACTTAGGGGTTTAACTGTTTAAAAATGGCTTAATCCCTTGAGGTAAGAGTGCCTCCTGGCCCCAAAACAACTTCATTTAGATTAAGTTGTTTTGGTGCCTGGAGTGTTCCTTTAACTTAATGAAGCGGTTTTAGTGTAAAGACTATGCCCCTGCAGTCTGCTAGTCAATTATCTGCCATTTAAGCATTAAATCACTTATTTCTGTTTATGAATCCTTAGCCACACCTCCCCTGTTTGTGACAGACACAGACTGTATGAACAAATGGTTTAATTTTGATTGAATTCAGATGACAATTTGCCTTGTAAGTTTTTATCTTCCGATTTGTAAATAGAACTTTAATCACACACACATATGAGACTCCTGCAGGGTCTAAAAGGCCATTAACAGATCAGGAGATAAAGAATTCTAAATTAAACAGCATGTGCAATAAACAAAGTTTAAATATTAGAACTTTCTTTAAAGGAAGTGATTAAGAAGGCTGTACAAGTCTCATGCAGGGAGGTGTGACCAGGGATGCATAAACAATTTGATTTAATTCCTAAATGGCAGAATATTGAGCAGTGAATCTGCATCAGCATGATCTATACACCAAAACTGCTTCATAATAGGGTTACTTTAACTACCAGGATCACTTTAGTGCTTTGAAGTGATCATGGTGGTAGCAGCATGTATGTGCAGTTTTCAGCTTGAAAACCTACACATACTGAGTCACTGTTAGTTGTGCGCCAGGTAACAGTTGCACCCCAGCACACGTTCCTGTCTACCTAATGCAAACTGTGTTTAACCCTGTAACTTTCCAAGACACCCTAAAACTGTACACGGTGGGTACTGTTTTACCCGGTAGACTTCACTGAACACAAATATTAAGTGTTTCAAAACAGCAAAACATATCACAGCGATGATATTGTCATTGAAAGTGAAGTTTTTTGCATTTTTCACACACAAATGCCACTTTCACTGATCATATCATCGTTGTGATACGTTTTACTGTTTTAAAAAATATTTGTGTTCCGCAAAGTCTCCAGAGTATAGCAGTACCCCCCATGTAAAGGTTTTATAGTGTTTTTGAAAGTAACAGGGTCAAATCTAAGGCTTGATTTTCTATTTTTTTCACATTGAAACATGCCAGATTGTGTATGTTGCCTTTGAGAGTGTATGGAAACTCAGAAATGAGAATTACCCCCATCATGGCATACCATTTGCAAAAGAAGACAACCCAAGGTATTGCAAATGGGGTATGTTCAGTATTTTTTAGTAGCCACTTAGTCACAAACACTGGCCAATGTTAGCGTTCATAATTTTTTTTGCATTTTTAACACACAAACAAATATTAATGCTAACTTTGGCCAGTGTTTGTAACTTAGTGGCTACTAAAAAAAAAACTGGACATACCCCATATTGAATAACCTGGGTTGCCTACTTTAAAAAAATATGTACATGTGAGGTGTGATTCAGAGATTTATGACAGATAACAGTGTTACAATGTAACTATTGATAACTTAAAAATATATATTTTAAAACAGCAATGTCCTACTTGTACTTATAGCCCTATAACTTGCAAAAAAAAAAAAAAAAATCTAAGAACATGTTAACATTGGGTATTTCGAAACTCAGGACAAAATTTAGAAACTATTTAGCACGGGTGTTTTTTGGCAGTTGTAGATGCGTAATAGATTTTGGGGCTCAAATTTAGAAAAGGGTTTTTTTTTTTTAAAATTTGCCATATTTTATAATGGTTTTTATAGTAAATTATACGATATGATGAAAATAATGGTATCTTTAAAAAGACCATTTAATGGCGAGAAAGACAGTATATAATATGTGTGGGTACAGTAAATGAGCAAGAGGAAAATTACAGCTAAACACAAACACCGCAGAAATTTAAAAACAGCCCTGATCCTTAATGGTAAGAAAACTGAAAAACAGTCTGGTCACTAAGGGGTTAAATAAAATAACCCGGTTACACCACCTGGTTTCAATGAGACAACAGGTCCTGTTACTTCATGGTTGTTAAACTCAGTGGAGTTAAACTCAAGAGGCAGAAATTGCCCAGAGCACCTGCCTTGCTAAGACTTGTCATTGAGCTGCATTGGGAAGGCTGTGATTGGACAGAAACAGAACGTCAAGGTAGGGTTAGACAGGGGGGAGCTTGCAAAGGCTGCAGACAAGAGATCTGTAGATTTTGCAAGCGGTTTTAATTTATACTCCCAATGAAAAATTGCATAACTAAATGCATTTTCATTTGGCATATAACTATAAAACACAGATTTTTATTGATTTTATATTTAGGCTGTGGAGTGTCCCTTTAACCCTTAAAGGTAAGACAGTAACAGGGACCTCTTGATGAAGTTGTTATGGTGTGCAAACTGGTCATTTAAGGTATGCTTCTGTATAATATTGCATGTTCCCACGACTCCTACTGGCTCTTTTCATATACCTTGTACTGTGTGGGAGGATTAAAAACAAGACCATTAATAAATTAAAGAAACAATATAGTGCTTGGAATATAAACATATATTCCTAATGATAGAGTGTTCCCATCACTGTTTCAGTGTCTGCCCGCCCAGCCCAATTTAAGGGTTTACTAACCTTATATCTTGCGACATGCTGGTCTGTCTGCCCTGCCTCCTCAGCTGGGATCACCATTGAAGAGCTCAGCCAAGTCAATGCATCCCCATAGGGAAGGCATGCGTTAGGAGACTAGTGCGCAATTGTGGAAAATCAAAAAGGATTTTCCTAAATCTGAAAATTCTGAAGCTGGAAGTCACTAGGGCGGAGCTGAGAGAAGCACTGGAGGTAACGTAGGAGTTAAACTGTTCAAGAAAGTTTAAACCTTTGAGTTAGGACTGCCTACAGTGGCCTCCTGGCACCATAACTAGTACAATTAAAACAAAATATTTTCTTGTGTCAGGAGAATGATGATATGCTACATTTCTTGCATTACACAAATTTTTTTTATTCAGAATGCTGTATAAAATGCTTTAAGATTTAAGATATTTAAAATTAAAAGAATACTACACCTCTGCACCCCCTCCATCTGTTCTTTAGTGAATCTTTTCACGGTCTCTCCTGAAGCACCAGTAGGTGCACTAGGTTTACTTTGTTCTTGTCCAGCTGATGCTTTTGTGCTCTGGGATTCATTTTCAGATGTACAATTATCTTTGTCAAGAGCTTCCAACAAATCTAAGAAAATCACAAGACAAGTGGAACAATACACACATTAAAAAGGGAAACAAAAGAAAAACACATAACACAGAGATAAACTGTTCTAATTACGATTATTTTTTATAGAGTCTGCAGCATAGGGCAATAAGTCTACAATTGTTCTTTATGAATTGCAGCTCAAGTTGTCACTTGCTTGACTGTGTACCTGTTTCACCTTGGGCTCACATGTAGCCTTTTACTTGGAATGAGTTTTCAAAATTGTGCACAGTGATGGTGGGTCTGGAATAGGCACACCAGAATTGGGTTAGGAAACAGCAGCCATATGCATGCAACAGAAACACCAGGCAGCTGAGATTGCTACAACATGGAAAGTCAATCTTCTGCTTGAAATGAACCACTACTTAGAAGAGAACTGTGGTAGGCATTGCAAACTTTGAACCTAAGCTCTACCATAGACAGAAAGACAACTTTGGTGCTTTTTTTCCCCAACCAGATGCTTGAAAAGCTTGAAGTTGAGGTAATTTAAATTTGCAGAACAACCCCTCTTTCTTTGCTGCTCCCTCAGAATATCTAAGAATAAGTTCTTATCCTCTATTTCCTGCACTTGTGTTGTATTGCTTAATTATTTATTATTTATTCTTTGAAATATCACTTGACCTGCTGTTTCTGACCAGGTTGTGACCTACGACACAGAGAAGCGAAAACCTCCAAAGCATACTGCGCAGTATCTGGCCTTGCATATTCGCAAGGCATTGTCAAAAGAAAGATGCAAAAACTGAGCAGAGTGTCCCCAGGCAATTGGTTCAGACCAAGTGTGTAAGAAGCCAGAAATTGATCCACAGATCACCCAATTCTTGGGAAAAACAGGAATAAATACGGGCTTGACCACGGAGCACAGAAAAGCAATTTTGCTGAAACTGGTCAATATGGCATTGAACAAGGCGGGTGCATCCGCTAAGGGTCTGTTGCTCGGGGAATCCTTTCTTAAGGATTTGGGTACCTTTGTATAGACATTTACGGAATAGATAAGACAACTTTTTGGAGGGGCCGGAAGAGCAAGGAGCAGTCTGTCCAGCTGTGATTCCTATCATCAGAACCTAGGCTCCGTCTCCACATAGGAACTACAAACCAGCACCTTTCTTCCCCTTTCGTGGGGTTCTCATGACGCATTTCCCATAAAGTGACCCTACAGTAATTTTACTAACTCCCACTATTTTCAATCCAGGAATCAGAGGCAGATTAGCTCATTATGCTCAGGTGTGGCAATTGATAACCTCAGATTCATGGGCTACTGCAGACAAAGCATAACGCTTGGAACTGGTTTCTTTCCCACTGCAGGTCTCTCCCCTCCTCAAGAACTCATGCTTTCAAAACACAATCAGGAGTTGATTATCACCGCAATAACCCAATTAAGGTCAAAAGAAAAAAAGAAAAGACTGAGACAGTTTGGAGATTGTATGCTTTAACAGACTGAGAATATGAAGGCTTACTCAAAAATCTATCTCAAACATTAAAACAACACCAATAATTATCTTCCTGCCATGTCTCTGAGCCACTAAAGGATAAACAACGAACTAGTTTAAATGTAGAAAAGTAGTGTTAAATGGACATCTATTGAAAGAGACAATTATGTAAGCAATAATACATTTAGGAGACAAGGAGTCTCCTTAACAGTCATAAATACTCGGGTCCATTGGTACCCAAAGTCCTGATTTCACCCAAAAAGTGCAGGTTAAAAATTCTAATGCTCTTTCTACTATGCTATTTGTGGTAAATCTATTTGCACTGCATGATTTTATTAAAATAAATACACACAAAATTATTATGATTATTATTTTTATATAAATTGCACCTTAAAGACCATTCTCTCAAGGGAACAGATTTTGAGTGGGCTCTCAATAATATTTACCATTAATCAGTGTCTAAATCAATAACTAGAATATTCCCATATTTGCACTGTTTAATATGAACCATTATTGATATAACACATGTACATTCATCATCCATTTAAATGTCAAGTTGTGAAATAATTCATATTGAACAAACATTTGCTCTTTACATTGAGGTTCAGATGCTAAAATTGTGGTGCATGGTTTCATTTATACATTGTTAAACTAATTTTTTTATAAAGTCAATATCTATTATCCTGAAATATGTTTCTCAAGTGGAAGTGGTCTTTTCCCCATTCTTGAAATTGTTTAAATTTGGACTTTTAATCAGATATATGCAACATCCCTTCATGGGCTTTTACGGTGTGATGATGAAAATAAGCCTACTGTAAATAGGTTTTTATTTAACTTAATGGTAATTACCATTAAAAGAACACTATAGAATATTCTCTTCCAATATGATGTAGACTATATAATAGTTGAATCTTGTTAAACCAACAGAATCACATCAATCCTTGTTTTTAGTTTATTGAAAAACATATAAGGACCCATTCCTTTTCTATGGGCGTATTGGGTATCAGGTATCTCAAACAGTTGCCCCTCGAGATTATTTGGCCATCTATTGCATTCACAGAATTAGGGAGCTGAAGGCCATCAACATGTGGGAGAACAAACTTCAAGATCCTTGTCCTAAATATGAGAATAGATATGTGAAGCAAAAAATTACTTTCTGCATTTGGGTATGTACTATGATAAAGATTTCTGAAATATATCAGATCACTTTTATTGGGCTGAGTAATGTTTCATAACAGAAATCATTTAAACTTGTGTTGTCTAGAATTATAAATTGATTGGTAATTAATTTAATAAACATTATCAAAGGATTTGGAACACCTATATTCATGGTTTGCTGTATATTCAAAAAGTACTAATCTTTATACTTTAATACTATGGGAGCCACTTTTTTGGTGGTACTGAACTCAAGGAATTTAAAGTAACAGTCAAAGCACCATAACCAATACAATCCACTGTAGTGATTATGGTGCAAGGAGTGGCACCAAACCAGAACAATTATTCAAACCATTCGGCAGCTTACCAGGGATCTGTCAAGCGCTGGTTGCCTAATTTGCTGTTAAAAGCTTCCTGCACTAACCTTTGCCTTGTAGTGGAAGGCTTAGCTTATTGCCCGAGAGTACTCAGCTGATGCTCTAAGTCAGTGATGGCGAACCTTTTTGAGCCCAAGTGCCCAAACCGTAATACATGCCAATTTTTTTCCCCCTCAAAGTGCCAAAACGGCAATTAAACCTGAATATTGAGGTTTAAGTTTAGAAAAAACAACTCATACAGTTGTCCGAACTAATTAACATCTGTGTGTGTATTAAGCAGTTTGTGTGTGTGCTCGGCAGTCTGTCTGTATGTGTATTTAGCAGACTGCTGAATACACACAGACTGCTGAGTACACAGTCTGCTAAATACACACACACACACACACAGACTGCCGAGTACACACACACACAGACAGACTGCTGAGTGTACACACACACAGACTGCTAAATACACACACTGCATTGAGGGGTACAGTGTATGTGTTTGTGTGTGGGGTGATGTGTTTGTGTGTGGGGTGATGGGTGGGGTGGTGTGTGTGGGGTGATGTGGGGTGGTGTGTGTGTGTGTGGGGTGATGTGTGTGTGTGGGGGTGATGTGTGTGTGGGGGTGATGTGTGTGGGGTGATGTGTGTGTGTTTGTGTGGGGTGATATGTGTAGGGCAGGGGTGCTGTGTGTATGTCGTCCCCTCTCTCCCCCCCCCACTGTTTTCTTTCCCCCCATCCCTCCCTCATTTTTTTCACCCATCCCACACTCAGTTTCCCCCCCCCATATCTCTCCCTCAGTTCCCCCCCCATCTCTCTCCCTCAGTTCCCCCCCATCTCTCCCTCAGTTCCCCCCCATCTCTCCCTCAGGTTCCCCCCATCTCTCCCTCAGGTTCCCCCCATC